ACCAGGTGCCTTAAAAACTGATGACTTTCAAAGGAGATGAATAGATCTTGCATTGCCTGTGTATTGTTTCAACTATTACATTTTTCCTGATTTGGGCTTTGGGGATCCCATCACGTGCATGCACACACAAAGTAGCTGACTTAAGGATGAACACGTAAATAGATCTTTCTCTTTGCCATCACCTCTAGTCCCCACCCTATAGGCAAGTGAGGAAACTGAGAGCCTGTTACTGGCACACACTCTGAGCCACCCCAAGGCCCTGGGCAGAGCATGCTTTTCAGTCATATTAATGAGACCCCATCTTCCTTCCAAATGAGGACTGTGAATGTTTACATATCTGTGTGCACAGGAGCTGGGAACCCTTCAGTGCCAAAGACTGGTTGGGAATATTTTGAAATATTTTTAAATTCAAAGATCTCTTAGATGGGCCCAGTCTCCAGCACAGGAAGTCATAAACATTTGTTTGCTTGATGACAAATCAGTTATACCTGATCTCCAACCACACTTTATCAGATAGAGAGGGGTATAATGCCCAGGCACTGTGAGGCACTCCTGAGAAAAACAAGGTCTCTGGCACCAGCAAGTAACCATCCCATCTGCCCCTGCAGAGGGGACAGGCTTCTGTGGGTCTACAGACGGGCCTGCCCTGGAGCTTAGAGCAGAGGCCTGCGGCTGGAGCTCCCTCGACTCTCCATTTATCTAACTGCACACAGGCACACACCATCTCTAGTACCACCTCTTTTACTTTGGGAAGAGAAAGATGTGGCAGACGGCCACACAGTATCAGGGCACAGGCTGTTTCAGTGAGTAGGCAACAGACTTCACCTTCCTTGGGAGACGTTAGTATGAAGGACCATGTCTCCAGGAAGTGGACTGTCCATGGCTTCCGTTCTTCGTAGCGATTTCTGTCTCATGCTGGGGCATTCTCACATTCTCTCCAGCAAGAGCTCTTCCTGCAGCTAGTTGTCAGGTATTTCCTGTCACGAAGAGCAAAGAGGACCCCCAAGACTCGGCATACCTCCTTGCTTTCTTCAAGCCCTCTTCCATTTCATGAGTCTTAATGAGACTCTTACTTCCTTTGTGGCCAAAAGCTATTTGTTTTCTTCATTCTCTTCCTGATTCTGCTGCTCTTGCAGCCTTTTCCTGCCGATGGAGGTCATGAAGAAGCTCTATTTTCTGCTATGTGGCTTCTCATTTATTTCCTAATAGAACTTGGGCCAAATGGAGTGAACAAAAGTCACGTTCTTTGATTTCTTCTTCCATCCCATGTCGGGCTCATGTCTCCACAGTCTGGATTGGGAATGGTGCCTCCTTTTCATCTCCAGGTAATATCAAGTTTGCTGTGAGATGCCCATCATCTGCTTCTTTTAATCTCGCTTTGGTGATCTGCCAGCGGCTTCAGCTACCATTTCATCCTCTTTGTAAGAAAGCTTCTCCAGGATCTCTGAGGTGTCTGGGGTGATCACATGAGTTCACTGGACCCAGAATGAGGCTCATGCTGCTTTTCTGTATCCTGTAGCAACTGTTCCCTTGCAGTTCTTTTAAATTTGGCTTTCATTTTTATAAAATTGTATAGACACACCGTTTAAAGACTCAGTTCCCCACTGCCTCTTCCCCAGAAGTGACCAGGCCAAGCCTGCTGGTGATTCTTTGATATTTCCCTCTGTGTCTGGAAAGAACATGCTCACAGTGCTCCTGGAGTTTTTGGTTTCAGGCATCATCTATTACTGACTTCCTACCATGTAAGAAAGGCCTTGGCTCCTTGAGCCTACTCCCTCCCGCATTCACAGGTATTCTACGTGTGTCTCCATCCTCCCCAAAATGTTAAACCTAGCTTTGATCAGACCTGCATATAGAGTTCGCTTATTTTATCTAAGTAAGTGCTACCCCCAATTGAGCCAGCATACTCTGAGCACTATGCTTTCCTTTGCTAGACTCTGTAATTGTCTTTTCCCCACCTGCTAAGTTTTCTGTGTATTTATCATGCCTTTAACACCCCCCCCCACTTTCTCCCAGACATGTCAGTCTCCTCTCAAAATGTTCTGCTCATCAGGAGGTCAGCCAGTTTCTTCCTCAGAGGGAAATCTCTCCCAGAGTTGCTGACTTGTGATATCTAGAGTGTGTCTTGTATTTCTGAGGCATGCATCTTGACCTTATCATGGGATCTCCTTCACAGAATATGCCTCTCCTTTTTCCTGGACCTGAGGTCTTTCCCTTGGTTTACTCCCTCATTTTGATCTAGCACATCCTGCAATAGCTTTCTGAGAAAGGGTAACAACTTGCCTGTCTAAAATATGTTTATTCACATGTGAATATCAGCTGGGCATAGGATTCCGTACTGGATAGATTTTTTCCCTGAGAATTGTGAAGACATTTATTCCATGTTGTCTTCTGGCTTCCAGCATTACGGTTGAGAAATCTGACTCCATTCTAATTTTTGAGCCTTTAACAATTTTTTTTCTCTCTGAAAGCTTTCATGATTTTCTCTTTGTCCCAAGGATTTTGAAACTTCATGACCATGAGTGTCGATATGGTTCTATTTTTATTCCTCATACTATGGACTGAACCTTGTTCTCCAGGGTTTTTTTCCAGAAGGCTTATGGGAATTATATTGTATCTTCAAAAATGTTTGTTACCTTTATACAGGAATGACGATTTGGCTGGGTAAAAAGTTACCAGATTTCTTTTTTCATTGTGGTAAAAAAAATGCCTAACATTAAATTTACCATTTTAACCATTTTCTAGCATACAGTTCAGCATCAAGTATATTCACATTGTTGTGTAACAGATCTGAGAAATTTAAAAACATTTTTTAAATGTTTGATTATTTTTGAGAGAGAGAAAGACAGAGCACAGGTCGGGGAGAAGCAGAGAGAGAGGCAGACACAGAATCCAAAGCAGGCTGCAGGCTCTGAGCTGTTAGCACAGAGCCCTCCATGGGGCTCGAACTCACAAACCATGAGATCATGACCTGAACTGAAGTCGGCTGCTTAACCAACTGAGCCACCCAGGTGCCCCCAGATCTGAGAACTTTAATCTTGCAAACTTGGAATTCTGTGCTCACTAAACACTTTTGTCCCTCCTTCCTCCTCCAATCCTTGGCAACCACCTTTCTACTTTCTGTTTCTGTGATATTCACTATTTATCTTTTTTTTTTAAGGTTTATTTAGTTTGAGAGAGAGAGAGAGAAGAGGGGAGGGGTAGACAGAGAGGAAGACACAGAATCCAAAGCAGGCTCTAGGCTTTGAGCTGTCAGCACAGAGCTCAACACAGGCCTCGAACCCATGAACCGTGAGATGATGACCTGAGCCGAAGTCAAACGGTTAACCAACTAAGCCACCAATGTGCCCCAACTATTTTAGATATTTCTTATGAGTGGAATAATGCACTATTTGTCTTTTTGTGACTAGTTTATCTCATTTAGCATGATGTCCTTGAGGTCTATCCACACTGTACCACATGACAGGATTTCCTTCTTTTTTAAGGCTGTGAGATATTCCTTTGTATGTATATATCACATTTTGTTTGTTTATTCATCTGTCAATGGGCACTTGGGTTGCTTTCCCCTATGGCTATTGTGATTAATGCTGCAATGAACATAGGAGTGCACATATGTCTTCAAGATTCTTTTTTGAATTTCTTTGGATGTATACTCAGAAGTGGGATTTCTGGGTCATATGGTGTATACATTTTTAATTTTTTGAGGAATCTCCATATTATTTTCCCCAGTGACTGCACCAGTTTACAATCCCACCAACAGTGTATAACAGTTCCAATGCCTCCACATCCTCCCTAACACTTGATGTTTTCTGTTCTTTTGGTAGTGGCCATACTACTAGGTAGGTTGCTCTTTCCTTGAGATCTTTTAGTTGTTCAGTTCTCTATAGGATTTGAATTTGTCCTGAATTTTCTCCCTAGAAGTGAACTCATCTTTATTTTCGAAGTTTGAAAACCTTTATATGTCCTGGAGCTGATTTTTCTTTGTCATTATTTCCTGGGACCTGATGTGCTTTCAATCCATAGATGCAAGGCTGCTTTAATTTCTGGAAAGTTGTCTTGAATTATATCTTTAAATAATCTTTCTGGGCTTTATTTCTAGTTGTCTTCTTTGGGCACCCACATATTTTTGTCCATCTTCCCTATCCTTTTCTTCTCAGTCCTCATTTTAAAAATTTCTGTGTTGCCCTGCTCACTATCTCCTCCTGTCTTCAGTGCTCTTTACTATGTTTTCAGTTCTTGTTCCCTGCTGTTTCCAATTCTGCTTTCATTCCTGGTCCATGCTTATCCCTTTTCTTCAATTTCTTTCTTGAGCTTTGCCAACTCAATTCTCATCCCTTTCCATTGTCTCAGCATCTAATTTCTGAGCTCTTGCTTCTGATCTAGGCTTCAGTATGTTTTTGGAAACCATGGTGAAATACTTGGTCACAACTTCCCACTGTTCTATGACAGTTTTGTTGGTTTGTTTGTTTTCCCCTGGTATTATTATTCACCTGCTCCTTTCCTCCTTTTGGATTTCAGTATCTTTGTAAGTAGACCTGTGCTGGTTTGGGGATTACTCCTCTTTGAATGGGGTGGGCTTTCTTGGATCAGAAGGAAGTTCATATGGGTCAATGCCATGTTGTAGGCTAGGAGAAACCTATGAGATTTTAGTCTCTGCTTCTCCTCACCCAACAGGTTTGGGTCCTATAGGGCTATTCACAGGGCAGACTCTTTTTCCACCTCACAGTGGGACTGTTTTCCTGCAAATGTGGCTTGTCTGTTTCCTAGAACCAAACTAGGCCAGGGAATCTTCTACTGCTACCTCCCACTGTTATCCTGGCAAGAGCAAGAGAGGGTGGGAAAGGAGAGAGGGAAGAAGAAGAAGAGGGAAAGAGGTGGAGGAGCAGGAGAAGGGGGTGTGGAGAGGGTGATGGAAAGGACGGCCCCCAGGAGAGGTAAGTCCTGAGCAGGAAAGGGAACACGGAACAGGTGTTGACCACTGTCTTCTCTCTTCTCTCCAGGGTGACCATGTGTGGCTGAACTCCCTCCCTGCCAACAAGACCAGTGTGGCCATTGGGTGTGTCATCAAGGAAACAAAACCTGACAAGATCTTGGTTGAAGATGACGAGGGCAAGGTCAGTGTGGCCAGGCTCTGCAGGGAGGCTGGGCCCTCTCAGCCCCACCCTAACCCCCCACCCCTCCAGGGCCCTGGGCCCCTTTCCTCTTCTGTCACTGCTCCCCAACACCAGGGGTTCCAGAGCCGACGTGGGGGAAACCCACCCGGCAGAACAGACCACAGTGGGGTCTTGTCATGGTGGACATCACGCGTCTGTTTTGGGGAACATCTCTATAGTGAAAGAGCAAGGAGCGAGTAGATAGATGGAAAAGTAGACCAATTAGGGGAAGCAGGAAGGAGTGAAGTAAGGGAAGGGCTTTGACAGAGAACAGAGGGTGGCAGAAAGCTGGTTCACAAAGTAAAGGAGGGTAAGCCTGGAGACAAGGAGGAGAGAGGGAAAGGTGTCCTTTGAGAAGAGAAGGGCCCCAGAATGTGAGGAGGAAGAAGATGAGGCTCAGCTGGTACTGGACAGACAGCCCAGGTGAGAGAGAAGCAGGAGCTGGGGTGGCCTGCAGCGCTGCAGCTCAGCCACCTGGGGGGTGGGAAGTAGCGTCTGCCAAGTGTGGTGCCGTGAGGAAGGGCATGCAGGGGGCAAGGCGTCCAGCTGGTCCCTCCAGCCCCCCTCGGGCAGCCCTCTTTGCTGAGGTGCTGCAGCATGGAGTATGAGGAGACTTGACCTCTAGGGAGAAGATTCTAGGCTAGGACCTGTGAGCTCCATATTAGGGAAGCCAGTAACATATGAATGATTATATCTTCTGTTTGCAAAATGATGTTTTACAGTGTAAAAAGCACTTTTACTTCCATGCTTTTATTCCTGCCATCTTTGAGACCCCCAGCTGATCCTGCTCCTGATCTCAGTGACAGCTAAATCTGACTTCTGGCTACAAGCTCCTCTGACCCTGGTCTGAAATTCACCATTAACCCTGGCTTCACACCAACCCCTGGCTCCAGACACGTCCTTACTCCAACCACAAACTGCCCTGATCCTCCCTCAGAGTTTCCTTGTCCTCGGCCAGAGCCTGGTCGGGCCACCAGGTCAGCTGACCTGCTGAGAACTTGGAGAAGAGGTGCAGTGGATTGGCCCATGTGGAGGCCACACTGCCTTCAGGGGAGCCTGTGCCCTTTGTTCCAGGAACACTGGATCCCAGCAGAGGACCTTGACACCTTTAGCCCCATGCACCCCAATTCAATGCGAGGTGTGGACGACATGATCCGCCTGGGGGACCTGAACGAGGCAGGCATGGTGCACAACCTCCTGATCCGTTACCAGCAGCACAAGATCTATGTGAGTCCCCATTTCCACCCCCCACTCAGGGGGCTTGGTCCACGTGCACTGACCTCCTGGCTGGGGAAGAAAGCCAGGCACCAGAGGTTTGGAGCCAGGCACACCTGGTTCAGTCCCCACTCCCCTTGCCGTCACCGTGGGAGGTGGGCAAGGAACTTAACCCTTCTCCTTGGCATCATAATACATTTGCGGTCTCAGAAAGCTGATATGCACCATGCCAGCACCATCCCTAGCACACAGTAGGTGCTCAATTAGTGCTGCCTACCCCCGCCCCCCCATCTGTGGTTGAGTGGAAGGCCTGCTCTGATGTCCGAGTGGACCAGAGGCTGCAAGGGTGGGCATAATCTTATGTCCCTTCCTAGGCAGATGGCAGAGACAGGGCCACTAGGCAGAAGACCCCTGCCCTCTTGTGAATTGAGGCTGTGACAGTCAGGAGGGCCATGTAAGTAGATGCAGGTCCTTCTCCCAAAGGCTGGAAATGCATAGGAGGCTCACCCCAGCCCTAAGGCTCACATCCTCCTTTCAGTGACAATTTTCCCAGGAGACAGAGCATTCAAAACTGGCTCCAGCCTCGCCCTAAGTGGGTATGGCCTAGGAAGTCAAAGCCTGCCTGGGCCTCTCCTAGTTCAAGGTGACTGCTTTGGTTCTGAGCAGCCCTTCAGGGAGGAGTGAGCAGGGGACCCCGAAGAGAGGAGAGGGCTGGTCAGGAGAGAGAGAAGATTCTGCGGAGACAGGGGCAACAGGGCACACGGTGTTCACCCAGCTAAATGTGAGTCAGAGCTCCTGGGACCGATAACCACAATAAGCTGAAGTGAATTACAGTTTATCCTCTCCAAAGAGCTTACCCTTGCATTCTTTTATCTGGTTATCATAGTCCTTGGAGTCAGAGGGATGAAACTCTGCATTCCTCAAATGAAAACTTGGATGTGGATAATCATGGGACTGGATGAGGTGGCTCTCCCTGTCCCCTTCCCAGGCCTAGTGGGAGTTCCAGATAAGCAGGGGGTCCTGGACGGTGGTCCTAGGAGGGATCAGGGGAGGTTATGACTGTTGACCAGCCTCGTGGAGGTCCCTGTGGGAGGCAGGTGAAGACTCATTTCATAAATTCAGCCCATTTTTATTGAGCCTTCTGAATACCAGACATGTTAAATGCTAAACATTTAACAAAGACTACTTCATTTAATCTTCCTGTGAATGCACTCGCCCCTGGCTCTCGTTCATGTGAATCACATCCCCATCTTTCCAGAAGGAGGATCTGAGCAGTCAAACATCTTGTCTCCCTGGCCCAGAATCAGACCCCACTTCCCTACCAGACTCAGCCAGGCCTGGTAGCCCTCAGCAAGCTGCACTCAAGGCCAAGGCAGTGCTGGCCTTGAAAGCAGAGAGCACTAACCACCGGCTCCCTTCCCCAGACATACACAGGCTCCATCCTGGTGGCTGTGAACCCCTTCCAGGTGCTGCCCCTCTACACCCTGGAGCAGGTGCAGCTGTATTACAACCGCCACATGGGTGAGCTACCACCACACGTCTTTGCCATCGCCAACAACTGCTACTTCAACATGAAGAGGAATAAGAGGGACCAGTGCTGCATTATCAGGTGGGGCTCGGGCTCCCCATGTCCCTGGTAGGGGTCAGATGGGCCAGGCACCAGTATCTAGTAAAGCAGGCAGTACCTGTTCTCCCTAAACCTCTCCCAACCAACAATGCCTACACCAAAGGCCTGTTTGATGTAAGGACTCCCATTCAACTGCAAACAGCCTCTTCAAGGGCACACAGCTCACCTACACCTTGTCCCTCCACCCTGAGGGGTCCCTCCGCCCCTCCACCCTGAGGTTTCCCTCTGACACTTCTTTCCTTCAGAATCTGCTCTTCTACTGCATCAGCAGGGCCTGCACTGCCCCAGCCTTCGGTGAATATTTCCTCAGACAAGGAAGGAAAAATGGGGGTGGTCACCTTTAGAAATGGGACCCAGGAGGGTTTCTTGGGGACACAGGGGTCAAACAGGTGATGTCTCACACACGCACACAAATCTCTAGTCAGGCCTCAGGTGAGGACGAGGGAAGCAGCAGCTCCCAGAAGCAGCTCTCAGGTTGCTGGGGCCCAGGTAGGACATGTCTTCCTCCAGTCCAGGTCCTGACCCCGCTTTGGAGGCCTCCCTGCCTCCTGCACAGGCCCTCCCGGGAGAAGGGAGGGAGAGAGGAAAAGGAAGGAGGAGGGGGAATTTGGCTCAGGGCATATTGCTTGGAGCTATAGTGATTGATTGATTGATTAATTCATTCATTCATTCATTCATTCAAGGGTACCCTGTGCTCCAGCTACATGCCTGTATCTCCCTAACATGGGGAGGCAGCGGCAAGTGAAAGGGACTAAAATCCCACCTCATGGAGCCTACATTCTAGAAGGGGAGACAGACAATAAATAGGCCAATCTGAGGGGCAGGTAATGAGCGCTTTGAAGAAAAGCCCTGTAGGGAAGGAGGAATGACAGTGATGGGCTGTTGTTCTAGGTGGAGAGGAGACCAGGCATGGCCTCTCTGAGGATGGGAAATTGGCACAGAGGCCAGAATGAAGTCCTAAAACAGTAGATTCTTACATTTACCATTCTCAGTGGCCCTTTGAAGTAGATCTTCTTATTCCTGTTTTACTGTTGGGTGGGAAACCTACACCAGAGAGGCTGAGGTCCTTTCCCAGAGACACACAGCTGTTCAGTAAAGAATTCAGACCCTGGACACTGCAAAAGGAGACAGAGAGATGTCTTTGGGTGGTTTCCACTTCTCCAGAAGTGAATGGAATGATGTGCCAATGAGGGCCAGTACTCTGTCTCCCTTGGCTCCGTGTGCTCCCAATCTGCCCCCCAGGACAGGGAAGGCCAGCCTCACTGCAAGAGCCTGCCCCAGCAGAGCTGGGCCCCAGGCCAGCCCGGAAGCTCACCAGGTCAGCTTCCACTTCCAGGACAGCAGCGCCTTAGGGAGAGGGCAGAGCAGCCCCATCTGTGGCTTCTTGCATGAACAGAATCTCACCCTGAGTCAAACCACCTTCTCCTCCTGCCCCCCACTCCCTGCTCCCTCGAGGCCAGGAGAAAGCCCCTCAGCTATCCCCTCAGCATCTGTCTCCGCCTTCGAGGTCTGTTTGGGGAGCCCGAGTCTGCTGCGGGCAGGAGGGCTTTGTTGATCAGAGTGAGTGACTCACCTGGCATAGTGATTGTGGCATTTTTAAAAATTTTTTGTTCGTGTGTTTACTTTTGAAAGAGAGAGAAAGACCAAGTGCAAGCAGGGGAGGAGCAGAGAGAGAGGGAGACACAGAACCCAAAGCAGGCTCCAGGCTCTGAGCTGTCATCGCAGAGCCGGACGATCTGGGGCTTGAACTCATGAATCATGAGATCTTGACCTGAGCTGAAGTCGGATGCTGAACCGACTGAGACACCCAGGTGCCCCGTGATTGTGACATTTTGGTCAAAGCTTTTTTTTTAATTAATATTTTCAGATGAAACAATACTTGTCTGAGATTTGTCTCAAAATAGGACAGGGTAGGAAACAAAATTGGCCAGGGGTCAAAGCTGGGAATCGGACTGTGGGAGTTCCTCGTGCAAACCGCAAACTGCAGGAGTGTCCTGGGGAACTTGTGGGAGCGCAGATTCTGACTGCGCTCAGGGTGGGCCTGGGACTCTGCACCTCTAACCAGGTAACAGGAAGTGCTTTTATTAGCAAGACACTGTTCAGTCTCCATTTGGGTTTTTTTAACGTTTTAATGTTTATTCATTTTTTTATTAAAAAATTTTTAATGTTTTTATTTATTTTTGGGAGAGACAGAGCACAGGCAGGGGAGGTGCAGGGAGACAGGGAGACACAGAATCCGAAGCAGGTATCAGGCTCTGAGCTGTCAGCACAGAGCCCAAGGCGGGGCTTGAACTCACAGACTGTGAGATCATGACCTGAGCCAAAATCAGAAGGTCAACCTAGCCACCCGGGCATCCCAATGTTTATTCATTTTTGAGAAGAGAGAAGAGAGGGGAAAGGGGAGTAGGGAGAGGGGAGAGGGAGAGGGAGAGGGAGAGGGAGAGGGAGAGGGAGAGGGAGAGGGAGAGGGAGAGGGAGGCAACACACAAGCAAGGGAGGGGTTGAGAGAGAGGGAGACACAGAATCTGAAGCAGGCTCCAAGCTCTGAGCTGTCAGCACAAAGGCTGATGCGGCGCTCTAACTCACAAACCATGAGATCATGACCTGAGCTAAAGTCAGACACTTAACCGACTGAGCCACCCAGACTCCCCTCAGCATCCATTTGTAATGTTTGACATTTTCCATAATAAAGAATAATTGATACAAAAGTGACATTCAAGCCTCAATAATAATAGTAATATTAATTACTACTAACCTGAGTGTGCTATGTGCCAGTTTCGAGTATATTTTTAACTTAATTCAACTCCTTAATTCAACTCCCTTAATTCAAACTATTAAAAACAATGTTTCATATCTTACCATTATGAAATTAATACATATTCAGTATGAAGATTTTATAAAATTTTAGAAAACTATTGTTGGAAAAAAGTTGCTAGATACTTTTGGAAGAGACCGCTTCCCCTATGCCCTTGGTTACAATTATACTGAAGAGTATGGACATTTGTCATTTATTGTACCTAATAGGCATTGCTCACATTTACTGAAAGCCCCGTATCGACTTGGCTCTAGTGTTCTCTGACTGGAGGGACCATATCTAATCTCCCCCACTTTATGGTACTTCTGATTTTCCACAATTCTTCTTTTTTAAGACTTTTTTTTAAGTAATGTCTACACCCAATGCGCGGCTTGAACGTACAACTCTGAGTCACAACTCCACCGACCAAGCGAGCCAAGCGCCCCTGATTTTCTGCAATTGTGATGATAAGTGAATACTGCTTTAGTGAGCAGAAAGCCTTGTGGAGAAAGCTTTTTCTGATTTTAGAGTTGCTTTCTTGGGCTCAAGGCTGGGTGACTCTGAAGGTTTTTGATACCTATGCCGCATTGCTTTTCAAAAGGAGTGATGCAGTCTCCCCTCTGGCCAACATGAACTCACAGCTCAGGGAGAGGGTGTTCCATCAAGACATTGCACCATCTGGCACCGTTCATTCATCTGTAGCTACTGCAAGGGGCTCCCGTCCAAGCAGGGCAGAGAAGGCAAACATGCCAATGACTAACCCAAAGCAGACAGCTGAGACCCACAGGGCCAATGTGGTGGGATCTGTGCACGGGGAGAGGGCAGGCCCGTGGTGGGTCTACAGAAGTGCTGGAGGTACTGTTTTCTTGCCTGTTTTATTATCGGCTGTTTTACTGACTGACGCCTTCCGTGCCCTCTCTGCAGCGGTGAGTCCGGGGCAGGGAAGACGGAGACCACCAAGCTCATCCTGCAGTTCCTGGCCATGGTCAGCGGCCAGCACTCGTGGATTGAGCAGCAGGTCCTGGAGGCCAACCCCATCCTGGAAGGTAAGCGGTCACCCTCAGGACGGGCCCTCCTCCCCAGGCCCTGCAGGCTGGAAGCTTCCTGCCAGGAGGTGCCCATGGGGAAGGACAGGATTGGCCGTACCCTTTCAGCGACTTCTCAGGATCCTCAGGACGGGAAAGACCAGCATGAAGTAGATGGTAGTGTGGGGGCTCCCGGGAAGGAAGAAGGGGAAAGACCGATGGTCTTACGAGCTTTCGCTAAGTGTGATTTTCACGGGATTGAAACAAGTATTCCTTTTAAATACAGACTGGGATGAAAACTGTTTGGCAAATGCTGGGTGTGTCCGCCTGAGGGAAGCAGTTGCGAAGCCTGTGTTAAGACGGTCTGTTAGAGGTCTACGAGTGGTGACCCCTGTGCAGGATGAAGGGGGAGGTGGCCGGAACGGATAGGACGTGTTGCCCCAATGGGATGCCCATAGGACACTCAGGAAAGGGAAAGTAGAGTTTGGTAGGATGAGGTTCAAGCTGCATGCAGACCTGCCCAGGCTTTGTCCGGCCCAAGGGGGAGCCCAGAGCAAAGTGCCTGTATAAGTGCCCTGCCCTGCGCACAGTGCCAGGTCTCAGTGTCCCCTTGCTCAGTCCCTGGTGGGGGCAGTCCAGAAATGTGCAACCTTGACCCCCCCCCCCCAGTGCCCAGCCATGGTCAGTGGGTTCTCTCCTGTTTCTTTATAACAGAGGATGTTTGCATACAGTTGAATTTCACCTATGGTTTTATGAGTTTTGACAAACATGCAGAACGCCCATCATTCTCCTGACATGGAATGTTCCTATCAACCCAAAACTTCCCTCATGGCCTCTCTTCCCAATGCCAACCTTTGGCGATCACCAACTTCCTTTTCTCCCCTATAGAGCTGACCCTTGACAATGAGGGTTTGGCATACGCAGGACCACTGTGGATACATGTGGATTTTTTTTTTTTATACAGTTCAATGTTGTAGATATATTTTCTCTTCCTTATGATTTCAGTAACATTTTCTTTTCTCTGGCTTACTTTATTGTGAGAATACAGTATATAATACATATAACTTACAAAGTATGTGTTAATTGAGTATATTATCGGTAAGGCTTCCAGTCAGCAGTAGGCTATCAGTAGTTAAGTTTTGGGGGAGTCAAAAGTCATACACAGATTTTCGACTGCACAGGGAGTCAGCGCTTCATCTTTTCCAGAAGGTTATATAAATGAGATCAAATGGTTTGCAGCCTTTGGATGCTGGCTACTTCTGTTAGCATGATGCATCTGGGATTTTTCATATTGCTGTCTGTATCAATAACTTGTTTCTTTTATGACACTGCATAGAAGTGTCAGTTTGTCTGTGTATCAACCAGCTGAAGGATGCCTGGGTTGTTCATAGTTTATGGTGATTTTGAATAAGGCTTCTGCAGACACTTGCATGCAGGTTTTTTTGTGAACATATGTTTTTCTCCTGAATGAACATGTGAGCATAAAGTCATTGGGTCAGATAGTAAGTTAGCCATTTGACCTTTGTCAGAAACTGTCACGATGTTTTCCAGGTGGCTGTGCCATCTTGCATTCCCACCAGCAAAATACAAGAGCTCTAGTCGCTCTGTGTCCTCGCCAATACTTGGTACTGTCAGAGTGGTTATTTGCTACTCTTATTGATGTCATCTCATCATGGGTCTTTTTTTTTATGTTTACTTATTTATTTTGAGAGCGAGAGAGAGTGAGGAAGGGGCAGAGAGAGAGAATCTCAAGCAGGCTCCATGTATAGCACAGGGCCTGACGTGGGGCTTAATCCCTCAACCCTGGGATCACGACCTGAGCTGAAACCAAGAGTCGGACTGACTGAGTCATCCAGGTGGCACTCACATCATGGTGTTCATTCAAATGTCCCTAATGGCTAATGATGTAGAGCATCTTTTCATGGGCTTATTCCCTATCTGCATATCTTCTCTGTATGTATTCAAATCTTTTGCCGATTTTTAAATGGTTTCCTTATTAATGAATTGGGAGCTCTTTATATATTCTGGATATAAGCCCCTTTAAGATACACGTTTTGCAGACATTTTGCCCCAGTCTGTAGTCTGTCGCTCTGTTCTTCTGACAGTGTCTTTTAGAGGGTGTACATTTTAGATTTTGATAAAGTTCCATTTATCTTTGTTTCTCTTCTTGATTATGCTTTCAGCGTTGTATTTAAGAAATCTTTGCCTATTGCTTCTTGGCCTTTTGGCTAAGATCAAGTAAAGAAATCCTTGCCTAACCCAGAGATTTCCTTATATGTTTTCTTCTAGATGTGGTGCAGTTTTAGGTTTTACATTTAGGTCTATATCTATTTTGTGTTCATTTTTTTCTATAGTCCAAGATCTGAGTCAAGTTTCTCCTTTTTTCTTATTTTTTTCCTTCCATTTCTTTTCTTCTTTTCTTTCATAAGGATATCCAAGAATTTCAGCCCCATTTGTCAAGAAGATCATTCTTTCTCCATTAGATGGCCTTTGTACCTTTGTCAACAATCAGTTGACCATACATGTGTGTATCTGTTTCTGGATTTTCTATTCTGTTCCATTGCTCTCTCTGACTACCCTTCACCAGGACCATGCTGTCTTGAGTTCTGTAGCTTAGTCAGTTTTCCCCTCAGGTAGCACCTTCCTCTGGTGGTGGTCTTCTTTTTCAAACTTGGCCACTGTAGGTGCTTTTTCTTTCCATATACATTGTATAATCGGCTTGCCAATTTCTACCAAGAAGAGCCTACTTCAGGTTTTCTTGAAAAGAGACCTGCCACCGGGTTCAACCACGCAAAGTAGGTTTTTGAAGCACAGTTAGCCCTTATCGGAGCCTTTGCTGCCTGTTGGGGTTCCACAAGAGAGAGAGACCAATGGCTCTTTTTCCTTCTTCTCATGGGACTAATTCTGTATGGTGGTATTTTCTAACTGCAACCCAACCCACCAATGAGTCATGAAATCAGTCTTTTAGGACAAATTAAATAGTATAGAATGGAAAATACCCCAGTGCTTCACTCTTGGTCAGAACCAGTATCGAATATTTTCTTTTAATTACACATACAGGTGGGGGGGTGTATACAATAAGACACATTGCAAAGGGTCTTTCTTATTGTGGGTCACATCAGAGAAGCTTGCACAAACAGCTCTATAAAATGCACCTCTGATCATGCTACAATCCGAAGGCCTTCTGGTCTGACCTCCCATGTGAGCCTGGTCCCTGCCAGCTGTTGCTACTCTCCCTGCAAGCTTGCCCTCCCAGCCCCTGCCCTTCAGCCTGAGCAATCTGTCCAAAATGCCAGTCTGTTCCCACACTCCCTCAGGAGGTTTCCTACCTCTCCCATCACCTACAGACCAATTCCAAATATCTTAGCCTGGCATACAAGGCTCAATACTACTAACTAGTTCCATCTACCTCCCACTGCTTTCCTCTATATTTTATGCTCCAGCCAATTTCCCACTCTGCAAGCACACCTGCACCTTCCCTTGCACTCCATCTTCCTCTCAGCATACTTGTGGCTGCCACCACTCTCCAGTGCAATGCTACTCATCCTTCAACTCTGGGATCAGCCACCTCCTCTCAGAAGCCTTCCCAGATGATCCCACTAAAAGTAAATTTCCTCCTCTCTGTTCCTATCATGGGCATCACCCTCTGGCCCTCAGCCTTCGGAAATGCCAAGACAATCCGAAATGATAACTCAAGCCGCTTTGGGAAGTATATCGACATCCACTTCAACCCCAGTGGGGTGATCGAGGGCGCACGCATCGAGCAGTTTCTCCTGGAGAAGTCCCGGGTCTGCCGGCAGGTGAGGCGTCCCTCTGCTGCACTGGCCCTGGGGAGGCCTCCTCCCACCCCAGGACGGGAGTCGGAATGAGGAGGCTTCCAAGACAGGTTCCCTTCCATCAATCTCACGCCTCCCAGGGACCTCCCCAAATCTTCATAGATTTTCTGCCACTGTACTTACCCTGAGATGGGCCAAGGACCCCCTAGAATTGCATAATGATGGTCCTTTCCTAGTATTTAAGACAAAGAAATAATAGGATTTTCTGTTTTGAATTTTCCATCCATAATATGTTCAACATTCTTTGGTGCCTACTACTCACCTCTGCTAGAATGCATTCTAAGTCCAGGTCAGTCCCCAGCTAAGGATCTGGGTCCTGGCATCACTCCCTGGCTTGCCTTTAGGCAAGGTGCCCTCAGGGCTGGGAGCAGCAGCAGAAATGCAGAGAAGGCCTGGGAACCAGGAATTTGTAGCGGGTGGCCTTTAGCACAGGGCTGTGGACGAGAGCTGACCTTGGAGGCCCAAGATGAGGGCATCTACCGAGCCGAATGTCCCTCGGGTCAATGCCAGAGCCACATCTGGTTGACAGATCTTGGAACAGAAGCTGGGACAGGGCTGGAGGTGAGAGGAAGTCCTGCAGCCGGGTAGCCTCAGCGGAATGCTTACTGGGCTCTCTGGACCGCCTTCCCCACCAGGCCCCGGAGGAGCGGAACTACCACATCTTCTACTGCATGCTCTTGGGGATGAGTGCAGAGGAGAAGCAGCTGCTGAGCCTGGGGACACCCTCCGAGTACCACTACCTGACAAAGGTGAGGCCCGCGCCGCCTCTCTCCACCCCACCCCTGTCCTCCTGCCCCGCCTCAACCTTCCCACCTCTGCCAGCACCACTGTGCCCAGCCTCCCACTAACAAAAGGAGAAAGAGAAAGGAAGGCTGCGTCCTGTTGGGAGTTCCCTTTTTCCATCCCCCACTCCACCCTTCTCCTGTTTAATGATGTCAGAGACTCTTACCCTTGTGCTTCCTTATTTTCTCTTGAACTCCTAGTCCTTGCCCATACACCTCAGCTTTCCCTGGCTCCAGCAGTCAGAGGGTCTAGTAAGTGATGGAGAGTCATAGCCACACTTCTCCTTCCTCCATTTCATTCCAGTTGTCCATCCTTGTAGGTGCCCGTAGAACTTGAACTCCAGCAAAGCAGGGACCTTGCTCTTGCTTTGGGCTGTACCCCCACTGCCTGGAGCTACGGGATGCGAGCAGCCACCCAGCTCAAGTTTGTCAAAAAGGGGATGGAGGAGTTCCACCTCTTGAATCTCTTCTGCCTAACCCCTCTCTCCTCCATTCACTGTCGCACACTCCTCATTTCTTGCCTGGATCCTGGTGGTGGTTTCCTCCAGCACCCTCCCTGTCACCAGACTTGACCCCTAATCATCATCCCATCATCTATTCTAGACCTTCCTTCCACAGTGCAAGTCTGACAGACCTGCAGGGGCTCCCTGTGGCTCCTTGCCATGGTTTCCAAGTGCCTCCAGATCCCAAACCCCTCCACTTCTCCCTACTATGGCCCCTGCTTCCTTGCCAGCCCTGCCCCTGCCTCCACAGCCTAGCTCCGCTGTTCTCTGCCTACACCACCTTCTCTCTGTGATGCATGGAGCACAGTGTGTGCTTCCTCCAGGAAGCTTTCCCTGACTTCCCAGTAGGGTTGTCCTGGCCCTCTTTGGTCTCAGCAGCACCTGTGACAGCATATGACACTGTCATTTGCTTCCTGCTTCCCTTCTTGGATGCACGGTGCCCTACATGGGCCGGGTCTATCCATTTATGAATTCCCAGCAAGCAGCACAGGCCCGGGTGCACAGGGAGCTTTGGAAGGTGTTTGTTAAAGCACTGAGCTCACAGGATTCCCCAGAGAGGTTAAGGCAGGTGTTACTATGGATGGGTGACAAATAGAGGCTTAAAAAAGCTCAACAGCTTGGCTGAGGCCACACAGCTTCTGAGCTGCTGTGTCCATGTTCCCACGATCCCACCTCCGGAAGCACGTTTATGTATCTTCTGAGCTGGAGCCCCCAGCGGGCCTCTCAGAGTCTACCCAGAGCCTAGGAGGTGTCACTTCTTAGGGGCCTTTGGCTAAGTCCCTGACACGTCTACACCTTGCTAGCCCTGTGATGGAGGAGGTGGGATGTGGTGTGGCCCCCAGAATGTTGAGGTGCCCAATCTTGCAGGGAAACTGCACCTCGTGTGAGGGTCTCAATGACGCCAAGGACTATGCACATGTGCGCTCCGCCATGAAGATTCTCATGTTCTCTGACTCAGAGAACTGGGACCTCAGCAAGCTCCTGGCAGCCATTCTCCACCTGGGCAACGTGGAGTTCATGGGTAATGCTCTCCACTCAAACTCTACCCCCTGGGGAGGAGGACTGGAGGGACCAGGATGGGAGGAGGAAGAAATCCCTGGGAGTTCTCACCTCAGAAGCCTGTCAGAGCCACACGGTCTAGCCCTGTCCTGGGAAAATGCACTGAAAATTGTAGCTATGATTTTGGAGATCTTGCAGCATTACGGGGAAGATGTCATAGCTGAGGGCCCTCCAAAGATGAAACTCTGATCAATCCCCCTGTTTTAGCTGGGACCCTCCAGGGCTGCCCCCTTAAGATGAGGGTGAGCCAGAGTGAACAAAGCAATCCATAAACTTGCAAGTCTATTTGTAGGCATCCGGGTGGTCTGGGCATTAGGGTGTCTTGGCCCATTCGTGCCTCCAAGAACCTGACAGAAGTTCCTCTCTGGAGGAAACTAGCATCAACTTTGATTACAAATTATTCCTTTAAACAGTTTTTCAAACACCGCATCTCACATGCAGCCAGGGATAGATAGGAACGAGGAAATAAGATATCATGAGTAAGAACCAGCAGAAATAACAGGCAATAGATATAGAACCACAAAGGCTTCAGATATTTAGGATTATTGGACACAAACCATAAAGCAGCTATGCTTTCTATGTTCAGCAAAAGAAAAGGTCAAGCTTGAAAATTTAGACAGGAAACTGGAGATGGAAGATGTGATATTATAGACTGTAAAAGGAACTGTGTAGAAATTCTAAAATTAAAAAAGGGAAAGACCAAAATTCAGAACTCAATGGATGGTTTTAGCAGTCAGTTTTATACACGTGGAGAGGGAGTGTGTAAGCTGGGAAGAAGTTGGAACACAGCATGGAGATACAGAAGGGTGGAAACTATATAAGAGAGAGGAGGAGATGTGGGGGACACAGTGAGAAGCTATAGAGTAGCTTTAATCAGCGTCCTAGAAAAAAAAGAGAGAGAAAAGAATGGGGCAGAGGCAATATTGGAAGGAATGGTGGTTGGTTCTAGATTCATGAAGGATAGCAATTCACAGAACAGTGAGGAAAGGACAGACTTTTCAATAAACTTTTCTAGAGCGATTGGTTGTCCATGTGGAAAACATGAACTTGGACGCCTCTCTCGTACCATGTAAGGAACTCTGCTCTGGGAGAGTTGTTGCTGTGCCCCTGTGATCCACCAAACTGTGGTGACAGGTGGGTGCTGACACGCACACAGGGGGCAGCAGGACCTGGAAGAGCATTAAAAATGTGATGTTGAGGAGGTGGTATCGGGCACAGAAGAATGCAGGTCTCGTGGATCAGACATTCGTTTAGATCACACTTAACAAAAGTTAAAAACAGGTGAAATTAAATGCTGTTTAGGGACTCATATGTAGGTAATAAAAGGATCATGGAAAGCAAGGAAGTGGTTTCCATTAGTGAAAGGGACGTGGTCTTAGCAGGAAAAGACCACGAGGGCTTCGGATGTTGGCCAGGCTCTGTATCTTGGTAGTAGTAGTGGTTACACCATGTCGACTTAATCATCATTTATTATAACACGCCTTCAGCTTCTATACACTTTTTTATCTGAATGCTTTATTTCATAATTTTTTCAAATTTAAAAAAGAGATTATCGATATGTACATAAGTGGCACTTCCCCGCTCTGTCCGCCCGGTAGTCCTGAGGTGGAGGTCGCCTCAGAGAAGGGAATGAGCTGGGGGGCTGGTCAAGAGGCCCGTGCAATAGGAGTGGGCCCGGCTTATAGTGACGCTCTGTTAATGTCTGCTTATTGGCCTGAATGAATAAACGAATGCCGAGATTTCCACGGACAGCAGAGTGGACTCAAGGGGGGCGATGGCTCATCTTTCTCTTTAGTAGACCCCATCCCGCACACACCAGCATCAGGCTTCTGCCTTCAAATAAGCCCTCGTTTCTTCAAACTTCACTTTGACCCAGGGCTATGATCTCGCTGAGTGGAGGGGAAGTAGTCTGTTATCCTCCTTCACAGCTAAGGGGCTGGTAATCACCAGGGACATTGGCTTCCGCAGAGGGTCTGGGAGAGGCAGTGCCCCACATCCAGGAACAGTTGCCTCTAATAGGTGGATCTGGGGCTGCCCCAGGCCCGGGCCCTACGGGGATACCTGTTCCATCACTTGAGCTGCTGTGCCTCTCAGGGTTATTGCTTCTCTCCACAGCCGCAGTCTTTGAGAACCTGGATTCCTCTGATGTGATGGAGACGCCTGCCTTTCCCATCGTGCTGAAGTTACTGGAGGTAGCCTGGCCATTGTGTTTGTCAGCTTCCATTTCTGTGAGGGGCCCCAGGGGTCTGCGCTCACAGCCCCCTGACTCCTGATTGTCATAACCCTTCCCAAGCTCCCACTCCTTCCCCCCAACTCCTCTCCCAGACTCTCAGCTCAACCCCGGAACCCATCTGGCACTGCAGACACAGGGGTGGGAAGCAGGGTGGGAGGCAGCATGAGCTAGTCTTTAACAAAGCAATGAAATGATTGGTCCAGCTCTAACACACATTTCTTCCTCTTCCCCATGTGCCCCCTGCTCTTCAGTGGCCTTCACTCACCATCCTCCCTCTGCACCCACCCAGTCCCCAAGCTCTCCCCACAAGGCCACATAGCCCAGTGCCCTTACACTGGACCGCCCCTGCCTCTCTTCACTAAGCCCCTGCCTTCCAGAGCTGTGCTGTTCTGGGAAAGTGGAGCCTCCCTGGAGGAAGAATGGCAGATACTGGGTGGAGAGAGATCTTTGCCCTGGGAACATTATAATGTCCTCCACGTCACACCCATTGACAGTTATGGTGGGGAATTAATACAATCAGAAGCAAGCAAACAAACAAAGCCATCACACTTTGCAGCTAATCTTCTTTATTTGGTTCAGGGTCTTAGAGACTTTGGGTTCTTGCTGACTCCGTCTTCCCTGCATGGTGAGAGGGACTGGCCCATCCGGAACCCTCCTGTTCCTTCAGGCCCTCACCCCTCCAGGCAGGAACGGCTTCGGTTGGGGAATACCCAGATGCCAATAGTCTGACCTCAGAGCCCGCCCCGCCCATTGTTTTCCAAGGTCTGCTATGGCACCAGCCCCTTCCCCAGCTCCGGAGACCAGCAGACAGCTGGCAAACCAAGCAGCCAGCGTGCCCAGGGCCCATCCAGGTTGTGCATCCTTCCCGACGCTCTGGCTCCCCAGTGCTTAGACTGCGGCTGGGCCTGGGCCTGCCCAGGACCCCGACTCAGGCCTGCATCTGGCCTGGCCCCCTGAACAGCCCCACGGGCCTCTCCCACCATCTGGCCTTGGGCACAGGGTGTTTAGTCACAGGAGAGAACAGGAGTTGGAGGCACGGAGCCAGGCCCTGCCCCATTAGCCGTGACGCCCGGCGTCGCCTGCCTTTCCAGGTGAAGTACCAGGCGCTCCGGGACTGTCTGATCAAGAATTCCATCATCATCCGAGGGGAGTTTGTCACCAGGCCCCTGAACATCACCCAGGCTGCAGACCGCAGGGACGCCTTTGTCAAGGTACAGAGCTGTGGGACAAGGGGCCCATGTGTCAATGTGCTGAACCTGGCTCCTTGCCCTGCTGGTGGAGAGCAGGAAAGAGCAGAGGTGGCTGGGCTGGCCTTGATTCTGCCAGTCACCTGCCTCGTGACGGTGGCTTCCTAGCTTCTTTGGGCTTCAGTTCCTTGCCTGTAAGGTAGGGACAGAAGCCCCCAGTAAGTCCAGGAGATTCGCTGTGGGTCCAGCCTTTGCAGGTGAACTTAGGGATGAGGGCCAGCCTTCCTCCTATACCACAAAGCCTGTGGGCTTCTCCCCTTGTCTCCTCAGGGCATCTATGGCCACCTCTTCCTGTGGATTGTCAAGAAAATCAATGCTGCCATTTTCACCCCGCCTGCCCAGGACCCGAAAAATGTTCGAAGGTCCATCGGCCTCCTGGACATATTTGGCTTTGAAAATTTCCAGAACAATAGGTATGAAGACCTCAGGTCACCTGCTTTCAGAGATGGGAGGTCAGCTTAACTTGGGGCTAGCCGGGCAGCTGGGGGTAGCCACTTCTCCCCCGTGAGACTGCTCTGCAGGCCTGCATGTGTCTGCGGTGAGATGGTCTGTGCTCCTCCCCTCCCCCTCTCGGGTCTAGAGAAGGCCACACGGCTAAATGCATCCCCAAGTATTTGTCGCCCACCTTGAGCCATCTGCTCTCCCATCACATGAGGCGAGGGTGAATTTGGACATCGCTAGCCTTGATTCAGCTGCATCTTTACATGGGACGTCCCACTAGTGACTGGGGAAGGAAGGTAGGGGATTTGTGACCGTCCCTGACTTTCAAGTTTTGCAAGGGTAAGGCAAGGCAGGACGTCGCCTCTGACCCTGTGTCCCAGTGTTTCAGCACCCCAGCCGGGAGGCCCACGAGCTGGAGGTGAGAGGCAAGTCAGAAAAGTGACTGTGACTGTAATGAAGGCTGGGGAGGGGGATGACAGGGCGCTAGAGGGAGTCAAATGAGGACAGGTGATGCTGTCAAGTGGCGGAGGACGTCACCACGAGGAAATGAGGACAAGCAAGCAGGAGCACATGGGATTGCAGCCTCCCCAGGACCAGCAGGCAGGGCAGGGGCCTGCTCAGTGCGCTGGGGGGATGGGCAGGGCTGGCTAAGCCCAGTGCAATGGCAGCTCTAAGGCACAGGAAACTCAGGTGTGATTCAGATCCTCTGCCCCCAGGAGAGAGAGCTGAGCAGACCAAGCACCTTGGCTGCCTTAGAGGTGGTCGCAGAGGGTCGGTCATTTATGCAGGGGCCCCTCCCTGAGGGTCTGTGACAGGCCTTCAGTCACTTCCTGCAGGTGGCCATTGAGCGCTCTCCGGGCAGGCCAGGCGTGCAGGGAGCGGGGCACACGGCGTACCTGTCCCCTCCCCTCCTGGGTTAACAGGCGTTGAACCACCAGTCTCGGGAATGATGAGGTTTTGCATAAGTGGGCAACGTATCCGGAGGAAGAAAGGCCTCCACGAGACCCCAAGGGATGAACAGAAGGAGCCCAGCAATGAGGAAGGAGAGGAGGGAGGCAGGGAATGTGTGACCTCCCTCCCCGCCCCCCGGGGCAGGGAAGAAGTGGGTGCCTCACAGCACCGCTGAGGCCCCTCCCAGAGACGCAGGGAGCTTTGTTCTGTTCTCTGCCTGTGGGGATCTGAACTGAGCAGGAAGCCCGGGAGGACTGGAAGCAGGGACAGAGAGTCCACCGAGGGGCGTGGCGTGTGGAGACGGGTTGGCTGTGTCCTGGATAGTGAGGGAGGGGGCCTGCACACAGCCTGCAGCGCGGGCGTGCAGAGGAGCAAACAGGTGGGGGCGCTGTGTCCGAGAGAGAGCGAGAGCTGGGCCAGACTCCAGGGCCGTTTGGAACTGGGAAGGGAGGAGGGAGAGGTGTCAGGTGCGACTCCGTGGTTTGTGACGCCAGCCAGGGGTGACGAGTGGAGGGGCCGTTGGAGATGGGAGGCCCGGAGGCTGTAGGCTGGAGCGGGAGTAAGGAGTAGTCGGGCTGCTGCAAAGGAGCCTGGCACGCAGCAGCCACACATACTCTAGCCTCTTGTCCCCGGGCTGGGGCTGCCCCGGGACACCGGGTCCCCCAAGGATTGTCTCTTGATGACAGTCTCTAGCTCTGTTTGCCATGGGCTGGAGGAGGTGATGGTGGCAGGGGCAGAGAGAAGGGGGAGGGGATGTGACAAGGTGAATGTGTGCATAGAGGTGGGCCTCTATGGGCTCACCGTGTCCCCCCTCCGGGTGGTGGCGCCCCGCCCCCCCAGCTTTGAGCAGCTCTGCATCAATTTTGCGAACGAGCACCTGCAGCAGTTCTTCGTGCAACACGTGTTCACCATGGAGCAGGAGGAGTACCTCTCCGAGAACATCGCTTGGGACTACATCCACTACGACGACAATCGGCCCACCCTGGACCTGCTGGCCCTCAAGCCCATGAGCATCATCTCCCTCCTGGATGAAGAAAGCCACTTCCCACAGGTGCATCCCTGACACCACCCACCCCAGGGTGGAGAGCCCCGCTCATGGGTCTCACCCTCGAGGGGGGGAAACCCCCTGGGGGTGGCCCATGGGTCCCTGAGGTTGCTGAAACCTCTGTCAGGCATCAGCAGCCCAGTCCCAGCCTCAGCAACCTCTTCTCCTGCAAGGTCCACCTCCTACAGGAAGGCCTCCTGACTCCAGCCTCACTCCCCGTTCCCCAGCAGCAGGAGGTCACAGTCACTGTTTATTCACACCTAAGAACTCACCCCAAGAGGGGCTTCCTAAGCACCCATGGGCCTGGGGCTGCACTGCAGAGGGTGTGAGAGATAGAAATGCTTGCTTCTCACCCTGAAGGCACTCTGCCTGTCCTAGGAAAGTCTGCGTCCAAAGAAGGGCAAGCCAGGGCCAGGGCACCTGGGTGACTGGAGGGAAGGGGAGGGGAGGGTGGCGCTGTGGAGGTCAGCAGACCTGTTCTCTGCTCCCAGTTCAGCCCTCACTCACAGAGACTTGTCACCAGCCCTGAGCGGCAGTTAGAAGGGCCCTGAGTCACTCTGAGCCGAGCTGCTCTGCCCCTGTGAGAGAGTTCCTGAGCCTTTGGCTGTGCTGGCTGACCTCCCTGAGCATGGCTGAACTGTGGGGCGTGTGCATTCTTCCAGGGAACAGACACCACCATGCTGCAAAAGCTGAACAGTGTGCACGCCAACAACAAGGCCTACCTGCAGCCCAGGAACATCCACGATGCCAGATTTGGCATCGCCCACTTTGCGGGCGACGTGTACTACCAGACAGAAGGTGGGCACAGCTCCTCACCGCTTCGCTTCCCTTCCAGATCTGGATCATTCCAGGGGGCGGGGCAGGGATGCGGGAAGAAGGCTGAGAGGGCAGGGTATTTTGCAGAGCTAACAATGGGACAACAGGAATGGAATGGACCCTGCGTGGATTGTCAGCACCAGTCATACTGTACGGGGGCCACCTGATAGCCTCATTTCAACATGATCACCTCTGTAAAGGCCCCATCTCCACATATAGTCACACTCTGAGGTCCTGGGGTTAGGGCTTCAACGTGTGGATTGGAGGGTTGGAGGGGGATGCAACTCAGCCCATAACACTGCCCCTTCTTAATTTCTGGATTCTCAGTCTTCAGGGTGGAAGGGCCCTTGGCCCTGGCAGGACCTTCCAGGACCCCAGAGCACAGCTGGTGGAGGGGCTGGGGGCTCTGGGCCCTCAGGTCCGCCTTAGCGACCACGGGCATGCTTGGTTCCTAAACCTCTTCTGTCAGGGACGCCTGAGTGGCTCAGTTGGTTAAGCATTGGACTTGGGCTCAGGTCATGATCTCATGGTTTGCGTGTTCAAGCCCCGCATATGGCTCTGTGCTGACAGCTCAGAGCCCAGAGCCTGCTTCAGATTCTGTGTCTCCCTCTCTGCTTCTCCCCCACTCACACCCATCCACACCCCCCCCTAAGGGCACACATTCACTGTGAGATCTGTGCAGTTTAAACTCCTAATAAGGAGGGAACTGTGGCCTCAGGCCTCCTAATCAGCGAGCCATGCCCCATCCTTGGAGCCGGTAAGACACTCAGTATGAATTCTTCTCCCCCTTCCATTTGGGGCTCCCAGGAAGAGCAGCTCACCGGTCTCACACCCACACAGACTGGCCTGCTGGGGCGGGTGGGCGCACAACTCCTCCCAGGGGCCTCCCGGCTCAGGGGCGAGGGCAGCCGTCCCTTCCAGGCTGCAAGCTCCCTGGGCCTTACCAGGCTGCCAGACGATCAGGACTTCGTGGTGGGGCTGGGAGGCTTCTTCAGTCTCCTTTTCCTTGTTTCCTCTTTTTAACTCCTTTACGTGAGTAAGTAGCTGCCTGGGCCAGACTTGCCCAAGGTCACCTGGACACTTAGCAGGCCAGAGCCCTGAGGAGAGCCCTCAGACATCTCCCTGCAGGGAAATCTAAACTGTAACCCAAAGGGATGCATGGTTGGCACTGGCTGCTGGTCTGCCCCAGGGCATACCTGGGAGTTACAGTGATGGCCAGGGCTGGGGGTGCTGAGGGAATGGGGTCACTCCTGTCCGCGGTGCTCCCGGGGTGGGGGTGAGGGGGCATGGCTGGTGAAGGACAGGGAAAGTCCTCGGACTGCCCACGCACCGAGCCTCAGAGCCGGTGAGAAAGGTTGCCCGGAGGCCGGCAGAGCCCTGGGGAGGGCCCTGGGAGCCTCCTGGAATAGACCATGCTGGAGCTGGTCTTGAAGAATGAGCTGGAGCCGCATGGGTGCCTGAGGAAGGAAGAGTGTACAGGAGCGGCCGGTGGGGGGCAGCGGTGTGGGAGAGCTGGGAGCTCTGTGGGTGATTTGGTGTGGGTAGGCGTGCTGTGGTGGCGACAGCACAGGAAGCATTCGGCAGGGAGAGAGGCGAAGGGCAGAGGGTCAGGGCCCTGAGCCCGGAAGAACGGGGTAGAGGGCAGAGTGGTGGGCTGTGATTGAAGGGAGGGTTCAGGCAGAAGGACTGGCAGTGGAGGGGTGACGGGGGTGGGGCTGGAGGGTTTAGGTGTGGGTGTGACACACGGGCAGAGAGCGTGCAGGGGGGGCGGGGCTCTGCTGGCTGGACAGGGAGGCCAAGGGCCAGGTGGAGAAGGCAGCAGGCCCTCCTCCGGGCTTCCTGGTGTGACCAGAGCCCCCCAACCCCACTGCCCTCCCCCTCCCCCGTGGGCCTGTGGGTCTGTGGCAATGGCCGAACTGGGCTGGTGGGTGGGCTCTGCTTCCCGCACAGGCTTCCTGGAAAAGAACCGAGATGTGCTGAGCACAGACATCCTCACCCTAATCTACTCCTCCGAAAACAAGTTCCTGAAGGAGATATTCAATCTGGAGTCAGCAGGGACCAAGCTGGGATTTGGGACCATCATCCCAGCCAAGACAGGGAGCCAGCTCTTCAAGGTAGTCTCCCGATGGGGGGTCCTGCCAGTGCCTCCCAGGGCCCTCAGCCCCTAGGGCCTCAGGGGTCAGATGGGTACACACAGAGAACACCTATCACCTGGGTCTCAGCTGCTCAGTCAGGGCCCAGAAGTGAGTGCAAACCAGGAGTGAGGTGCTGTGTGGGCCGTGGTAAGGGGACAGGTTTCCGTGGACAGCCTGCTTCTGGGCGTGTGGTCTGGTGGGGGCACATCTGCTGGTGTGGATATTATGTTTCTAGATTGGTCTGTGTGTGTGTGTTGGGTGTGTGCACAGTGTGTGTATTGTGTGTGTGGGGTGTGTGTGTGTATGGTTATCTGGTGTATGTGTGTGTGGTGTGGGGTGTGTTTTATGTGATGTATATGGGGTGTGGAGTATGTATGTGTATATGTGGGGTGTGTGTGTGCTATGGTGTATATGGTATTTATGTGTGATATGTGTGTGTGGCATGTGCAGTATATGTGGTATGTGTGTGTAGTATGGTATGTGGTGTGTGTGTACTATGGGTGTGTGTGTGGCATGTGCAGTGTGTGTATGGTATGTATGTGGTGTGTGCGTTATGTGTGTACTATGGGTGTGTGTGTGATATGTGGTGTGCAGTGTGTGTATGTGTGGTGTGGCAGGGGCAGCACTAAGGGTGCCGGCCAGAGAGGTGGGCAGCAGAGAGCCCCCACTGCTCCTCAAGGCGGCCTAGAATTTCCTGGCAGGGTGAGGGTCTGCCTACCCACTCCCTGCCACTCCGCCACCCCTTAAGAGTGTCTGTTCCAGAAAAGGCCCATGAACCATCTAATGAGGAACTCACCCACCAGGGGGCAGGGACATGGGGCCAGCTGGGTGGCTCGGGAACTTGGGGTGTAGGCAGAGGAAACTGCCCCCTGTGCCGTGCATTCCACTCTGGCCACACTGAGGTGCCCTTAACCTGCCATCAGGCCCCACCCTAACCTCTGTAGGAGGCCTCTCCTGAGACCTCAGGGCCCAGGGAGGCATCCAGGAGCCTTGAGGCCATGCAGGAATTGCCCACATCAGGAACCAGGTAGGACCAGCCCGTACCCTCTGCATCACTGAGCCAGGCTCAATGCTCCACAGCTGAGGCCGGAGTATAGGCTGTCCTGGCTCTGTGGGCCCCAGAGCATGCCCTGGGGATTCCATGGAGCAGGGTGACAATGGATGGAAATGCACGGTATTTTACAAACCTGTATGACAGGAAATTGCTGCCCGCTGTTCCTGTAAGCTGCCAGTGATGGCATTCTCTTCGTCAGTGTGTTAAGACTCGTGTATCCAATTGCTGCGATCAGGCAGTACCTGCCTTTGTTCAGCTGCCTTTGACTTGGAAAGGATTTGATCAAGGAGCATCGCCCAGGATCAGCACTGCCCAAAACACACACCTGGGCTTGTCCCCTCCTGCGTCCATAATTCTGATACGGTTATTTTAAAACTATATGCATTTGCTACAATGCTCACCATGTGCAGTATAAAACAAGTTTTAAAATCAAAACCAATACAAAAACCGAAAACGTAGAAGGGTGAGGTAAAAAGGGAATGTGGTCAGTTCTCACGTCCTTTCCCACTCTGGTGCGTCCCCTTGCACACCCCACGTGGGGCCCCACCTCTAGGCAGGATGCTTTGCTCTGCCTTGCTCACCGGAACCCACGTGGGCCAGTGAGCGGGGGGCTGAAGGATGTCTGTGACATTGGCCGAAGCCTCACCCGGGTCAGCCGTGCCCCAGGCCGAGCTCCCCAGCTCCCTGCTTGTACCTGTGCTTCTGCCCGCAGTCCACAGTCTCCAGCAAGCAGTCCTCCACCCTGGCGGGCCAGTTCAAGAAGTCCCTGGACCAGCTGATGAAAATCCTGACCAGCTGCCAGCCCTACTTCATCCGCTGCATTAAACCCAACGAGTACAAGAAGCCGCTGGTAATGAGGGGGTGCTGGGGGCACATGCGAGGAGGGAGGGGATACCTACTGGATGAGTCTCATGGCACGGTCATGTCACTCCTTCCCCGGCCTGGCCAGCATTAGAGCTATCTGCCCCCATCTTATAGACGGGGACACTGAGACCAGTGTCTACATTCTAAGGTCAGTGACTGGCAGGGCTTTGGGTAACCCAGACCTCTGCTGGCTCCGGCCTGCTGTTCACCAGCTGTGTGCACTTGGCCAAGTGCTCTGCTTCTCTGAGTCTGTTTTCTCTTCGGCAAAGTCAGAATCCTGCCCGTGTTGGGGGCAGCAAGGCCTATACATGATGTTTTTGGCATATCTGCATGTGCAAATCCTGCTTGGTAGGGGGAAGCAACCAGTACTAGGTGTTAGAGTCTGGTGGCTGCTGGTCACCAAGGCCTGAGGCCAAGCAGCTCTTTGGAGGGTGGCTTTATCCACATATGTGCTGGGTAGGAGCCTGGTACCCAGGAGTCCCGGACCTGTAGGCTTGGGAATCCCACCCAGAGGCTCAAATACAGGACTCCCCAAACTGGGAGAAGCCATCTAAAAGGAGATTAAATGACTCAAAAAAATCTTATAAGGGGAAAAATTAATATTACGTTAAATGCAGTATATTTTTAGAAGAGAATAAAATCATATGAAATTGGGACTGGCCTAGGAAATCCAGAAGGTGTCCTCCTTACAGGCACAGCACCTGTATGTTGGGTAATAACTGTGCTTCCAGAGGCCCTCTGCCCTCACCCCCCCCCCCCCGCATCCCCACCCCACTTCCAGTGCTGAGGGACAGGTGGGCGGGGCCTGAGGCTGATGCTCCTGTATCTCAGGCAGCCCTGACTTGAACATCCCTCAGAGACAGTGGCTGCTATGTATAGGGGGAGAGGCCAGGCTGAGGGGCCAGACAGGCTCAGGGTGACCTCGCTCAGCCACTTAGGAGTGTGGCCCTGAGCCCCAGGCACCTCATCTTTAAATTGGAGCTAAGTGCCCCACCATGTAGGGCTGTTATAAAGATTCAACAAGAAACACAGAGCCCACAGTAAATGCCCAATAAATGGGACCCAATTAGCTGCCCAAGACCAATGGCCACGTGGCCCTGGATCCCACGAGCAGTTGGCACTGTGGCCCTCAGCCTCTCCAGGTAGGTAACAGCCTGCTGGTGGGCTTACCAGATTCCAGGGAGTGCCCTTAGTCCCCAGACACTCCTGGCTGGGAGGCTGAGGGGCGTGCTCTCTCAAGGCCAAGCCATGTAGAGTCTGGGGCCATGGCTGAAGACCCCATTCCCCTGCTCAAAGCCTCATGTCCCAGTTCCTCCCTATCAGCCACGCCCACCTCTGCGGGAGAGAAACTAAGTTGGCTACAATATTTTCTGACTCGAGGTAGGGAATGTCCTTCATTACAGGAGAATGTGGGAGGCAGGAGAGCGCCCACCCCAACCCAGGCAAGGCCAGGAGGAAAGTATCCTTTGGGAGCATTGTTGTGGGGCATTTACAAACATTTTAAACATGACATATGCAAATAACTTTTATATTCATAGTACTTTGCATATCCGGAGAATGAGGGAAATATTTAGTGTTCTTATGTAAGTCATAGTTTGTAGATTCCTGACTTGTATCTGCTTGGAAATACTTTGGAGGCTTTTCAGTGACTTGGGTCCAAAGTCCTCTCTTCAAAATCGGTGTCTGCAGCGTAAAGCAAACAACTCCGTTAAGGCAAGCACTGCGGAGTTCTCTCGTGTCTGGGGATGGCCGGGTGGCTGGGAGGCTGCCCGGGCAGGTGCACCGACCATGTGCAAGCCTCCCGCCTGTGTGCCCTCAGCTCTTCGACCGGGAGCTGTGCATCCGGCAGCTGCGCTACTCGGGCATGATGCAGACGGTGCACATCCGCAAGTCAGGCTTCCCCATCCGGTACACGTTCGACGAGTTCTCGCAGAGATTCCGTGTGCTGCTGCCCAGCGCCGTGCGCCTTCAGGTGCCCCTGCCGCCTCGCCCCCGCCTGGGCCCGCTGGCACTGAGAGGCGGAAGTGCCTGCGCTCCCACCTTCGGGCGCCCCAACCCCCAGTTCCTCTAGCTGCCCTCCTGATGCCCAGGCCCCCTTCCTGGACTCCAGGCTTTGAAAGGACCCCTGTTCCTCCCTTCCATCTCATCTCCTCCCCGCCCCCCCCATCTTTCACTCCCTGGGTGCCCTGGAAGTGAGGGAGGGGCCCGCTCACACTGGGGCACACTCACTGGTTGAGGCCGGTGGCCGAAATGTTGGTGTGAGGAGGTGTCTGCAGTTTAAAGCAAACACTGGCGAGATGGTGCCGTGCCTGGGTTGCTGTTTGGGGCAAGAGGTCCTTCCCATCCTTCCTCAGACTCTGAGCCATCCTGCACTGTTGAGCTGTCTAAGTGCTCAACAGCCACCCTGAAGCCCCAGGCGTGGTAGCCTCGAGGCTCCCAGCCCTGGGCTGTCCCCTGGGCCCCATCCTTGTTCAGAAGTGCCTTGAGGCTGCATCCTGGCCAAGCAACACTGATGGTGAAAGCCAGGGAGAGGAGGAAGAGGAATCCCAGAAAGCCTTAGTGGAGGGACCCTCAGCCTCCCCCCTGGGCCACCTGCTCCAATGCCACCAAGCCACTCCTGTTTTCTCCCTGGCAGCTTCGAGACAAGGCTCGCCAGATGACCCTGCGCATTGCCGAAGTGTGGCTGGGGACAGACAAAGAGTGGAAAGTGGGAAAGACCAAAATTTTCCTGAAGGTGAGCCCCTGAACACGCTGGTCCTCAGCCTCCTGGAGCCTATGGGGCTGGTCTCATGCCCACCCTGAGCCAATGCCATGGAAGCCTGCTCTGGGCGCAGCCCCTGCCCTGAGGCACTCCTGTCATTGAAAGCCATGCTGGGGGGCAGAGGGGCAAGGGAGTGTGGGGAAAGCCTTCAGAAGTCCAGGAGGCGTCTCAGAGCAGGGCATCTAAGGCAAGACCCAAGGAGAAGGAGGAGCTGCCCCCGGCCCCCAGGCAGAAGCAAGCAGGAGCTCAGGGTAGGCTCCCACAGGCCCTTGGGTGGGCTTCCTTGTCCATATTGGGAACCACAGTCTAAAGTCCAACCTGGGGAAGCTCCGCATCTTTAGAGTCCTGGAGAGCCAGCACGTCAGGCGAAGGAGTCAGTGTGCTGACCCCCTGACCCCCGACAGAGGAGCTTGCCCTTATGGGGGCCTGTGCAAGCAGCACCTCCCACCTCCATCCCCCCCCAACTTACAGTGAGGCCCAAGGTCATCAGAGGCAGCTGTGACTGACAGCCACAGCCTTCAGGCCCTCCGGGACTGCAAGTTGGGTCAAAGAGCCACTGAGGAGAGATCCTTGTAAGCTGTGGTGGGTGAGCAAAGAGAGAAAGAGGAAGGAGAAGAGGAGATCAGAGTGCCAGCCTGCCCAAGCTCCACCCCATCCCCACCGCCCCTTCCAAAGTCCTCTACTCCCTCCCCTTTCCCCATAGAGCCTGCCCGCCCATCTTCATCTGTCCCCAGAGGGACCTCCAGACCCTGACCCACTTGTCAGTCTGTCTGTTCATCTTTCCATGCAGTAGCCAGGCCGGTGCTGGGGCTTTGGGGCTTAGACAACAGGGAAGACACAGAGGGGCTTCAGATTCCATGGGGGGGGGGGGGGGGGGCGAGGCAGGCAGAGGGAAGCCATCGGGCAAGTCCCAGGGTGCTGTCCCAGAAGCTGGGACAGATGTCAAGGACCACAGGGGTGTGGCCAGTGTGGGCAGTTGGTGGAGAAGGGGAGGAGGAGAGTGCCCACCCCTCCCTGGCTGCTCCTTGAGGCCAATGTCAGGGGTCTAGTGTATTTCTGTGCCCACCCAGGCACATGAAGAGGCTCAGTGCTTGCTTGATGCATGCCTGATGGAAGCAGGTGAAGTCACCAAGCCCTTGCCTCTCCCTACCACTCACCAGAAGGCCAAGCTGCTTTCTGTTCCATAAAGATGGTCTTTGCCCTGCAGCGACTAGGATGGCAAGCCCAAGGGAACAGGGACCCAGTGAAACACAAAGGCAGGCCAGGGACGATCACAGCTCAGCGGTGAGTAAGGCTCACCAGCTCACTTGGAGTCCTACTTGAAGGCTGGAGGAAACATGTTTATATGGAAACAAGGATGAGTCTGTAACACACGTTGGGTGACATGTCACATGAATTTGGTGACATAAAACACAACTTCAGGGAAACATTTTCATCCCTTCTTGGGTTCTCCAGAGCAGAAATGAAATTTGCCAGATTAAATTAACAAGAAAAAAGAGCTAACATGGAAAGTTCTCGGACTGGAGACTGGGCATAGTTGTAGCTCTGTCTGAGGGCCCCTTCCCCTGCGTGCCCTCCTGGGAGCACATATGGGAAAAGTGTGGGAGACCCTTCTGGAGACAGGGACCTGGCCTTGGGTGGGGTATGGAGATGAGTGGAAGAGCTACATGCTGGGGTCTCTTCTGTCCCAGGATAACCAGGACACTCTGCTGGAGTTACAGAGGAGCCAGATGCTGGACGAGGCGGCAGTCAGCATCCAGAGAGTCCTGCGAGGCTACAAATACAGGTGCTGGCCCTGCCTGAGCCCCCTTCCCAGCCCCCACACCTACATCTTTTCAGGGGCTTATCTGCCACACACACACATATATCCTCTTCGGTGAAACGTCTGTGTGTGTTATTTGCCCAGCTTCTAATTTAATTCTTTGTTGAATTTTGGGAATTACTTATATATACTAGATACTAGTCCTTGGCTGGATGCATTTTTTGCAAATATCTTTTTCCAGTCTAGAGTCTTTCATTAAGTCCTCATAAGAGGGTCTTTGCAGAGCAAAATTTTTAGTTTTGATGGAGTCCAGTTTATCAAATTTCCCTTCACGGAGCTTGCTTTTGCTGTCACCTCTAAGATCTCTGCCTGAAGGTTTTCTCTTATCTTTTTTTTCCTAGAAGATTCTATAGTTTTACAGTTTGCATGTAGGTCCATTTTCATTTTGAGTTAAATCTTGTGTGTGTGTAGGGTGTGAGACTGAGGCTAAGGTTCTTTTTAAAAATTTCCCCCAGTGGATGTTGCTCCAGCATCATTCATTGAAAAGTCCATTCTGGTTTCAGTGAATTCATTTTGCACCTGTGTCAAAATCAGTTGGGTGTATTTGTAGGTCTGTTTCTGCATTCTCTATTCTTTTGCATTAATCTGTGTGTCTGTTTCCTCTGCCAATGCCATACTGTCTTGTTGACTGTAGTTATATAATAAGTCTTGGAGCTGCATAGACTAATTCCTCCCACCTTCTTCTTTTTAACATTGTTTTAGCTATTCTGGGTCCTTTGTCTTTCATACACATTTTATTTTATTTAAAAAAATTTTTTTAACGTTTGCTTTGGAGAGACAGAGAGAGAGAGCTCAAGCAGGGGAGGGGGAGAGAGAAAGGGAGACACAGAATCCAAAGGAGGCAGCACAGAGCCTGATGCAGGGCTCAAACCCACGAACTGTGAGATCATGACCTGAGCCGAGGTCGGACACCCAACCAACTGAGCCACCCAGGCGCCCCTCCATATACATTTTAGAAACATCTTGTCCATACGTACAAAAAAATCTTGCTGGGATTTTGATAGTAGTTATGTTGAGTAACAATTTAAGGAGAATTGACATCTCTACTGTGTTAAATTTTCTAACCCATAAATTCCATTCATTTAGATCTTTTTTGATGTCTTTCACCGACGTTTTATGGTTTTCAGCGTACCTGTTCTGTACACAGAACACATAACCTGTTTTGTTAGGTTTACACCTAGATTGGGTGGTTTTTTTTTTTTGAGATTATAAATGATACTGTATTTTTAATTTTGGCATTGATGTACTCACTGCTAGTATGTAAAAATATTTTTATGTGTATGTTAGCTTTGTTTCCTGTAACTTTGCTGAAGTCACTTACTTTTTATGGATTTCTCAAAGTTTTCTATACAGGCCATCAAGTTATGCACAAGTAGGGACAGTTTTATTTCCTTCTTTTCAATCTGTATATCTTTTATTTACTTTTCTCACTTAATGCACTGGCCAGAACTTCCAGTATTGTAAGAGTGGTGAAAGCAGATATCTTTGCCTTGTTTCACACCTTGGGGGGAAACCATTCAGTCTTTAACCATTAAGTATAATGTTAGCTGTAGGTTTCTTATCATTGTTCTTTATCAAGTTGAGGAAGTTTCCTGTATTCCTAGTTTTCTGGGAGTGTTTCTCAGAATTGGGTGTTGAATTTTGTCAAAAAAAATCTGCATCAGTTGCTATGATCATGTGATTTTTCTTGTTTAGCCTTTTATTTTTTATTATTTTTTTATTTTACCTTAGAAAGAGAGAAGGAGAGTAGCACACACAAGCAGGGAAGACGGGGAGAGGGGAAGAGAGTGAGAGAGAGAGACAGAGAGACAGAGAGAATCTTAAGCAGGCTCCATGCTCAGCATAGGGCTGAATCCCACAACCCTGGGATCATGACCTGAGCTGAAACTGAGTCAGATGCTCAACTGACTGAGCCACCTAGGTGCCCCTTGGTTAGCTTTTGAATATGGTAGGTTACAGTGATTGATTTTTTAATACTGAACCATCCCTAAAGTAAACCCCACTTGGTCATAGTGTATACCAAGCTGAATACTATTTGCTAATATTTTGATAGAAATTTTTACTTCTATATTTATAAAATCTGTAGTTTTCTTCTTTTGTAATGTTTTTGTCTGTTTTTTTCTGGAGTAACATTAGCTCCATAAAATGAATTAGAAAGTGTTTTCCCCTCTTCTATTTTCTGGAAGAGATTGTGCAGAATTGTTGTGAATTCTTTAAAAGTTTGCTAGAATTCTCCAGTGAAACCATCTAGGACTGAAGACTTCTTTATGGGGAGTTTTAATTATAAATTCCTTAATAGTTAAAGGATAATCCAAATTATCTGTTTCAGATTGAGTGAGTTGTGGCAGTTTATGCTTTTTGAGAAACTGGTCCATTTCATCTAAGTTGTCAAAAAATTTTTGTATGTTCAGAGTTGATCATAGTATTCCATTATTATCATTTCGACGTCTGCAGAGTCTGTGATGATACCCTCTGTTTCATTCCTGGTATTGATAATTTGTGTCTTTCTCTTTTCTTTGTCTGTTTTGCTAGAGGTTTGTCAATTTTATTGACCTTTCCAAAAAACCAGCTTTTAGTTTCATTGATTATCTCTATTGCTTTTCTGTCTTTCTGTTTTCAATTTCCACAATTTCTGCTCTTTTTATTATTTCCTTTCTCTTTCCGGCTTAGAGTGTGTTTTATTCTTCTTTTTCTAGATTATTAAGATGGGAGCTTAGATATTTGATTCAAAGCTCTTCCTCTAGCACTCTCAACAATAGCCAAAACATGGAAAGAGCCTAAGTGTCCATCAATGGACGAATGGATCAAGAAGATGTGGTTTATCTATACAATGAAATACTACATGGCAATGAGAAAGAATGAAATCTGGCAATGTGTAGCAACATGGATGGAATTTGAGGGTGTTATGCTAAGCAAAATAAGTCAGGCAAAAAAGGACAAATACCATATGTTTGCACGTATAGGAGGATTAGGAGGAACTTAACGGAGGACCATGGGGGAGAAGAAGAGGGGAAATAGTGGGGGAGAGGGAGAGAGGCAAACCATGAGAGACTCTTGAATGCTGAGAACAAACTGAGGACTGATGGGTGAGGAAGAGGGGTGATGAGCATGGAGAAGGGCACGTGTGGGGATGAGCACTGGGTGTTATATGGAAACCAACTTGACAATAAACTATTTGTAAAAAAAAAAAAAAAAAAAAAAAGAAAAAAAAAAGCTCTTCCTCTATTCTAATATAAAGTGCTATAAATCTCCTCAGCGCTTCTTTAGCTGAGTCTCATACATTTTGATATGTTGTTTTATCATTTTTATTCAATATTTTTTTTAATTTCCTTTGAGACTTTCTCTTTGGCTCATGGGTTATTTAAAAGTGTGTTGTTTAGTTTCCAAGTGTTTGGAGCTTTCCTGTTATCATTTTGGTATTGGTTTCTAGTTTGATTCCATTGTGGTTAGAGACACACTCGGTATGGGTTAAAATTTTTTAATGTGCCAATATTTCCTTTATGGCCCAGGATATGGACTGTCTTGTCATATGTTTTAAGGGTGCTTGAAAGGGGCATGTATTCTGCTGTTGTTTAGTGGAATGTTCTAAAAATGTCAATTATATCTTGTTGGTTGATAATGATATCAAATTTTATATTCTTGCTGATTTATTCCTTAGTTGTTCTACCAATTATTGAGAAATGGGTGTGGTTTCCAACCATAATTGTGGATTTTCTGGTTTTCATTTCAGTTCTATCATTTTTTGCTTCATATTTTTTTAGCTGTGTTGTTTGGTGCATACACGTTTAAGTTTGCTATGTCTTCTTGGTGGATTTATCCTTTTATCATCATGCAGTGTCCCCCTCTGTCTCTGGTTATTTTCTTTGTTCTGAGGTCTACTTTTCTGATAATAATGCAGCCACTCCTGTTTTGTTTTGGTTATTATTTGAACTATATATATTTTTCATTCTTTTACTTTCAACCTGTGTTTCAAGTGAGTTTCTCATAGACAGTCATGCTTTTAAATCTATTAAGCCAATCTGTCTTTCAGTTGGTATAGTTATGCTTTTTATACATAATGTAATTATGTATGTTAGAAATTCTGTCATTTTATTTTTTGTTTTCTGCTTGTTCTCTGTTTTTTATTACTCTGTTTTATTTTTCCTGCCATACTGTAGATTGCCTAAACATTTTTTAAATTTCATTTTCATTTCTTTGTAGTGTTTTCAAATGTATTTCTTCTTAAAGCCTTCTTTAGTGGTTGCTCCAATTTTATACTATATACACACAAATTATGACAGTCTACTAATTTCATTATTTTACCACTTTGAGAAGTATAGAAACTTTATCTCTCTTTATGTCCATTTGCCTTCTCCCATTTGTAATATAATTTTCCATAAATGTTTCCTCTACGTACATTTAGAACTACATCAGACAGTGTTACAAATTTTGCTTCAATCATCAAACATAACTTAGAAAACTCAAGAGGAGAGGAAGGCTTATTGTTGCTTACTGTTTATTTTTTCCTTCTTGAGATTCCAAGGTTTCTTCTATTATCATTTCCTTCCTCTTTAAAGAACTTCTACTTATTCCTTTAGGATAGCTCAAGTGATAATTCTCTTAGTGTTTTTAGTTTCCTTTCATCTGAGAATGTCTTGATGTCCCCTTCAATTCTGAGAGATATTTTCACTGACGTAAAATTCTAGGTTGAGGGCTCTTTTTTTCCTCAATCCTTGGAAAATATTGTACCACTTCCTCCTTGGCTTCATGGTTTCTGATGAGAAATCAAATCATTTTCTCCCTATAAGTAATGTGTTGTTTCTCTCTTGTTACTTTCAAGATTTTTTCCCTTTAGTTTTCACAAGTTTGACCATGATGTATCTTGATATGCATTTATTTTAATTTATCCTGTTTGAGGTTTCTTCAGCTTGTTATGTATCTTTTGTTGTTTATGAACTTTTTAGCCATTATTTCTTATAATGCTTTTTCAGCACTATCTCTTTCTCCTTTCTTTCTAGGACTTCAATGACCAAAAAAAAAAAAAAAAAAAGATACAGTCCCAATGGTGCCTGAGGCTCTGGTCATTTTTTTTTTCTGTATCTTTTCTCTCTGTTTTTCAGGTTGGGTGATTTCTACTCTTCCATCTGGAAGCTCACTGACTCTCTTCCTCTTTTCTCTCTATCTGCTGCCAAACCCATCCACTGAGATATTTTTTTTTTATTTCAGTTATTGTATTTTTCAGTTCTAAAAGTTCCATTTGGTTCTACTTTATGTCTTTTATCTCTTTACTCAGACTTTGAATTTTCTCATTTGTTTCAAGTGTGTTTATAATTGCTCATCAAAGCATTTTTATAATAGCTAACATTTCTGTCAGTGTTAGCATATGTTGCTTGTCTTTTCTTATTCAAGTTGCTATTTTCCTTGCTCTTAGTATGATAAGTAATTTTGGATTGAAACATGGACATTTGGGATTTTATATTATACGAATTCTGGGTCTTGTTTAAACATTCTGTTTTAGCAGGGCTCCTCTGACACTACTTCAGCAGGGGAGAGAAGGGTGCCCTCTGTTTACTGTCCAGTGAGGGGAGAGTCTAAGTTCTCCACATGGCCTCCATTGACTCTCAAGGCAGGTAGAGGTTCCTTTCACTGCTGGCTGGGAGTGGGAGTTCCAGCTTCCCAGTAGGCCTCCACTGATACCACAGAGGGAGAGTGACCCTTCCCAGGTGGGCGATGGTGAAAGGCCTGCTCGTGCACTAGGTCTCCTCTGCCCCACTCCAGCATGGAGGGAGGAGAACCCCATTACTGCCGAGTGGTGGTGGAAGCCCAGCATTCCCCACTGGTCTCCACTGACTCTGAGGGATGAGCCCACCCACCTAGGATGGCTTCCCACTCAGCCTTCTCTGACATGGCCTTGGCAAGGGTACAAACGTAGACTCCTCACCTACCACTTTCTGGTGTAAGTAGGGGTGTGACCACAGTTGCTTTGTGGTGTTTCACTGAAGTAGAGTACTTTTTATTTAAAAGTTTTCTGTCCTGTTAAGCTGCCTCTTTCCTGACCCTTTTGGTAGAAGAAGAAGGCTTTTCTTGGAGCTTTTTGGTTGGTGCCCCTTGTCATTTCTGGACTGCTGACTTCTTTGGCTCCTAGTCTGGGAAATGTGAGGTAAAAAGAAAACCCAGAAAAGTTACCACTGTGTCACTCCTTGGATCTGAGATCCCTAACTAGTCTGCCTTCTTCTCTCCACATTTCAGAGTCTTCTTATGTTTGTTTTATATAAATGTACAGGGTTTTTAGTTGTAGTTAGCTGGAGAAAGAGGAAAAACTATGTCTGCCCCACACATCTTCTCAGAAGTGATCATCATTGATAACTGATAGTGCTCTTCTTCTAGACAATGCAATTAGACAAGAATATTAAAGAAAAGATAGAAATCGGGGTTTCCAACTTTAACTCTGTTGACATTTTGGATTAAATAACTCTTTATTGTGAGGGGCTGACCTGGGCATTGTGGGACGTTTAGCAGTATCCCTGGCCTCTACTCACAAGAAACCACTAACACCCTCCTTTCCCATCTCCCAGTCATAGCAACTCAGAGTGTCTCTAAACATTGCCAAATATGCCATCGGGACAGAATTATCCCTGTTTGATAACTAGTAGGATAAATATCAGAAAGGAGGCAAATTATCTTTATTTTTGAGAATTCATTTACTTTGGCCTCATATTAGAATCATCTTGGGAGATATTTATACTCTGTGTATGTATACAAAAAAAAATATTAGATAGATAGATATATGGTCTCCAGACCCATCAGCAAAGATTCTGACTTAATTGGACTGGGTAAGACCTGAGCATCAATAAATATTGAAGTTCTCCAGATGATTTTTAATATGGTTGAGATCTAATGTCTTAAACCTAAGAAAATATCCTGACAAATTATTACAAATGAGAAGGAAACTCAGATAAGTGTGAGATAAAAGATATATCATATGCACCCAGCTTGCCTCCCCAGAGGCCAAGTTTTAGGTTATCTCTCGGTACTCAGCCCACTTTCCTCCCTGCAGCGGGAGCAGGTTGCTGGAGTTGCCAGACTACCAGGGCCTAGGGAGCTGCCCTCCTACCTTGACCTGCCTCCAGAGATAAGCTCCAGTCCTGGGATTTCTGACCTGGTGCGCAGCAGACACCTGGGCTACTGGCCAGAGGCACAGGAAGAGTCTGGCAAGGAATAAAAAGTTGGACAGGGAGCCTGGGTGGCTCAGCTGGTTAAGCATCCAACTTCAGCTCAGGTCATGATCTCATGGTTCATGGGTTTAAGCCCATGAGCTGTGCTGACAGCTCAGAGCCTGGAGCATGCTTAGGATTCTATGTGTCTCTCTCTGCCCCTCCCCTGCTTTCATTCTCTCTCTCTCTCTCAAAAATAAAATAAACATTAAATTTTTTTAAGTTGGAAATGAGTTTTATCCCCTCATAGATCTTTAGCAGGAGTGAGGGAAATTTTCCTGATTGTTCTAAAACTGCACTGTCCTCATTCACAAATTTGACTCGTTGGCAGTAGATCTAAGTTCCTAACATGTGTGCTTTGGCTTATAAGTGCTTCTGAAAAAGAAATAATGTATGTGTTTATTCTCTCCACATTTCATCATCCCTCTCCCCTTCAGATCATTCCCCCCGCCCCCCAAAAGCTTTGAAATGTGTGAAGCTGTTACACACATTCCCCCTTCTAGGAAGGAGTTCCTGAGGCAGAGGCAGGCAGCTGTGACCATCCAGGCTGGGTGGAAAGGCTACTACACCAGGCAGAACTTCAAGCAGGTGAGAGGACTCGCTTGGGAGGCTGCTCCATGGAAGTTTGTTCATGCAGACATGAGAGCTGGGGCAGGAGGGGTCAGATCCGTAACGTGTTACGATAGACTTCGAATGACCAGCTGTCAGTGCCCCATACAGTCTCTGTTAAGCTTCGTCCCTGGTCCCGTGCTTTCAGGTTTGTGGGCTGCAGAGTGTCCTCTTACAGAACTTGGGGCTCCCCCCGAGCTAGAACAAGGTGGTCTGCTCTGAAAGCACATGATCATCTTTTCTCAGTTTACAGGCAACAAACAAGGGGATGGACTATTCTGTTTCAAGCCCTTCTGATTTTTTCCCTTAACCACAGGCACTGCTAATAAGCGTCTCCTCAAGAAGTGAGCTAGAGCAACCTTAGCCATACCCTACTGGGTGTCACTTGACCGCTAGCCTTTGTCATGGGATGTGATGATGGTTGAGATGTTCAGTGATCACATCAGCCAATCCGGCTCATGAAACCAGGACCATATGGGCTATGAGAGGCCGCAGTTTTGTGCAGGAGAGTGGAGGCACCTTAAGGCTATGGAATGATGCTTCAGGGCAGAGAAATTCCAAAAGGAGGTGTCTGGGCAGAAGGCTGAAAGGCAGGGAGCAGGGAGGTGGCCCCAAGATGCACATCCCAGCACTTTGAAATTTGACTCAGGGCCTGCCTGTGTTCTGTACTCACAAGGACATAATGGCAGCTGACATGAATGGAAAGTCTACTTCGAGTCATTGCTCTGCATGCATCATTGGATTTATTATTAAATCAACCCCATGTGTCAAGAAGCTGAGGTATAGAGAGGTTAAGTAGAGCTGGGGTCTGGATGCCAGTCTGTGTGATGATGAAGCGTCACCCCACACACCTGGCACCCACTGGGTTGGTCTTTGAGAAGCCAACAAGACTCACCCAGGGGCTCGGGGACTGCCGTGCACCAGAGCGTGTCTGCAGCTTAGAGATGGGTGTTCATCCATTTGTTTCCTCTTTATTTTAACGATTCCAGAGATTGGCTTGGTGAAAGCACCATAGGCCTCCACTTGGGGGCGCTAGCTCCTGACGGTTTGGCTGTCCTGGTTTTAGGTGGGATCAGGGCTCTGGAATCCCTCACCCACATGACGTCCAAACCAATTCCCTATCACTGGACCCTAGGAGATCACTTTATTGTTCACACCATTCAACAAATGCTTACTTAGCATATATTTACATGCCAAGGACTGTTCTAAGTGCTTTGCGAGTAGTAACTCGTTTTAATACGCTTGTACTTGTCAGTGTGTAAAATTTTAGCATTAGCCCTTTGCCCCAGAGCAGAGAACAGTAAAGCTAACTTGTGAGGTCTCCTGGGGCGTATGACTCGCCTCCCTTTCTCTCTGTCCCTTGGGCCCTGCTGGGCGCGCCTCACTGTGAGTGCATCCCTCTCTCCTCCACAGATCCTACTGGGGTTTGAGCGCCTGCAGGCCATTGCCCGGGGCCTCCTCCTGGCCAAGCAGTACCAGAGGATGCGGCAGAGGACGGTGCAGCTGCAGGCGCTCTGTCGGGGCTACCTCGTGCGCCAGGAAGTCCAGGCCAAGAGGAGGGCGGTGGTGGTCATACAGGCACACGCCAGAGGCATGGCTGCCCGGCGGAACTTCCGGCAGCAGAAAGCCAGTGTAGGTGGTCGCTGCCCTCTTGGGCAGGTGGGGGCTGCCTGGGGCCCATAGCAGGGAGGGCAGTCGGGAGGGTGAGCAGCAACGTCGAGCTTTCACCAGGCGCTCCTATCCCCTCCGTGTCCAAAGTTATTACTGCAGCCTGTCCTCACGCCATGTGGGACACCTGGGTCACCCCAGGAATGCACAGGGTGTGGCATGGGAGAGGCATCATGTCAGCAGGATAGTCTTACGCCTGGAACCTGGAAAAGGAGTTCTTGCTCCCCTCCCTTTAGCCCCAGGGATGGCTTCCCAGCAGGACTGGTCCATCCCTGAACACCGTAGGAAACCAGGGTCGGGTGAGCCATGGGAGACCGCAGCCCCATGGACGCGGTCGAAGGCCCCTGGGTCTGGGCTGTGGCCTGACAGGGGGCAGAGAAATTCCAAGAGGAATCTGAGTGTCTGGGCAGGGGAGGCTGGAGAGGGAGCAGGGGAGCAGTACAAGGTGCACATCCCCGCATTTTAAATTTCACCCTTGTGAGCCCTCTCCTCCAGGGGGCATCCAAGAGACTCAGCCTCTTCACACACACACACACACACACACACACACACACACACACCCCGCCCCCCGAACTGTGATGAGGCAAAGGGCTAGGGTGAAGCCTACACCTCCTCTCTAGATGATGGTTAGGTCTGCTGCGCACGTTTCCTGAACAGTGGCCTGGACAAGGGAGAGAGCAGACTGGCAGACATTTCAGCAGCAGGCTTCTACTCCCATGTGGCCCCAGATGGGCCACAAATCAGCCTCGTTTGTGTGCTAGTGAGGACTTTCCCAGGGACAAGCCGTAGTGGAGCCCTGGTGCTCTTTGAGTGAAGGGTACAAGTGGGCCGCTAGGTTCTGGGGACCCCTGGGGTCTGAGGCCATAGCCCGGGGACCGCGTCAGGGTAGGGACAGGCTCACAGCCTGGACCTCCAGTTCTCCAGGGGAAATGAAAAGCTTAGGGCGGCTGATCTCTTGTCATACTAGCTATTAAACTCTAGGATTTTAGAGGAAAACTTACTGATTTGAATGAACACCGTTAGGATTTAGTTGCGTTCTGGGGGGCTTCTTGCCCTCGCTGGGTGGTGGTGACCTTTGCCCCGTGGGGTGTCTGTGCAGGGACTTCTGCTCATCCCAGCTGAAGAGCAGAAGAGCCAAAATGCTATCCCCACCAAGAAGCGCAAGTCCATCTACGACACTGTCACTGACACCGAGATGGTGGAGCGAGTGTTCGGCTTCCTCCCTTCTGTGATCGGTGGGCAGGAAGGCCAGTCCCCAAGGGGCTTTGAGGTAAGACCCTGTCATTCAGGGGTCCGGCCTGCCAGGGCATGGGAGGACCTGCTTATTCCCTGACTCTGTCAGCTTCCAGGCTCACTGAGAAGCCAAGACTCTGCAGGTGGAGGCGGGCGGCAGGGGAGGGTGTGGGTGGGAGGCTGGCAGATTAGGTGGTGAAGTCTGTTCTTCAGTCCTGGGTGAGCAGGCAGAGAAAAGGAAAGGAGAGCAGGAATTTCTTGGCCAAATCCTCTCAAGTGAAGCAGGTTCTTTACCTGCATGACTTCCTAGAACCTTTAATATGCAAATGTGGGGGTGGGGCTTTCAATCTGGCAGCATTTTCCACTTGTATTTGACCCCATTCACAGAGCACCCCACAGCCCAGCCGCTGCTCTGCAGAATGGGACTGGGGACTGATGAACACTGAGAACTAACACTGGCACCAGTGTCTGAGGGAGGAGGGGGCAGGGTGGGTGGGGAGGGCTGGAGCAGAGCAGGTCCCCAGGGCTCCCACCACACTGCTTTGGGCCCTGAGACCCAGTGACCTGGGTGCCCCCCCCCGACCCTACCCCCAGAGGCTCATGCCTTTCCCCTGAGCATGGACACATACACACGCACACATGCACACACAGTACACACCAGGCTGTGTAGGGGCAGCAGAGACCGCTTCTGCAGGATGAGCAGCCCGCTGGGGGCCCCGTGAGGCTGCGAGGTGGCGGGAGAGGTCTCGGACACAAGGAGCAGTGGCTCATGGTGTGCCCAGCAGATAATCACCCAGCCCTGTCTTGGGGCTCCCTGGCCCCCAGAGATGCAAACCCTGCCAGCCAGCATCTGAGAGGATGGCTGACCCTTGGTGCTCCCTCCCCGGCACCCAGGATCTGGAAACAAGGACCCAGAAGCTGCCTGAGGTTGACCTGGACACGGTCCCCATGGTGGAGGAGTCCGAGGAGGATGTGGACGGCCTGGCCGAGTACACCTTCCCCAAGTTCGCTGCAACCTACTTCCAGAAATCGGCCAGCCACACGCACATCCGGCGGCCCCTCCGACACCCGCTGCTCTACCATGAGGACAATGCCGACTGCTCGGTACCCTGGTTTCTGGTGGCTCGGGCCTCCCCCTGGCCCTGAGGGGTCACTATGGCCCAAGACTGTGAGCCCTCTGTCTCCGTTTCCCCAGGCCGCCCTGGCTGTGTGGTGCATCATCCTGAGGTTCATGGGTGACCTACCCGAGCCAGTGCTTCTTGCCAGGAACGACCCGCGTGGCAGCTCGGTGGCGCAGCAGCTCCAGGACACCCTGCGCGGAGAGAACGGCACCCAGTCTGCACAGCAGCGTGGATCTACGCAGGTGCCTGGTGCAAGGGGGTGGGGCAGGGCAGACCCCAGGGGTCCCCCGTGGAAACTGGACCCAAGGGGGGCAAGACGTGGAGTGAGCGTCAGCCATGAGTGAATGACACTCGGGAACTCAGGAGACAGGCGTTACACCCAGCATTTTCTGGTGATGAAAATGGCCTCCAGGCTCTGAGTATTAGGCTAGACTTGACCAGAATTCAAATGCACAGAACAATAACAATGAGTATTGTTACTGACTGGCGAAGGCTGTGTGCTGATGGTTTCTCTGCAGTTAATTCCCAGGCGAGCCAACCCTATGAAGTAGGGATTATTCAATGTATTACAGCAAAAGAAACAGAGATGTGAAATGACTTGTCCCCAAGCTACAGTGAATATGTGTCACAGAGCTGGGCTTTGAATCCATTCTACTGAATTCAGAGACCGAGTTCTTGACCTGTGGTCTATCCTGGCCTCTGATGAAAGGTTAATTCATGACCACTTTTGGTCAGAAGTCCTTCCTGAGGCCCAGTTTCATGACATAATCTTAGTGGAACTAACCAAGAATAGTTCAAAGGAATTACACAACAGATATAGCCCGGGGCCCCACCAGCAGCAAGAGCCTCATGACTGCCTGTAATTCTGTCCCCAGTTCCAACGTGTGGGGGTTTTCCCCACACCAAGCAATTCTCCAACACCAGCTGTGTTGGAGACAAGCAACTCCACTTGACTGAGACACTGTGTCCCTACCGGCAGTGTCAGATCTCAGAGTGAGGGCTTCGTCCTGCAAGACCAACCCCCCACTTCAGACACCAGTTGAAAGTCCCGGTTATCACTCGTGCTGCTGACCCACATGCTACAAACCGGGGGTTCCCATGATCCCCTCCGTGGGTTTGATGAATTTGCTAGAGGGGCTTGCAGAATTCAGGGAGCCACTTTATTGTCACAGGGTGTAATCCAAGAACAGCTGGGTGGAAGAGATGCATAGAGCAAGGTTTGGGGAAAGGGGAGGGTGGAACTTTCATGCTCACTGCCAGCACACCACTCTCCCCAAATTTTCATGCACTCACCAACCTGAAGCTCCCCAAAGTCCGCCCTTTTGGGTTTCTTGGGAGGCTTCGTTACAGAGGCCTAAAGAATATATCATTGGCCGTTGGTGATCAAACTCCATCTCCAGCCCTCCCTGCTCCCCAGAGGTGGAGGTAGGAGACAGGACAGAGTTGGCTCCAGGGACACCCATCCTTGGGTATTTCTAAAAGTCACCTCATTGACATAATTAAAGACACTTTTGTTGCAGGAAGTTCCAAGAGTTTTGAGAGATCTGTGCCAGGAACTGGGATGAAGACCAAATATTATATTTCTTACTATAAATCACAGTATCACATCATCCCATATATCCAGTGCCTGGGATGCTGCTCAGATGCCCACAGGGTCCTATGCACAGACTAACTGCATAGAAATCCAAGGGACTCTGCAGCTTGGCATCACATGGCCATTCCTGGTCCAGGAATTATGTGGGAAGTTGCCCAAATCAAGCCCTGACCCCACCCTGTCCCCCCCAATCTCTCATGGGCTCTCCAGACTGTATTAGTCATCTATTGCTGTGTAACAAATTACCCACCAAAGTTAGCAGCTTGAAACAGTACGTATTTGTTATTTCACACAGTTTCTGAGGATCAGGAGTGGCTTAGCCGTTTAGTCTGGGCTCAGGGTCTGTCAAGAGATTGCAGACAGGCCATCGTCAATAGGGCTGCTGTCATCTCAAGGACTGACTGGAGCTCCAGGATCCACTTCCAAGATGGCTCCTTCACACAGCTGCTGGCAGGAGGCCTCTCACTTCCTGGTCACCTGGGCCTCTCCACAGGGTTGCCCAAGTGTCCTCACAACATGGCTTCCCCAGACGAAGTGATCCAAGAGAGAAAGCAAGAAGGAAGCTGCAACACCTGGTCTCATAAGTCACACGCAATAGTGGGCGGGACCGTCAGGGGATGTGGATCCACTGGGGGCCACCTTGGAGGCTGGCCACCACTCAGGGAAGGGACCCTGGAAGGCACTTCTGGAGCATGAGTGCAGAGAGAGGCAGGACTAACTTCCCAAAAGTCACATCTCAAGTGTTTCTTCCTACATGTGGTTATTAAGCACCTGCTGTGTGCCCCCAACGGGAGCAGTGAGCCTTGGAGCCTTGCCCACATTCACCTGCCAGCTACTGTGTTTTGCATCCCATTCCTGCGTGGCAAACCAATCCTACCCCAACCCCCCACCCCGCCAATCCCAGCCCAAGTCCAGCCTCACACTGAGCTCTAATTTTGGCAGCGACTTCTCCTGATGCCCTCAGGACACAGTGGGACTCCTGCCTCAGGAGACCAACAGACCCTAATGGCTGGGAGTCAGGAGTCAGGAGCGCCCCCCTGCCCCCAGCCCAGGCCTTGAAGCCTAGCTCTTCTCAGAGCTCCCACCTTGCAGCAGGCAGAGGGTATTCTAAATCATCCATGAAGTTTTCACTGAGAATGATGATGACCCAGGGCCATTCTTGGCACCTGGGCTCAGACCCAGCACTACCTCAAAGGGCTTTCTGGCAAAAGGTACAGGCTTTGGAATCCTGAGCCCACCCTGGGGGCTGGTTACTGGTAAGCAGGTCTGTGTAGTCTACTTCCCTCTCCCCCCACCCCCCGCCGTGTCCTTCCCCGTAAGTGAGGAGGAGGATGTGCACCTGTAGGTGTGGCAAAGCTCACAGGACACAGGGCTGCTGCACCTGGTACATCGGGCCAGGAAATGCCTGGGTGGGATGGACACTGGCTCTGCCTAGGTGGCTATCAGGTCAGCAGCATCAAAGTGCTGGCCTGGTACACTTTCCCTTAGGAACTCTCTCCATCCACAGAGGCCCAGCCACAAGGGCAGAGGGAGCAAGGACCTCTCCATGAAGCTAAAACAGTCCTCCCGGCTCACAGGCCAGGTGAGCCCAGGCTAAGGGGCCCTCAGTCCACTTCCAACTCTATTGGTGGCCAGCCCTAGGACCCCTAGCCTTTGCTTTCTTCCTTGGGCCCGGTGTCCTCCTTCACAAATAAGGACAGTCACAACCGTCCTGACTGCCACCTTTGGGTTTCAAGGTGGCCAGCCAGCTGAATATTGGAGAGGAGGCATTTGAGCCTGATGGCCCCATCTCAGACCGACCCATGTCTAACCTGGAGAAGGTGCACTTCATCGTGGGCTGTGCCATCCTGCGGCCTAACCTCAGGTCAGTCCCCGTTCCCACCTCACCCCTATCTGGAACATCAGACGCCCTCACCAGCTCTCAGCCCATGGCCACAGCCTCCTCCTCTGCCTTCCTCCTGAGACAGCCTGCTGTGTCCCTGCGCCCTGTCCTGGGATCCACAGCCTGGGTCTGAGTAGAGTAGATATTAGAACCATTAAAGAGTTCTCGACTTCCCCTGTGTTGAAACCCACGGGTAAAAGCCACTTTCAGAATAGATTCATTATGGGGTAGTGATTCATTTTATAACAGGCTTTAATGCAGGGCCCTATAAATGACCAAATTCTTCATTTATATTATATATTTATGGCTTTACAGGAGTTGTCTTTTCATACAAACTTTAAGAAATATATATGCTGCTCTCAGAGACAAACTATATTTTAGGGGTTCATATATTTTATGTTATTCTCTTTTACCAAGTCTGGGAAATTTTTGCTATTCATTTTTCAAATACTTTTTTCTGTTTCATTCTCTTTCTTTTCCTTTGAATTGTAATTAAATATATGTAAGTCTCCTTGATATCGTCCCTCAGATCCCTGAGGATCTGTTCATATTTCTTTTTTTTTTTTTCCTTCTCTGTTCTTTAGACTGGATAATTTCTATTGATCTATCTTTAGATTTACTGATCTTTCTCTTATCTGCCACAATTCTGTTATACCCACATAACAATTTTTTTTAACTTCAGTTGTTACATTTTTTAGTTTGTACCTGGTTCTTTTTATGGTTTCTATTTCTCTGCCAAGATTTCCTATTCACTCATTCACTAGGAGCATGGAGTCCTTTATGTGCTTAAGCGGTGATGGTAGTTTTAAAACCTTTTCTGCTGAATCCATTATATGGGTCATCTTGGGGTCAGTTCCCATTTGACTGTCTTTTTTTAATGTTTTTATTTTATTTTTGAGAAAGAGAGGAAGAGAGACAGTGCAAGTAGGGGAGGAGCAGAGAGAGAGGGAGACACAGAATCTGAAGCAGGCTCCAGGCTCTGAGCCGTCGGCACAGAGCCTAATGCAGGGCTCAAACTCATGGACCGCGAGATCATGACCTGAGTTGGAGATCATGACCTGCTTCACTGGGGGCACCCAGGCGCCCCAACTGCCTTTCCTGTTAAGAATGGTCATGTTATTCTGTTTCCTCACACATCTAGTGAGGACTGTTATTTCCTCATAATTCTGTTACTTTTGGGTCATGTCCTGGACACTGAGGATAATATGTTTAGAGACTAGAATCTTACCTTCTTTCAAAGAGCATTGAGGTTTGTTCTGACAGACAGTTAGCTTGGCCGGATTCAAATTCCATCTCCCTGTGGTGAACAGCAGGTAGAATCCGTGTTCAGGTATTTTAGCCTTTGCTGGGATTCCTGGAGTCGGCCCCACACATGTGTAGATCAGGGGCCAACCGGAGATTTAGGAAGATTTTGTACACAAAATTGAGAACTCCTCTTCCCTGGTTCTCTTCATTCCAGGATTTCCCTTCTCACTTTCAACTGCTGTGTTAGCCCAAACTCTGTCCTCTGGTTGTTTGGGTTTCTACCCCAGTTTTAGCTGCTTTTGTGACACCAACCTGGCAACTATTCTAATATAGTTCTATTGGTAGTGCTCCCATGGTTAATCCTCAGTGGCCACCACAACTTCCAAGATGGCAGACATGTATAAACCATGTCCAAACGAGATGCATTGTGGGTTCTTCAGAAAACCCTCTTAGCACTTTCATACGGTGCTGTTCTCTCTAACTGGGGCTGACACTCTCTGTGATCCTTTGAGATGCCTTATCAAATCTAGCCTCTTGTTGAACATAGAACAGCCTATTAGCACTGGGGTCTTCTGGAATGATGGGCTGCCTGCTTGTGTGGGATTGCATCAAGATGCCTGACTCCCAACTTCTTCCAAGGCATCCTCTTAGTCAACAGGAAGCCCACCCGTGCTCTACCCACCAAGTACAGCTCCTGGCTCCTGACTGTTCTCTGTCCATCATGGATAGCTATAATTCTCTAGGAGGAAGCAGATGCTAGTCTTTTGTTCATGGAGTTCCCTAACTTGTGACTCTGAGGCATACAAGTCAAGCACTCTCAAGAACTCTGTCATTGGGCCCATTCCAGTACCCTGGGTGGGGGCCGATGGGCTTCTGGGGCTCAGCATGCCTCAGGTAGGGAGTGAGATAGATCTCATCTCTGGCAGAGAGCCCCATCCCTATAAACAGTTCTTCTGGGGTCCCCCCAGCTCCCTGTCACTTGGAGGGAGTAGAGATGGGCCAGAGATCTCTCTACTCCTATGAAGTCCCTTCTAGAAATCACCTTTCAAATTTTTCTTCTGTGCAACAGATGGCATGGCAACTGGACAGTTCTGCCATCTTTGATAAAATCTACAAGAACATATCTCTTTAGAATGTTGAATATTATCATCTGTTTGTCCTGGGCTCTGGGGTCTTAGATTCCAAGACAAAGTAAATGCCCAGTCCATATCTGGCCATGCATTCAATCAGTGTTTGTTTTTCACATTTTTATTTAAATTCCACTTAGTTAACTGAAGTTACAGTGTAATATTAATTTCAGGCGTAGAGTTCAGTGATTCATCACTTACATACAACAGCCAGTTCTCATCACAAGTGCCCTCCTTAATCCCCTTCCTCGTTAGCCCAGCCCCGGCCACCTCCTCTCCAGGAACTCTGTTTGTTCTCTATAGTTAAGAGTCTGTTTTCTGGTTTGCCTCTCTTTTTTTTTTTTTAACCCCCTCCCCCCCCCATTTATAATTGATTTGTTTCTTAAATTCCACATATGAATGAAGTCACATGGTGTTTGTCTTTGACTGACTTCTTTCACTTAGCCTCTTACTCTCTAGCTCCATCCACGTTGTTGCAAATGACAATAAGTGTGTAAGTACCTGCTCAGGGCCAAGTCTTGGCCTGGAAGCTGGAGATGCAGAGGTGAGGGTAACACGTCACTGTCCTTTGGGAGCTTACCCTTTAGTTGGGGAGCGTGGGAGAAGCCAGAGACCTGCCGTGAGTGCTTGTGCTAAGATAGGGGTCCAGTGGGGGCACCAAGGACTGGTCATAATGCCCTCCAGGGCCAGATGGGGCAGGAAGGAGGAGGCACCTTCACCAGATGGTGAGAGACAGGGAGACGGTGACCAGGGTCACAGAGTCCTGAAACAGCTAAGGGGCTGGAATTCCAAGTGGTTTGTCACAGCTGGAGCATGGAGTTTGAATTCAGTTCTAAGAGCAGTAGGGAACAGTTTTAAGAAAGAAAAGAATGGGGCTCCTGAGTGTCTCAATCTATTAAACATCTGACTTTAGCTCAGGTCCCGAGCTCCGTGGTTTGTGAGTTCAAGCTCTACGTGGGGCTCTGCACGGACATCATGGAGCTGCTTTATGTCCTCTGTCTCCCTCTCTCTCTGCCCCTCCTGCACACATACCTGTGTGCAGGCTCTCTCTCACACACACACACACTCTCTCTCTCTCTCTCAAATAAATAAACATTTAAAAAGATGATAGAGGCTTGAGTCAGCAGGAAGGACCCAAGAGCCCCCCTCCCCCAGAGAAGGCAGAGAGGAGAGGCTCGTGAGCCTGTAGGAATAACTGGTCAGGAGGGAGTTGAGGGATTCTCCCTAAGGGAGTCTTCTCTCCTCTCTGCAGTGGGAGGGGAATGTGGGGGGGATTCCAGAGGAGGGGCGTGGGCCTCAAGGTGAGGGAGAAGGTTGGGGAAAGGAGCAGTTCTAGTTGCGCTGGGGCTGGGTGGGTTGGGCTGGGCCCCTGAGGGCAGGGCTGTGACCTGCAGCTACACACCCCAGCTGGAGGGCCAGGGTCTTCCAAGCAAGAGTGGGTGAGGGAAGGGGCAAAGGCCCGAAGGATGACGGAGGAAATGAGGTCGACGGGGAGTGGCCAGTGGGAGTGCCTAGAGCTTTGGAAAGACATTGGAGGTGGCACAGCCCCAGGAGATGGGGGTCCAGGTGGGCCGGGGGTGTGGCAGGGAGTCCAGCAAAGACAAATGGAGGTGAAGAGACTGCAGGTCGCCATGCAGATAAGACCCCCCCCCCCCAGGGGCACAGAAGGACCTGTGCCCAGGCAGCTGTGTTTCCCCCTCTCACCCCCTCACCCAGAGCCAGTGGTGCGTGTCTTTCAGGGATGAGATCTACTGTCAGATCTGCAAGCAGCTGTCGGAGAACTTCAAAATGAGCAGCCTGGCCCGGGGCTGGATCCTGCTCAGCCTTTGCCTGGGCTGCTTCCCACCCTCTGAGAGGCTCATGAAGGTGGGGAGGACCCAGGGCAGGGGCTGAGGGGGGGCAGGTTGCAGCCGGAGCACGGGGAGCATAGGTTGGCTTGGGGCTCTGGGGCGGGTCCAGAAATCCCGGCCCCTGGGCCGGTTCTCTGCTCCTGCAGGCTGGCGTGGGCAGCAGTGCCTTCTAGGCCTCTGTTTCCCCATCTGTAAAAGAGGACGCTGGACCTGGCTCCTTCCAGCCCTTCTTCAAGGTCTGCAGGGCCACCCCACTGGGCTCAGGCACCAGAAAGGCTCTACTGCGGACACAGTGAGCTGGTACAAGAAACATGCACTGAAAAGACAAAGGTGTTCAGGGAGAGGCAGCGGGACCAGCTGCAGTATCTCCCTCTAGTCCTTAGAACTAAATGTGGAGCTGGGGGTTGCCAGTGCTCCCAAGTGTTAGAAGCCCCAGACCTCGCTATTTAATATCCCTTTTGGTTCTGGTTGTAAAAGTAGTATGCAGGAAATGCAGAAAGTCTAGTACACAGGAAATGCAGAAAGTCTAGTATGCAGGAAATGCAGAAAGTCTAAAAAGAAAACAAGAGTCCTCTCCACATCCAGAGGTAACTTCTGTAGATGCTGGCCACTGTACCGTACAGCGTCGAAGGTGTGATCACACAGGAAACAATCTCACCTCCTCTCGCATCCCGTCAGGGACAGCAGGAGGCGTGGGCACTGGCCCGTCTGTCCTCAGCACCAGGGCCACGCCTGACACCAGCCGCCTCTTCCAGTCTTTTTGTAAGACAAAACAATCTCCAACACATTTTATCAAACATGTTTTAAATAATGACTCTCCTACATATTTTGCTTACCTCCGTAATTGTCTTCTCAGGGTGCGAACTTTTCCCAAATGCCACCTTTAATGTCATCTATCGATAGCCATCCCAGAGAGTATTAAGCTCTCAGATGGACATTCAGGGCCCATCTTCCAGTGGTTCATCACCATACACACGTTAAAACATAGGTATAAAGATAGGTTCAAATTACTGGGTCAAAAAGTATGCACATTTTTATACTACACACTATTTAAAACATATTGAAATGTGCCAGTTTACACTCCTTCTCATGGTGTGTGAGAGCACCCATCCCAACACCGAATATTATTATTTTATTTTTTCCAGATTTATTGAAGTATAATTGACATATAACATTGTCTAAATGTAAGGTGTATATGCAGCGATTTTATATAGGAATATATTGCAAAAGTATTACCAGTAAGTGTAGTGAACACATTCATCATCTCACTTAGTTACAATTAGTATTATGATTATTAGAATCTGTCTGGGCAGGAAGTAGAAAATAGCCCCCATTCTAAGCATCTTCCTCCTCTTCCCTTCCTCGCCCACCAGTATCTGCTGAACTTCATCAGTAAAGGGCCGGCTGGCTACGGGCCCTTCTGTGAGGAACGCCTGAGACGCACCTATGCCAACGGGGTGCGCACAGAGCCCCCTGCCTGGCTGGAGCTACAGGTAGGGGCCGGCAGGGGCGGGAACCATCAGTGGGGGGGTGGGCAGCCCCCGTAGTTCCTCCAGCACCTGCCAGCAGCAAGAGTGTCCTCTGGGCCCCTCCATCTCTCCTGGTACCTTCTGTGCCTGTGCTCCCTGAGGGTCACGCCTGGGCTCAGCTTTCCCAGGCATGGCTCAGGCTTCAGAAGTGCCCTCCCCACATCTTTAGGCACCTACTAGCTAAAGGGAAAAATAACTTTTAGCCTTACGGTGTGAATGACTGCTAACTGGGTAAAGTATTCCCCCTCCCAAGGACATGTGCATTTTATTAAGAAGGCAGTGATCATTCCAAGGTGGGCATCCTTGGTGGCACTGGTATTTGCATCATCTGTGACTTCTTGCAGTGTTCTGAGGAAGAGTCACTGAGACACAAGCAGGATTCAGGGGGCCCATGGGTCCCGGAAGACACTCTTTCCATGCCTGCGGTGCCCTATACCAGGGGCCACCTCCTGCCCCACCCCTTCCCATTCTCACCCTGCCACCCAAGTCCATGGCCCTCCTCTTCTCCCTCATCTACCTGCTCAGTGCCTTGCACGTGAACTTGCAGGAGCTTTGTGGGTGTGCTCACACCCTGTCGTGCACAGCAAGGAACGCTTCCACGGACCCAAAATGTCTCAGAGTTCAGGACTCCCAGATTTCCAAGAGCTCTTCTGACCTTCTGTGATTCGGAGTCACTCAACCTCACCAAAGTTCAGGGTTCTCATGTTAAAATGGGACCTTCTGGTTCAGGCTGCCCTCCATAGACCACTGAGGCAGACTTGGAGAAGCACACAAACCAGTGACCACACCGTGGATAACACTGTCCCTGCCCCGGCCGGGTCTGTCGTCGGTTCAGCGGCCAGCATCTTTGTTCACTCTGTGCAGAGCCGGGTGGGGCTTCAGCTGGACTCAGGAACACAGGGACGGGCAGACGGGGTCTTTGGGGGGGTACAAACCCCCAGGGAGGAGCAGGCGGGGCCTTGGGGAGGGGGTGTGTGTTTGCTTGGCCTCCAGGACCGAGGGCCAGAGTCTTCATCTGTCCCCAGGCAGTCAAGTCCAAGAAGCACATCCCAATCCACGTCATCCTGGTGACCGGAGAGAACCTGATTGTCATGGTCGACTCCGCCTCCACCTCACGGGAAGTCTGCCTGCACATCGCCCAGAGTCAGGGCCTCAGCGACCACCTGGGCTTCTGTCTCCAGGTTGCTGTGTACAACAAGGTACTGCCCCGTCCATCCCCCCCTCCTCAGACACCCAGGCCTGCGCGAGACCTCCTACCATGTCACCCTGGCCCCTCCTGCCCCTACCAGATGCCACACGCACACACGCACACTCCTGCCTCAGCATTCACATACTCAGTCCAGTGCCTGTACCTTGGGCCCAGTGTCACACACACACCTCATAGGTCCCCTGCCACCGCTGAGCAGCCCCTGTGTAGACCAGGCACTCATGCGTCCTACTCCAGGCCCCCTTGTACAGAGAGCTGCAGACTCCTGTGCCCAGAATCAGAGGGTCACACCAGCACCCTCCCACCTGGACCTCATACCGTCTCCCGCCAGACGCTCTCGCACCCACACCCACAGCCTCTGACTCAGACATACTCAGGCCAACCAACCAATCCAACCAGCTAGCCCCAGCTCACCAGCCTGTGGCCTCCATCACTGCCTGCTCTGGGAGGGGGCCAGGAGGGAAGGCGTGTTTCAGAGTGAAGGGCAGGCCATGCCCCCTCATGCACAAGGGGGCGGGCCCAGCACACCCCTCCACCTGCATCCTGAGGGTGGGTGTCCCCACGAGGCCTGGCACACAGCAGTCGCTAACCCCCCTGCCCTGACTCTGGCCTCAGTTCTGGTCCCTGGGCAGCGGGCGTGACCACGTGATGGATGCAGTGGCCCAGTGTGAGCAGCTGGCCCGGGAGAGGGGAGAGAATGAGCGCCAGTCGCCCTGGCGCATCTACTTCCGGAAGGAGTTCTTCACCCCCTGGCACAACTCCCAGGAAGACTCCATCAGTACCCAGCTCATTTACCGCCAAGTCCTGCATGGGGTCTGGTCTGGCGAGTACAGCTTCGAGAAGGTGAGGGGACAACACAACCACCTGGGCCCCGTGACAGACCCATGGGACAGCCTGGGGAAGCAGCATGCTCCAGGGTTTGGGCTGTGGCCGTCCAGGAGCACCGTGGAAGAGTGTGGGGGTACAGAGAGGCAGGAGGCAGAGGCCAGGTACAGGTTCTTGGGGAGCAGGTCCCCGGGCCCCTCTGCTGGACGTGCAGCCGACCCTTCCCAGCCTGGCCCCCATTTCCTCCTCCCATGGACCACGGTTTGCTCAGGCCTCTGGGCTCCTTTGCACCAGCAGCGGGAGGGAAGGCCTTCCATCAGCCTCGGGCCCTCCTGGCTTCACCACAGCAGCTGTTTGTGGGTCCTGGTGACAGGACTTTGGAACGTGACGTCACCTCTGAGGCTCAGGCCCTCTGGAAGGGCAGAGAGGAGCCCATTCCTGGAATGGGAATCCAGGGAGGGGACTCATGCACCTGGCACTCAGACCTTCCTGTGCCTGAGTCCGGAGGACACTGCTCTGGGGCCTGCAGCAACCCTGGAGGTCTGCCTGCCATGGAGCAGTGGGCAAGGAGAGGCAGGGCCAGGACAGACGGGCCCTGGAGATGCAGGCTGTTGGGTGGTTCTGCACGGTTTGGTCTCCCGGGTACCGTAGGGCCCTGGGAGCAGGGAACCTCGCCCGGCACTGGGCCGCGCTGGTGCCTTACACAGGATCCTGCCCAAATGAATCCTTGCGGAGGCTCCATGGGTGCGGCCACTGGTCGCCCTTGACAAGTGAGCACATGGCCTTGCCCACAGGTAACCCTACTCAGACAGCAGTGTTAGGGTCCCCCCAGTCCTCAGAGCTCCCACCGCCCACACTCACTGTCTGCCTGAGGGTTGGGAGAGTGGCACAGGGGTCGCGCTTGTCCTCGGGCAGAGGGCCTGCAGGGCTCAGGCTAAGGCTGCTGGGAAGTTACAGCTGCCAGCAGGAAGGACCGCATCCTCCTGGGGCCTGGCTGGCACACTGTGGTTCCAGTGTGCTGGGAAGGGACAGGTCCTTCCTGACACAGGTGACAGGACAGCTGGCCGCTCACACTCCTGGTTCTCACCTGGATGTTTGCCATCTCCAATGTGCTGGGGCAAGAGCTGGGGCATCGTGGGGGCACAGCAGGGGGATCGTGGGGGCATGGTGGGGGGATGGGGCCCTCGCACTTCCCCGCCCACCCCTGTGTTCATCCCCGGGGCTGCAGGAGGAGGAGCTGGTGGAGCTGCTGGCCCAGCACTGCTACGTGCAGCTGGGCGCCTCGATGCGGAGTGAGGCCGTCCAGGAGCTGCTGCCCAGCTGCATTCCCTCCAAGCTGTACAAGACCAAGCCACCAGAGAAGTGGGTCAGCCTGGTCACCGCCGCCCACACCAAGGTCAGCCTCTACGGAGCACCACACTCGGGCTGGGCAGCTGGGGGGCCATAGGCCTGTATAGGGACAGAGGCCTGGAGAACGGGGGACTTTGACTCACCAGTGAGGCGGCGGTGTCTCTCGAGGTTGAAATAACCTTGTCGAATAGGTTATTTCACAGTCACAGACCCCACCACCCCTGCCCCTGTGTTCTTCCAGTTAGCCCCCCAGGGGAGCCGAGGAGGCTCACGTCCCTGCTCATCTCTACATCAGCATCTGGCGGGGCCCAGCCTTCTGGCACAAGTGGCCGTCTGCAGCTGTCCCCCCCAGGCCACACCCCTGCCCTGGTGCAGGCTGTGTGCAGCAGGGAGGGCTGCATCTCCTACCCCGGCCCCTGGGCCTGCACCATGTGGGCGTGGCTCTTCCTGGGGGCTCACACCTCCACCTCCCCCACAGCACATAGGAGCACCCACACCCATGCGGGTTTTCACTCTCCCTGAGCATCACCCCACGAGGGGACAACAAAGACCATCTGACTCACAGTCCCCCTGCCAACCCCCCCCCAACAGGGACAGTCCTCCCAAACCTGCCCCCATCAGAGCCTCCTTCCTTTCAGGGTGCCGAGCTGGGCGGCGTGGCCTGAGGTGCTGGGCACCACTCGCTGCCTGCCTGCTGCTGCCGCTGCTGCAGGAGAGCTGGGGTGGGGGGCAGTTGCCCTTTGGTTAGTTCCTGCATCCCCTCAATTATCCCTGTGGCACTACAGATCAAAGAGGGGTGGGACAGGGAATGGGGAAGGAGACCGCACCACACCTGCTTCCTGGGAGCTGACATCCCGGTGGCAGGAATGCAGCCCCTGTGAGTGGTTCAGGCAGCAGGGGCCCCCCAAGTTCAGAGAAAGGAGGTAAGGATGGCCAAGCCACAGGAAGGGGGGCAGGCCTCCATTAGGCTCATGGACAAGGGTCCGGTGCACCTGTGGTTTGGGAAGTGCAGCTTGCCCTGTCCTGAGCTTAAGGAGTCACGGTGCAAAGCTGTTCAGGCTCTGACAGGTCCTGCAATAGAGAGGCCTGATTGCTTTACCCAGCATTTCCCAGACATATTTGACAACAGAGCCTAAACAAAGGTTCAGCATCTCTTGGAAACAGTTCTTGGTGATAGGAATTTGGGGAAGCAAAGCCCACTTGGGGTTTTTTGGTGTTTCCCAGCCTGAGTGAATGTGTTTACAGGAGAGAGATCATGGGCTTTTTAGGGCTCATATGAGAGAGGGACCAGCGGCTCACATGAACCCAAGTGAACATGAGTAACAAGTGGCTTTGTAATTTAGGAAGGGAAAGTTAGGGTAAAGATAAAGAATTAGGAGGGGCGCTTGGGGGGCTCGGTTGGGCATCTGACTTTGGCTCAGGTCATGATCTCACAGTCTGTGAGTTTGAGCCCTGTGTTTGGCTCTGTGCTGACAGCTCAGAGCCTGGAGCCTGCTTGGGATTCTGTGTCTCTCTTTCTGCCCCTCCCCGCTCTTGAAAATAAACAAACATTAACAACAACAACAAAAAACCGAGAAGAATTAGGAAATGTTACCCAACCACTTTTTTCTGAAGTAAACATAGTTACACTGACTTTTTTCATTAAACCACTTAAAACATGTACACTACAAAATACATTAGAAAATACAGACATGTACCAATAATTTATCAATGAGATCATTGCTCTTAGCATTATGGGATGGATCCTTCCAGACTGCATTCATGAGTATACAACTGAGAAATGAGTATGATTAGAGAGAATCAATATACCTTTACAAAAATACACGTAGGATGGCATCATATGGCAACATTCAGCCTGTTCCTTCACTTAACCACATAGCCTGTGGCCATACTTCCATGTCACAAAACACTAATCTTCATGTTCTTTTTTTTTCCTTTTTTTCTCTTTATGTTCATTTTTAATGGCTGCCTAGTACTGCAGTAATGAATTATAATTTACGGATTCCTGTCAATGAATGTTAAGGTCATTCCCCATTTTTCACTATTATATTTTTACAGAAGTCATTTTTTTTTAAAGTTTATTTATTTTGGGAGAGAGAGCAGGTGCACATGTGAGTGGGGGAGGGGCAGAGAGAGAGAGAGAGAGAGAGAGAGAGAGAAAGAATACCAAGCAGGCTTTGTGCTGTCAGCGTGTCTGATGCAGGGCTCGATCCCATGAACTGGGATCATGACGGGAATGGAAATCAAGAGTTGGACACCTAACGCACTGAGCCACCCAGGCGCCCCACCTCCATTTTCCACTATTAAAACCATGACGTGAGCCACTTTGTAGACCCAGCTTACATGTACTTGCTGGGTATTCGCCAGGATAATTCCTAAGCAGGGGGTCTCGGAGTGGTGGACATTCTAAAGTCCTCGACAGTGTTGCATGCTGCTGGATGGCCCTTCAGATCCAAGACGTCCCTTGACATCCCACAGTCCAGGTGTATGAATGTCACCCAACCACTGTTTTAAACCAGCAATAAGAGAAATAACATCTTATCCAACCAACAGTAAAAAGAAAGTTCAGCTGGACGCTATAGCCAGCTACGGACACAGAACAGTGGCGACAGGAAGAGGGGAGGGGTAGGGTGGAGAAGAAATCAAAAAGAGGGAGGAAGGACTGGGGGCAGGTTGAGATGAAGGCCCCTGGGAGGTGGCTCCCGAATAGGCGGAAGAGCCCCAGAGAAGACAGCCAGGGAGAGGTACCAGGGACGGGGAGACCCACACCAGGACAGGCCCCTCGGGCCCCTCAGGCACATGTTGGTGGAAGCATGCCCAAGCATGCGTGTGTGGACAGGCCTGCCTCATGGCCTTCCATGACTGACCTACAGCCCTCTGGCACCCTGATGCTGAAGTGGGGCAGGGCTGAGCCTTTCTCCCTTCTCAAAACCACCCGTGAAAGGCCCTCCGTCAGGGCAGGTGACACAGGGCTGCGCCAGCCTCCCTGAGCCCCCGCCCCCAGCAGCCTTCACCAGCTTCACAGAACAGTCCAGCAAATGAGCACCGTGAGCACTAAGCCACCAGTTTGCCAAGGGGAAGCCAGGGTTGCGTGCGTGAGAGTTGAGTGACCAAGGTGACCCGCTGTGCCCACCCCTGCAGGCACAGCACACCCAGAAGCAGGAGCAGCCGCTGGCCGTGCAGGAGCAGGTGGTGGAGGCCGCCCGCCTGCAGTGGCCGATGCTCTTTTCCCGGCTCTTTGAGGTCACCACGCTCTCTGGTAATGGGATCTGATGGGAGGAAGGGGTGCAGGCAGAGCCCCCCACCCGGGGCAAGCCTAAGCTTCTTACTCCCTGTCCTCCCCCTCCAGGCCCCCGACTGCCCAGGACTCAGCTGATCTTGGCTGTTAACTGGAAAGGGATGTACTTCATGGACCAGAAGGAGAAGATGCTCCTAGAACTCTCTTTTCCAGAGATCATGAGTCTGATCACCAACAGGTGGGTATCCCAAGGGAAGAGGCCCCAAACCTCTTTCCTCACAACCTTAGTCCTTGGGGGCTCTGGGAAAGATGGGGGGAGAGGGAAGCACATTGTCCCTGGGCCCCCAGGGATGAGGACGGGCATGTGCTGCATGTTGGCCACTGGACTGGGGACCCCACCCTGTCCTGCCACAGGACCAGTACTGCCCCACTAAGTACTGCGTCTGTGAATAAGGTCTTGTTCTCTCGAGCTTCTCTCTAAAGCCCAGATCCACCTGGAAAGGGGCACAGAAGCCTACAGCCTTTGGGGCGTGCATTCAGTTACAGGCCTTGCCTTCTCGTGGGGGAGAACCAGGCACACGGTGGGTGCGGCCGTCTGAGAGAGGAAGTGAGGGCCCGAGGCTGGGGTGTGGCAGAGTGGCCGTGCAGGCCAGGGTGGGCCTCAGACACCCCCCCATCATGACTCTGCGTGGCTCTGTCTTCTGAGAATGCCTTCCAGCCCCTTGGGAAGGCTGCCTGTGCCCCTCCAGAGCCCCCTTGGTTAAAGCCTACCTCAAGATGCCGTGACCGTCATAATCACTACCAGAGTGTGCGGGGTGCACAGAGGCCACCACCTCTCAGGCTGAGCGTGTGTCCCCATGGCGTCACCCGCTCTGCAGATGAATACAGTAAGACACAGGAGGCTGAGTAGCGGGCCCAAGCCCACCAAGACTGCCCCATCTCAACTCCAGCGCTCTTTGCCATGTCCCTGTGGTGGCCCTGCGCACCAGCCACCTCACTACCTGCCCAGAGTTGAGTCCACAGCCTCGTTGCCTTTGAAGCCCAAGGGGCACTGAGCTCTGGCCGTCATTTGGCCCCTGCACACAGTGGTGCCTGGATGTGGGCTGACCTTGGCTCAGATCTTGGTCCCGGTCAAGTCATGTGTAGTGCAGCACCCTCTCTGAGGCTGCTGAGGGGCTGGAGTGGGAAGGGCTGAAGAGGCCAGCAGTCATGTCATGCCTTTTGTCCCCCCAGGGAGGCCCAGGGTGGGCAGAGGCTGTTACTGTCCACGCTGCACCAAGAGGAGTATGAATTCATGTCCCCCAGCAGTGTGGCTGTCGCCGAGCTGGTGGCCATGTTCCTGGAGGGCTTGAAGGAGAGGTCCGTGTTCACCATGGCCCTGCAGGACAGGAAGGCCACAGGTGCCCAGCCAGGCGGGGATCAGGGTGTGGCGAGGGGCTGATGCTGTGGTCAGGGGGAAGGTGGCCAGCTCACCCCCACGTCTCAGCAGCCATCCGGCAGGGCTCTGGGAGGGACCTGAGCAGAGAGAGGGAACAAGGGCTACAGAGCACAGTGGGGGGCAGCTTTGGTCAAAGCCCTCCCTTCTACAACGCGAGGGGCTTGCAGAGGTGGTCTCTAACCCCCCAGGGGGGAAGCTACTTGAGGACTGGCTGCTGTAGGAAGCTCAGGGAAGGGTCCACGTCCTCCCCCCTGCAAAGAACAGGCAGGCCACCGGTCTAACCTTTCAGCACCCCACAGCCACCCTGTTATCCCACTCATAGCCCGAATCAGAGGCTCAGACAAGGGCAGCAGCCTGTCCAGGGTCGCAGCTCAGGAGTGGGGGACTGAGCCCTGGTGACCTTCCCTGCAAGCCAGCGGTCTGGCAAGAGCTGAACATGCCCGGGAGTTAGGAGGGAGTGGGGGTTCCCTGGGATGGAGAGGAGGGGGCCGTGCATTGGATCTCACAGCAGGAAGAAATGTCCGCCCGGAAACCTTATGCCAGTTGCCTGTTCCAGAGGGAGGGATTATCATGTCCTCACTAAGGGGGAAACAGGCTCAGGGGGCCTCATGGCACTCAGGGCCGATCCCCTCAGGGTAGCTTGGGCCCAGCGCTCTGCCAAAGAAGACAGACCCTGAAATGCCAGCCCGGCCTCTGGTCTCTGTGTGGCCCTTGGTGAGTGGTGGCTCTTCTTCCCCTGTGTGCGGCCTGGCATTGCAGATGATGCCACCATCCTGCCCTTCAAGAAGGGGGACTTGCTGATCCTGACAATGAAGAAGGGGCTGTTGGCTTCTGAGAACTGGACCCTGGCCCAGAACGACAGGACGGGCAAGACAGGCCTGGTGCCCACAGCCTGCCTTTACTCCATCCCAACGGTCACCAAGCCCTCGGCACAGCTGCTGGTAACTCACACGCCCGTCTGTCCTCAGCCCAGGCCCGGGAGGCACATGGGGAGGTGACCTGGCTGCTAGCTCAGGGTCCTGTAACCCCCTTGCAGAGAGGCAGGAGGGCCACCTGGCGTCAGGTCCGCTCTGCCAGCCTCCGTGGTGTCCACGACGCTGGCACGGCACTTGGCCTTTCATAGATGTTCCCACTGCAGTGCATCCTGGGAACAAACCCATCCCCCCCCCCAGTACAGCCTCACTTAAATCTGACCCAGCCAAGGGGGCCCAGGCCTCCCTACTCCCAGGTACCACCCACCCCAGCCCCCCGGAGAGGCAGGACAGACGGGTGCTCCAATATTGGCACACTACGGGCCAGCCGTGTGCCCCGTGCACTGCAGCACTGGACACGAGAGCAACTCCAGCCTCAGGGAGCATTTGGGCAAACAGTTAATCCGTGGCGAGTGTGCAGAGTGACCCCAAGAAGCAGCACTGGCTGTTCTAGGAGCGAGTAACAGGGTAGGGGCTCCCCCTGTCCCGGAACGCATCCCTGAGGCAGCGACTGGTGCTGCGGCCTGAAGCGCGCAAGGAACCAGGCCAGCAGGGCAGGGTCAGAGGCGCCCCTGAGAGGTGCCCCGGAGAAGCAGAGCCGGGCGGGTCTCTCCCAAGGGATACATTGGGCCACTGGTCACACCCCAGGTGACTTAACGAGGCCCAGGCCTGTACGGCCCTGGGGTCGGCCTCTCCCACGGCACTGGAGCAAGCAGGCCGGGAGCCCGTGGGAGGGCCTTGTGGGCAGGGGAGCCCACAGGCCTGTGCCTCCGCAGAGCCTGCTGGCCATGTCACCAGAGAAGCGGAAGCTGGCAGCCCAGGAGGGCCGGCCCCCAGAGCCACCACCCGAGGAGCAGCCCAAGGAGAAGCCACACACCCTGGAGGAGTTCTCCTATGAGTTTTTTAGGTGCCTCTCAGCCCCCCTCCAGGCCCCTCAGCCCCTCTGGGCTCCCTGGGGGTTACAGGGAGGCCAGTGTCCCACACTGGGGACCCTGTGAGCCCCTGAGCCTCCCACGGCCATCCCAGGAGGGCAGGGCCTGGGAGCCTGGGTCTGTCCCCCAGTGGTGCACCCAAGGTATGCAGGTGGGGAGAGGAAGGAGAAGGCTTGAGAAGGGCCCTCACAGCAGCCTCCGTTCCTGACAGGGCCCCAGAGAAAGAGACGGTCAGCAGGGCCGTGTTCCCTCTGGCCCGGGCCCGGGGCCACCTGTGGGACCACTCGTCTGAGCCACTGCGGCAGCCTCTGCTCAAGCATGTCTATACCAACACCGAGCTCCGGGACCCCGCCTGTCAGATCTTCATCGATATCCTTCCCCAGCCAGCCTGCCCCAGCTCTGTGCCAGCCCCACAGCTACCCTGGCAAGGGCACAGGCCCTATCAAGCGCAGGGCAGAGGCAACATACCGCTCACAGGGCCACTCGAGGGGCAACGTGGGGCCGGGGCTGGGGTCAGCGGTAACAGGCAGCCGTGATGGCACATCCTCCTTGACGGCCACACCCATCCTCAGGTACATGGGGGACTACCCTTCTCGACAGGCCTGGACCCCCGTGGATCTCACCGACCAGATCTTCTCGCTGGCCCTCCAGGAGTCAGCGCTACGGGATGAGGTCTACTGCCAGATTCTGAAGCAGCTGACACACAACATCAAAAGGTCTGCTGGGGACAGGATGGGACCAAAGGGCACCAGGCTCCGTGCCCAGGTCCCTCAGCTTCTCCCTGGCCCCCAGCTTCTGTCCCTGGCCCCCTTGGTCTTCTCTCTGGCCCCCAGGCTCCATCCCAGGCCCCCACGGTCTTCTCCCAGGCCCCTCTGTCTTCTCCCTGGCCCCCAGTCTCTGTGCCTGGCCCCCTCAGTCTTCTCCCTGGCCCCCAGGCTCCATGCCCAGGCCCCCTCGGTCTTCACCCTAGCCCCCAGAGACTGCCCATGGTTCAGAGTGGGAGGCAGCTTATGGACACTACCCAGCCTGCCCAGACATGGCCAGCAGCAGTGGGAAGGGTGGGCCCCACCTCTTTCCTGCTGACCTCCTCGGGGTGCTCAGAACAGAGAGGAAAATGGACCTGCCTTGGGCCCTACCTGCTCCTACCTTTTCTTCTTTGTGACCTGGACATACCATGAGGACTCTAAACCTCAGTTCCCTCCTCCCAAAAAGATGGGTGCAGGGGTACACCCTCCCTATTCTGTGTGTGTGTGAAGGCCTCTGAGGCATGGGCAGCCAGGCAAGCCTTGTGTCCCATCTCCCTGTGGTACCTGGCAGCCTGGGGCCTTCTGGGGCCCTTCCTGGCCTGACAGGCGCTACCCCTGCAGGTACAGCGAGGAGCGGGGCTGGCAGCTACTGTGGCTGTGTACGGGCCTCTTCCCGCCCAGCAGAGCTCTGCTGCCCCACGCCCAGAAGTTCATAGACACTCGGAGGAGGAAGCTGCTGGCCCCTGACTGCAGCCGCCGCATCCAGAGGGTCCTGAGGTGAGCCAGCCTGTGCTCACTCCCTTGGGAGCATCCACCTGGGGATGCTGAGGGCCCCCTCCAGCCCTTCCAGAGCTCCCGGGCCAGTGGGGACCCTTGTCAGGGGCCCAGACGCTGTGTCCTCTCTGGAAGCTGGGGTCCAGAGGGCAGGACAGGGTCCCCAGCAACCTGGGCAGAGGCTGGAGAGTGAGGCTTATGAGAGGCCCCGGTGCTCAGTGAGGGTTCTAGGAGGCTCAGTCTTGGCCAGGGCACAGAGGGGACTGCCCGGAGGCCAGAGCGTGACCTCGATGCCCCAAGCCACCCACCTCCCTACCTGACCCAGCCAAGAGGCCAGTCCCTGCAATCCATATGACCAGTCCTCTTGTAATTGGGCAATTCTCCCTGGGCTCTGTCTTCGTTCTCATCCACACCACCTGCCCTGTCTGGCTCTGCCTCTTGTGGCTGTGGGAGAGGGTACATTGGCCATGATCATGGAGGATGAGATGGGTGCCCTCAGAGAGGCCCTGTGGGGGTCCCTGACCCCTACCTGATGCCCCTGCTGTGTGAGAATGAGGACACAACTCGCGCTAGCCACCGGTGCTCTCCTCCTAGGAAGTTCCGGGTCAGACCAGGTCCCCCCCACCCCGCCCCCTATGTGTGTCCCAGGACTTCCCCGACTCCTCAGAGCTACAGGTCACCTAGAAAGTGAGTCCAGGCTGGCCTCTGCTGCTGCCTCTGGGCCTGGTGCCGAGCGCCCCAGGCAGGGTCAGCCCCGAGGCCCCCGTCCTCCACTGGGGTTGTGGAGTTATCACTGTGTGTGTCTGTCACACACTTCAACTTGGAGGCTGGTGGCCAGAGCCTGGACTGGTCCAGGCTGGGGGTGGGGCAGGGTGCTGTGCTCAGCAAGCACTGTCTGGCTCTAGGATGGGGCCCCGGAAGCAGCCCCCACACCCGGTGGAGGTGGAGGCCATGGAACAGAACATCACCCGCATCTGCCACAAGATCTGCTTCCCCAATGACACGAGCGAGGTGAGCCTTCCGCCCCAGGTGCCGAGCTGCAGCTTTTGCCCACAACAAAGCCCTCCCCGTCTTGCTCCCCAAGGATCAGCTCAGCAGACAGACACTGTTTTCACAGCTAGAGGGAGCCTCCTGCCCCGCCCCTCTGCCCCAGGCTCTGTCTGCTCTGCCCTCGCTGGTGCCCCATAGGGGTGCTGCTAGTGCTGGGGGAAGTTCTGGAGGTATGGGGGCACTCTAGGCCAGTGCAGGGAGGGGCTGCCCTGAGGGTGGGGCTGGAAATCAGGGAGGTCCCAAAGGTGTAGGGGGCACTCCTGGCCAAGGTATGCCAAGAGGAGGCCATCAGGGTGGGCAGCAAAACCAAGTCTGAGGGCACAGGTCCTGATGGGCTTCTAACCCTGCCCTGGGGCATAAGGGAGCAGGTGCAGCCACTAGGCATGCCTGTGGACCGAGCCTGTGTGGCCGCTGGGTAGGAGGGGGACCATCAGGCGCCAGGTGCGGTGGAGAGGCCCCCAGCCAAGGGGCAGCAGTGAGGTGTGGGGCAAGGGACGGAGGGCCATGTGCCCCTGCAGCCTTTCCCAGCAGCTGTGTGGCCTTTACGGCCTTAGAGACAATGGGTCACACCAGGGAAGGTTCCCACAGTCTGGCTACAGGGCTCTCAAAGGAAGTTCAAAGGCCGAGCATCCTGGGCCCCCAAGGCGATAAGCTCTGACTGAACAACTTAAGCATCCAGCTGGTTTTCCAGAAGGGGAGGCTGCTCCTTCTCAGGCTGCGGCAAGTCCTGTCGGCCTTCAGCAGGAGAAACAGCTCCAGGCTATGGTGGGTCATCCCAGGCTGGGCCTCGATGGTCACACGCTGCTTCTCTGCCCAGATGCTGGAGGTAGGCACCAACACGCGGGTGCGGGATGTATGCCAGAGCGTCGCCACCAGGCTGCAGCTGGCCTCCTGGGAAGGCTGTAGCCTCTTCATCAAGATCGCTGACAAGGTGCCATGGCGGGTGGGCCAGGGCCGGAGGGGGAGGTGGGCAGGCATCTGGGATCCAGGGCATTGCTCCTGTGTGCTGGGCCAGACCCTCCCTGCCCAGGGTATCAGGATGAGGGTGGGTGGGCTAGTGGAGCGGCACAATGCAGGGACAGCCCCAAGCAAGGGAGACCCAATTCAGAGCAACACCTAGCCTCCCATACGGGCTGGCAGGACCCGGGATGGGGGTGGGGGGGCACTCCCCTGGAAGCCCTTCAGCCTGCACAGCTCCCTCTGCCTTCCTCCCCGCCCATTCCAGGTCATCAGCCAGAAGGAGGGAGACTTCTTCTTTGACTCCTTGAGGGAAGTGTCTGATTGGGTGAGGAAGAACAAGCCCCAGAAAGAAGGTAAGAGGAGGGGGAAAGGGGTGAGGAAGGAAGGATATGGCTGGTATGGAGGACACAGGGAAGGGGAACTGCCTCCCTGGGCCAGGGTCAGAAGGTTCCCCTGGCACCTCTTGCATGGCCCTTGCCCATTCATTGATTCATTCATTCCCCCCTTAGATCCCCTGGGTCATGGGTATGGCTGAGCAGCGGCAGGGTGGGGGGCAGGCCTAGAACAGATGGCTGATGGCTGCACTGCGGGGTGATGAAGGTGATGTGGGGGCCTGACCCCCCACAGAGAGGCCCAGGAGCATCCCTGGAGAGAGTGGCCTCTCCACCAGCCCTGAAGGAGGAAGAGCTGGGGGTCAGGGAGGGAGAGGGGGTGAGGCTCTCCAGCCAGGGGGCAGCAGGAGCAGACACAGCATGATAGGCAGCGGTGTGGGGAGGTGGGCAGCAATGTCCCCGCCATGAGAAGGGGTGGGGAGCACAGGTCCAGGAATGTGTGGGGCCACAGCATGGGCTTGGTGCTCACTGCCCGCCCTGCCCAGGGGTGCTGGCGATGCTCCCCTACCAGGTGTACTTCATGCGGAAACTGTGGCTGAACGTGGCCCCGGGAAAGGATGTAAACGCAGACACCATTCTTCATTACCACCAGGTACCTGGGCTCCCTCCCGGGTCTGCCTTCACTCCGCCCCATGCCCACCCTGAGACACAGCTGCCTTGCTCTGGGCACTGCCCTCTCCAGGGGCTTCTGGAGGCTGTGGAGGCCCTGAGTGGTGGGCTGGCTGGGCCCTGAGGGTTCTGCAGCAGGAGCAGAGGGGCAGCAGGCTTTGGGGACCGTGACCACACCAGCACCCACAGTGTGACTGCTGGGAATGGGAGGAGACAGAGGGTCCCAACCGCATAGGGGTAGGGCAGGCCACCACCTCCAAGATGAGTCAGGGAGTCCTGTCCCAACTCAAGGCCCCTGCCAGAAGGCCTCCCCTGAGGGTCGCTTGCTCTGTCTCCTGCCTGAAGGTGAACTAATACCTCTGCCACCTGAGCAGAATGGGGGGAGGGGAGCAGCAGCCTAAGGCCAACATGTCTGTCACTCAGGAGCTGCCCAAGTACCTCCGTGGCTTCCACAAGTGCTCTCAGGAGGATGCGGTCCACCTGGCGGGCCTCATCTACAAGGCCCAGTTCGACAATGACCGCTCCCAGCTCGCGAATGTCCCCAAGATCCTGAGGCAGCTTGTGCCTGAGAACCTCACGCGTCTGATGTCCTCTGAGGAATGGAAAAAGGTCCCTGATGGGGCTGGGGAGGTGGGGGGGCCTTGGGTGCATCGGTGCCAGGCCCTGCCGGGGCCAGATGACCTATTCCGGTCATGGAGGGTATGCTGGGTCTGCGAGTGTCACCCCCTGTGTGTGCTATCCACAGCTCCTGGGAGATGAGGGGGTTGAGGTCACACTTGGCTGGAAGTGCCCCCCCAGGCTGGCCATGGGCACACAGGTGTGGCGTTGGACTGGGGCCTCAGGGACGCTGTGTGGAGGGCTCGGTCAGGCACTAGCCCCACCCCCGGCCCTCACTGGTCCTTACCACCCCCACCTCAGAACATCCTTCTGGCCTATGACAAGAACAAGGAGAAGACGGTAGAGGAGGCCAAAACAGCCTTCCTTAAGTGGATCTGCCGGTGGCCCACTTTCGGGTCTGCCTTCTTCGAGGTGAAGGTAGGCCTCCCCCACCCCCAGTCATCCTCGCCCGAGGGAGCCTCGCCCGGCCCTCGCCCCAACAGCCCCAGCTTCTCTCTAAACATGCCTCAGGGTGGGCCTGGCCACCTGCATTGGACAGAGGATGTGTATGTGCACACGTGTATGTGCCCCCGTGTATCTCGGGGAGGCGGCCCCCTGGCCTCTCCGGCGGGGCTGTGACCGCTGCGTCCCCTCCCCAGCAAACCTCGGAGCCCTCCTACCCGGACATCATCGTCATAGCCATCAACCGACACGGGGTTCTGCTCATCCACCCCAAGACCAAGGTAACAGCTGGGCCCCAGCAGGGCTGCAGAAGCTGCCTGGGTCCCAGTAACCCCCCCACCCCCGCAGAGGTCGTACCCCTGCCCCCTCTCACCCTTCACACAGCCCCAGGGACTCTGGAGGACCCCAGAGCGGCAGCCCAGGCTCAGCCCTCTAGCCCCCTGGGTTTCTGCTGGACCCCACCCACCCCGCCTGCTCTCCCACAGGAGCTGCTCACCACCTATCCCTTCACCAAGATCTCCAGCTGGAGCAGCGGCAGCACCTACTTCCACATGGCGCTGGGGAGCCTGGCCCGGGGCAGCCGCCTGCTGTGTGAGACTTCTCTGGTGAGCCCCAGACTCCCAGGGCCTTCCTCCCAGCACAGACACACGGACACAGAGGCACCGGGGACTAGGTCCCCCTGCCCTGAGCCCCCACTGCCGCCAGGCAAGTTGCCAGCTGTGAGGATCGGGCTCCTATGCCCGGAGCGGGACAAGGCCAGGCTGGGCCAGCAGAGGCTGGAAGGAGAGGCAAGGAAAAGGCTGGGACCGTCAGCCAGGGACCGTGATGGCGAGGCCCCCTGTGGTCCTGGGCGGCTCTGAGGAGGGAGGGGGCTCCGTTCTCGGCAGCAGGGGCCCCGCTTGCCTCCTTGCCTCCCTGTCCAGTGCACCCTTGAGGCAGCAGCTGGGTACCACCCGGCCCTGATCCGAGCCCCCCACCCCTGCACCTCCCAGCTGCCAACCCCTCTTTCCTGTGTCCAGGGTTACAAGATGGATGACCTGCTGACCTCCTATGTGCAGCAGCTGCTGAGCACCGTGAACAAGCAGCGAGGCTCCCAGGCCCCAGCCCAGGCAGCTCCTTAGCACCAGGGATCGGCCTGCCCACTCACCTCCTCTTCCCAGTCTGGGGGCCTGGTGGCACTTCCCTGGGGCCCTCTTCCTGGCCCAGGGCCTGCCCTCTGCAAGCACCCTTTCATGCCACCTTCTCTCAAAACACATCCCCGCACTCCTCAGCGCGCCGGCTCGGCCACCTTTCCTGAGAGGCTGGGCATAGAAGCCAAAGTGGGGAGGCTGGGGTGGGGCTGGCCTCCAGGCTGATGGGGGGACGGCAGAGAGGACTCCCCCCAGAATGTTCAATAAAGCTTCCTGGAGCAGTGTGCTGTGTGTTAGCGAGGGAAGAGGGTGGGGGCCAGGTGGGTAGGAGGCCTAGGAGGCACTGGCCAGCAAAGGGTCTCTTCCAGAAAAATGAAAAGCTTTGTGACTTCTCTGGGGACACCCGGATGACAGCGCCATTCTCAGAAGATGACTTCATTGGTTTCTCCCTCTTCCCTTCCTCTCCCTTCCCCCCACCTCCTTTCCTCCTCCCTTCCTCCCTCTCTTCCTGCGAGGCCCCTTTGCACACTATCTCTCCTTCCCCTGCAGGGCACTGGGATGCAGAACTGTCCTGGAGGGACTGGTGTGGGCTCAGGCCAGGCCCGCCTGCTCTCTGGCTGCTAGCTTCCCTGAACCTGTGCCCAGGCAGGAGCAGAGCTGGACACAGGGCCTTAGTGGCCTGGGTCTACCCCCGCTGTGCCAGCAGGCCCCATAGGAGTCTGCCCCCACCATCCTACCCGCCTGGCCGGCCTTCATGGACCCAGGGTTTCCGGATGGCCTTGTCTCCAAGTCCTGATAGCAGCCTGGCCCTGGGAACAAGGGCTGGGTCCCATGGGGACAATTCTCCTGTCCTATTTGGTGTCTGTCAACAGCCCCAAACACTGTGTCCACAGGGGCTGCTGCCCCACAGCCTCATTCCCACGCCATAAACCACACGGGTCATGGGGTCGTGTAAATAAGCCTTCATTCACTGTGCAAGCACCAGGTCCTGTGCTTCCTGGAAGGTCGGAATGAGCCACACACCCAACCTTCTGGCCCTCAGCCAACTGCATCCAGAGGGCCAGCGTGTGGGGGGAGTGGGGAGCAGGGACCACAGAGGAGCTCGGGGGAACCACGGGGCCCCTGACCCCCCCAACAGACTTCCGGAAAGAGGCCTCATGAGGGATGGAAGGAGGGGGTCCTTGTCCCTTCTGACGATTATGGGCAGGATTTGCTGGCGCGGTTTAAGCACAGGATCCTATTTGGTTGAGTGAGTGCATGGCCAAGCATGAAAGGGTGGCTTCCCAGAGGCCCCCGTCCTCATGGCCAGGATAGCTGCCTGGCTGTGGCCTCCTCGGGGCCATGTGCACATGGTGGGACCACTCTGGGGTGGAGGCTGCCCCAACTCCTGCGGGAGGATGTGAGCTGGTGGAGGGCGGGGCTGCTGCAGGAATAGGAGCGGTCAAGACAAGCAGGCTGGGAGCAGTGGGATCCACGACCAGGGCCAGGTGACCCCCAGGCCCCCATCCCTCATGTCCCTGGAGGATCTCGAGCTAAGGCTTGTGGGCACAGGCCTGTCACAGGCTCAAGGGCCCTGCCTGCACTGAAGGAAGGAGGAGAGAAAAGGGGCCTGGGGAGGAGGGGGAGACGAGCTGGGGGAGGGGAGGGGAAAGGGGGCACAGAGATGAGTAGAGGCAGCACCAGAAGCAGGGGCGCCAGCAGCAAGGGGGAGACAAGGCGGAAGGCAGGCAGGTGGCCCCTCAGGCGGAGTTGAGGCCCACAGACTTGGGGTGGGCCTTGCGGGCCGCCAGCTCCGACAGCTTCTTCAGCCGCTTCTTCAGCTCCAGGGGGAATTTCTCGTAGCATCGCTTACACACGGGCTTCATGTCGAACTCCACAAACTTGTTCCTGGGGAGGAAGTCCAGCAGTCAGGAGAGCCCAGGCCTCAGCAGCTCGGCCCTCAGAGGCGGGGCAGCGGGCTCCCCTGCCCCTGGCCCACAGCAATCCACATCCCAGGGCAAGCTCCGGCCACGGGTCACGGTGGACAAGGAGGTGGGCTTCCAGGCCTCCTCTCCCTCACAGAAGCTTCTGTTGGGTTCTGATACTCCAGCACCGGCCATGACTCCCTGCCATCCTCAGAGACCTGGGCTCCACCTCCCCTCACTGCTCCGGCAATCCCACACTTCTGGTAGTTTCCGGATAAGCCAGCCTTTGAAAATGCTGTTCCCTGAGCTGGCATGCCCTTCCCTCCCCAGAGCCCAGTGTCTCTGTGGGTGTGTTGGGGGCTCACATCCCTGCCCTCTCACCATGCCCCGGGGGCCCCTCGATCTGCCTCCTGGGGGCTGGGGGCTGCCTCTGCCTTCCCAGGCCCTGACCGCAGCAGACACTCAGGGAAAGCCTGATGAAGAGCCCACGGCAAGGCCACGCAAGTCTGAGCTCCCGTGACAGGCTCCCGGAGAGCAAGGTGCTGTGCGGCCCCTGTCTGCCTGCCTGCCCGGGAGACGGCAACACTTACTTCAGCGTGAGCTTGCTGTTGCAGGTGGAGCAGGAGAAGCAGTTCACACACCAGGCCTTGTTGAGGGCTGACACCACTGTGAAGGGCGGAGGGGGGCAGGCTTAGCACCCCGGACCAGCTGGGCCCGCAGCTGCCGGACCCCCACCCAGAGGAGCAGACAGATGGGGGTGTGCGGGTGGCGGGGTACACAGGGACAGAGGAGCCTTACCATCTCCCTCGATCACATGACTGCAGTTATAGCAGACGTCTCCGAAGAGCTGTGGACAGAGCAGCTGTCAGGCTCGTTGCAGAGGTCACACACCCCAGCTCAGTGCCGCCCCAAACAGCTGCTGTGGGCACCTTCCTGAGACACCAGCCCTTCCCACCAGGTGCGCCTCGGGCCTGAGGCGCAGGCACCCCAGCGCATCAGAACCACCACCTGGGACCGACGGCAGGCTGAGCATCGCTCCCAAGAGTCCCCGTTGCTCCCGCTGGTGTCCCCAGAGGGCCGTGGGCCCTGACTCTGGACCACGGCCGCTGGGTGACTCTGCCAGACTGGAGGACAGCAGCACATGCCGGCCTCCAAACCCAGGATCTCACTCTGCCCTCTCGGTCAGTCCCCACGATGGGTCTGGGCCGGCGTCTCGGACGATAGGGCACGCAGCCACCACAGGCTCTGGAGGGGCTGACAGGTCCTCTGCCACCCACAAGGAGCGCTCGGTTGCTCAGGCAGCAAATCTCCCTGCAAGTGCCCCCCAGCCACCCTCCAGCCCCGGGCCTCTCCACCCTCTGCCCACCGCCCCCCCTCCAGCCGTACCTGGTTGTAGTGGGTCTCACAGTAGGCCAGGCCCTTCTTCTCATAGTGCCGGTGCCCCAGGAACGGCTTCTCACACTTGGCGCAGACAAAGTGCTGAGAGGAGAGGGGCAGGCGGGGCAGCTCAGGTCGGAGCATGCAGCCCAGCAGATGGACAGACAGGCAGCAGAGGCCAGTGGGATGCCTTCAGCGGACTCACAGCCAGGCAGTGGGGCCGCCACCTCCGTGGAGGGCCCACGAGATGGCAGATCCCGCTCCTTCCCAGACTCCCAGTGACATCACCATCCTCTCCAGGGCTGCTCCACCTCGGCAACCTGGGCCCAAGCCGTCAGGGCTGGGGGCAGCTTGTGGCACGGTGGGCCCTGCCAGGCGGGGCTGCTTGAAGCATGGCGCCTCCCTGGAAGGCTGCGGGGAGCTGCCCCGGTGGGCATCCCCTGCCAGCCCCGGGGTCAGTGAGCGGCATGTTCTGGTTCATACAGCATGCGTGCAGGGATTCGCCCTCCTCAGGGGGTTGGGGGCCGGGCTGGTGTCAGAACACAGACCTTGCCGGGGCAGCAGGGGACACGGGCTTTCCTTGTGACCCGTATCTGTAAGGCCGTCTGCACCCACAGCGTAGAGGGGAGAGTCCCAGGCAACCCCAGCAGACACACTGAGGAGCTCAACCAGCAGGTGTGCCCTGCTTCTGTGTCAGTTCTGCCAACCATAATCCCTCAGGGTGCCCTGGGCACTGTCTCCAAGGACAGCACCACCTCCCCCAGATGCCAGTCAGCACCTGTTACAGGAGTCTTTAAAATGTACAGGAGAAAAGCAGAACAGTGAGAAAAATTGGTATGATTTTTAGGTGACCCAGGAAGAAAGGTCACCACTGCCCCCAAGAAATCAGGGAAGCCCCATGTCCAGCTTGGAGGCCCCTAGTTCTCAGGAAGAGGAGTCTGGGATACTGGCCCTGAGGCCTGGCCCCTGCCCACCACAGGAGAGAGGTGAGGAGGCGCAGAGCCCCAGGCCCCTCCTGGAATCCCCACCCCCCACCCTGTCACCACCGGGGCCTCACTGGCCCTGCTACAAATGCCCACCAGGGAACCGGGTCAGTGACTCTTTGAGTTGTAGATTTTATCATTTCCTTTTTTACAAGTCACCCAGACTTTTAGTGAGAAATTTAGAAAACACAGGTAAAGGGCCACAATAAAATATAAATGAGTAAGTTGTAAACATCCTCCACTCATACCCCACTGCAGTAAACATTTGGATCGACAGTGTTTCTCACGACTTTGGAATCCTCTAGAAGGCCAGGAGAGGGAGGAGGAAAGGTGCCTGACCGTGGTCTGTGCACTCAGGTCTCCTGGGTGCCATGGAAGCCAGGGCCGAACAGGGACAGCACCCAAGACACAGGTCCCTGCTAGGAGCAAACCACGTGGCCTGGGGTGGGAGCATGGGGTGGCGGGTACGGCAGGGCCAAATGTAACAGTGAGCCTGGGGCTCCCCCCACCTCCTGGCCTTGCTCACCTCCACGTGCCACTGCTTGCCCAGTGCGTTGACCACACGGCCTTCGATGGGCCGGCGGCAGGCCCCGCAGATGGGGACGCCCATCTTGTCATGACACGGCAGGCAGTAGAGCTCACCCTTCAGCTCTCGGGCCTCGGCAGTCAGCTCCTTCCTGGAAGACAGAGCAGGGTCCTGGTGACATCCCTGCCCATCTGCAGGGCCTGCGCTGGCACTGCTGGGTCCCACCAGCCCCTCCAGCCCCAGGGAGCAGCTACTGGAGAGGCCCTACTCTGGCCCAGCAGAGCGCCCAGGGCAGGCGGCTCTTTGATCTCTGCCCTCTCGGGGACTTCCTCTGCCCCAGACGGGCCCCCAGGGCACGAATTCCCGCACAGGCCTGCAGAAGGCAGTCTGTGTTGTGCATTGTCAGGCCCTCTGAGAAGCAGGTCTGTTCTCAGGCCCCTCTGCACCAGACTGGGTGTCTGGGGCAGTTGGGGGGCTCATCTGCAGCCTCTTCCCGCTCTCCTCCCCTCTCCTCCACCAGCACCAACACCCCCCTCTCACCCTGGCCCTCCAGCCTTTGATTCCTTCCTCCCAACGTCCAGCAGCCTGGCCCTCCCTCACCCTGTCTCCTGAAAGCGCTGCCCGATCAGGGCCCCAGAGAGAGGTGTTTTCTGCATGGATGCTTTCTACCTTCACCCTGCACCCCACTCTCCCACACCTCCTGCCTCCTCCCTATGCCCCACTCTCTGATGCCTTCCACCCCCACCCTGCACCCCACTCTCCGACACCTCCTGCCTCCTCCCTGCACCCCACTCTCCGATGCCTTTTACCTCCGCCCTGCGCTCCACTCTCCGACACCTCCTGCCTCCTCCCTGCACCCCACTCTCCGATGCCTTTTACCTCCGCCCTGCGCCCCACTCTCTGACACCTCCTGGCTCCATCCTGCACCCCACTCTCCGACACCTGCCTCCGCCCTGCGCCCTACTCTCCAACTGGTTGACCTCCTGCACCCAGCTCACCACTTGCCCCGTCCCAGCTACTCAGCTGTACACGTACCCGCAGTGGGTGCAGCTGAAGTGGTCTGGGTGGTAGGCGTCGTTCTTGAACATAAGGGGCTGCTCGTCAATGACCAGGTGGCACCGCTGACAGACATACTTGCCCAGGCCCTTGGCCTTCTCGCGGTTGTGGCAGGGCCGGCACAGGTGCCTGTGGGAAGGAGGAGGGGTTAGGGACCAGCGACCCACTCCCCCCTTCCTCCCCAGAAAAGTGGTCGGCCTTCAGGGAAAAGAGACCTCTGGAGCCCACCTGCCACTTTACTGATGCCCATAAGCCTCCAGAGGCTCAGACAGCAGCCCAGAAAAGCAGCTAACTAATCCTGTGGCTGGGAAGGCCACAGATGTGCCCCCTACAAAGGGGACTCGCACTGGAAAGTGACTAGAAAGAAATACACCAGAACACTGGCATTTGCCGTCTTTAGATGGCAGAGCAAACCTGAGTTTTCTTTTCTCCACTTTTCCTGAGTCTAGAGCATCATAGGGAACAGAGTAGACATTTCCTTGACGTTTGCTGAAAAATCGATTTCTCGAATGTCTTTGAACGTGGGTAAGTGAACAGTGAATGTCAGTGTGCCCAGCAGGGTGGCCCAGGGGGGCCGGCTCTGGTCGGCCTGCACACCCCCTTCCTTTGGGGTCTGTCAGACAAAGAGGGGCCCGAACATCTACAGGCTCTTTCTGTCTCCAGAGACAGGCACAGCTGCGTCGGACGGAGGCCCCCAAACCCAGGAACTGTCGTTACAGAGTCTTTTTTGTGAAGACCGCAGAGTAATTTCTGATGCCGCTCCCTGCCTTGGGGAACAGCTGTGGTCTCTACTGAAGGGAAATCAACATGGTTTATGTGTCTTTGTGCCTCAAAGGTGGAAGGAATTTAGATTCAGGGTCCCCACAAAGGCGTACAAAGGCCTCCATCCATGACTCCCACCCCCATCTGCCACCCATGTTCCTGATGCATCCGGGCCCTCCCACCCTCCCTTCCCAGGCACCCCAGCACAGGGGGCCTCTCCACCCCTCACCAGCCTCCACAGGAGCCTGATTCCCACCATCGGCCTCTTATAGGCAGATGGAAGAACCTGGTTGAGAGATGAACTCTCAGACTCAGGGTCCCCCAACCAGGTGTGATGGGCAGATCCTAGATGCCAGGGACTACAGTTCAGTGTCCACGCCCTTGACCTCAACACCTGCCACCCCCTCTGGGTCTGGACCCCCTGCTGCATAACGCTGCCGTCCATTTGCCTTATTTGTGTCTTTTCTCCCCAAAGGGTGTGAAGGGCAAGGGGCCCAAATAAGTGCCCAGTAGGCCACTTGTTAAGCCGCTAACTGGCTTCAGGCTGTGCCCCACACAGGGTAGCGGCTCAGGCCGAGTCTCTGGTGCATGAGTGAATGAATGATTGTAAGAGACGGGAAGGGAGGGACAGAGGGCATCACCTCCCATGACAATGCAGCTAGGCCAGGCCTGGGAGCCTGTCCCCTAGCCAGGGCGCCTGCTGCCCACGGGACACAGATATGGCCTGTGGCTGCAGTTTTCATCTCCCCAACTGAGGCTTTGCCTCAGTGCCCCTTATGTCCCCAGACCCCCTTCTCCACCCCACTCACCCAGACCCCTGACCCCCTGGCACAGCCAATCCGAGCAGAAGGGCTCCCCCGTCCACACAGTGCCCTCCGCCTGCTTGGATCTCTATCACAGACCCAGCATTACTCCCGTGACCCCCACGCCCCATTCTGATGACTGACCTTGGCATTAGGACAACACTCAAGGGGCACCTGGGTGGCTCAGTCAGTTAAACATCCGACTTCGGCTCAGGCCATGATCTCATGGTTCATGGGTTCGAGCCCCGTGTCGGGCTCTGTGCTGACAGCTCAGAGCCTGCAGCCTGCTTCAGATTCTGTATCTCCCTCTCTATCTGACCCTCCCCTGCTCACACTGTCTCTCTCTTTCACTCTCAAAAATAAATAAAACATTATTTAAAAAAAAAAAAGGACAACTCTCAAGCCATGTGGAATAACTTTTGTTTCAAAGCTATAGAAATTGGCACAATCCCCCAGAATTCTGTTGCAACGATCGATGCCTTTACAGCTACTGTCAGCAATCGCCCAACAACCAAAATACCCAGCCTGGGCCAGGCGGTCAGACACACTCACCTGAGTCAGTCCTCCACGCAGGGCAGCGCCGGGGAGGAGCCGCACACCTGCACGTCCCACGGGCTCCCAGCCGAGACCCAACTGGGGGGCCTGGTGCTCCACCAGGTCCCCCAGGTGGGGAAAGCTGGCCCCACAAGATCCAAAGGCAATCCGCAGAATGTTTTATAGGCAGAATGAAGATGGGGCCTAGGAATTCTAGCATCAAGGCGCAATAGAAAAACCAGAAGGGGCGCCTGGGTGGCTCAGGTGGGTAAGCACCCAGCTTTCGATTGCGGTTCAGGTCATGGTCTCACGGCTCATGGGTTCAAGCCTGCACTGGGTTCTGCACTGACCGCCTGGAGTCTGCTTGGTTTCTCTCTCTCTCTCTCTCTCTCTGCCCCTCCCCCACTGCATTCTCTCTGTCTCTCTCTCTCAAGATAAACTTTTTTTTTTTTTAAAGAAAGAAAAGAAAAACAAGAACCAAAACACACACAAATCATAAGATTTTCAGTGACTCATGCTTGGGCTCAAATCCTGGCTCTGCTGCTTCTTGGCAAGTTACTTCATCTCTGAGCCTTAGTTTCTTCATCTGTAAAATAGGCAACAACCCCACCTGCATAGAGTTGTGCAGAAAACAAATGGCAGTTACTTCCCAGTGATAGCTATGGACATTTTTTAAGGTTTTAACTAAAAAATAGAAGTCTTTTGAGATGAGGCATGATACAGATGTGTCATCTGGGTTCCCTCATCACCAGATGTGTGATCTGGGGAAAGACAGGGAGACACAGGCTTCGCCAGCTCTGTGTCAGGAGCAGCCAGCCCCACATGCAAGCCACCCCCCACTCCGGGCTCCAGCCACCCCCAGGGGACACTCAGGGGCCCGCAGGCCTTGGGCAGCGGTGACCCTGTTCACAGACCCTCTGTCCAGAGGAGGCGCCTGCACAGGTAGAGGGTAGGCCTCGCTGGTTGAGAGTGTCCCCACGGGCACAGACAGCACTCTATTATGAGGCAGCTGCAGCTGTGCCCCGCTCAGGATAAAGGCCATGATTTATTCCGCACGTCCGAACGGAGCCTAATTATACGGGGCAAGACACAAGGACCCTATAGCAAGTGTCCTGAAAGACTCCCCTCTCATTCGACCAAACAAGCCTCCTCAGGCTCCCACCCTCTCCATTCACAGGACCCCCTCCACTGTCACCAGGGCAGGCGCGGGAGCCCAGGCCCGTTGCCATGGTGGCCAGCCCCTCCCTGCCCCCCATCGGTAGGAAATGATCCTGTGCTGAAACGTCCTCTTGTCTGTCAGTGCCAGCCAGTCCCCCCACCCCGCCCAGCCCGCGCCCACTCCACGGCTCCGAACACAGTCACACACTCGGTCTCTGTGACGCTCAGTGGCCGGGCCGGGGGGCGGGCGTTTTGGGGGGGGGCACGCGGGCTGGGACACACTGGAATATTCACGGCCCAGGGGCAGCAGAGGCGGCCGTAGGAGTGGCCCACCACACAAGGCCCCCCTCGGGAATGAAGCGGCCTTTCACGTCCACGGACGCTGCGGCCTCTCTGCTCTCCTTAAATAGCCGGCCTCCCTCCGCAGCTGCACGGAGCCCACCGCCCGCACCGCTGCCCCCTGGCCACAGCCCACCCGCCACCCCGCAGCCCTCCTGTCCCTGCGCCTGGACCCGGCAGTGAGAGGTAAGGACCAGGGCCCGGCTGGGGCAGGCAGGCAGGCGGCCCAGGGGCCAAGCAGAGGCCCCCAGAGCGAGGGCAGGGACCCCCTGTGTCTCTGATAAAGAAAGCTGTCCTGCTCTGATGGCAGCGGCCCCAGTGGGCGGCGCTCCTGTTCCAATGTGGGGGATGTACGGAGGGTGAGCGCCTCGTGCACAGTCCCGCGGCTGCTCTGACAGGCAGCCACACTCTGCACCCATGCTCTCCACCACTGGGCCACCATGGCACCACGGGCAGGAACCAGAAGACGGAGGTGCCAGCCCATGCCAGGACACCGTTGCGCCCGCCTGCCACGGCCTCGGCCCCTGGGGCCTCTGCCCACTGCTCCCCTCCACGGAGGCCCAAGGCTTGCCCCACAGCCCCAGAGCCCCAGACACACACTGTCCACACCTGCACTCTAGGTGCCCACACCACTTTGTCCTGAGCAGCACTATATGGAGCTAGCGAGCCAGGTCCAGGCCTACAATGTCTAGGGTCGCAGGGGCCCATTGCAGACCACACTGCAAAAATCAGGATCAAAACTCCCTAAAACAGGAGAGGTCAAGAAACCCCAACAAACCAGAAACAAGCCTAAAAGCACTTGAAAATTGAGCTTAGAGCCCGGAAAGGGCACTGTGCACGTGGCACCTTCAGCAGTGGTGGGAGCCAAGGGCACTGGGCGGGGCGCAGAAAGCCAGGTGCTGATGTGCCCGCCGGGTGCCACAGCAGGCCAGCAGCAGCCCGTGCAGCCGGGCAGGCCCCCCATCTGTAACGCTCCGCCCTCACCACCCTGCACCCCTACTTTCTGGACAAGCAGCCCCACATTTTCACTTTGCACTAGATGCCGAAAATTACATCTGCGGTCCCGGGGCCAGACCCCAAGGAGGTGCCACGAGGCCTGGGGGAGAATTCTAGTGTGAGCCCTGGGGCCACAGTCCCGGCTCCGATGCCCCCAGAGGCAGGCAGTGTTCCGGGAGGTGCTGGGTGCCTCTGATGCGACTTCCAACCCTGGGGCCGCTATCCCTCGCCAGATGACCTTGGGCAAGCTAGCCCACTTTAAGCCTTGACTTCTTAATCCCTAACATATAAAAGGGGCCACAGACTCCTGCCTCCTTGGACTGGCAGAGCGGGTAGTCGGTACCTGTGAGTAGCCCTCAGGGAGGGCCAGGGTCCAGGTGTGAGGGGCAGCTCAGAGCAGAGGGGACACAGCACCGGTGCCCTGCCTGACCGTCCCCTCCCCAGCCAGGGCTTCCCCGGCAACAACCCTTCGGGTCACAGGCACCTGGACACAGCAGGAAAACAACATCTGTGCTGGACTGTGGGCATCCCGACCTGCTCTAGAGCCAGGAGAGGTCAGGTGGACAAGGGGGCCTCCCTGGACCCCTTCAATGACTAGCCTGTGATGTTACTGGGAGAGCACCCCCTTTACTCGAGAATGGTGACTGGCCAGATGCTCTCTGCCCCTCACCGCGTTGCCCGTGGCTCTCTCCTGCCCAGCCAGTAGGCCTGCACCCCTCTGTGCGTGTTGGGGGGTGGGGGCGGCTGCAGGACCACCGTGGTGGTGGATGAAGCAGGAAGGGGAGCATCCAGCCGCGGCCCAGCTGGAGGCCCAGCATACCCACAGTCTGGACCCCTGCCCTGCTCCGTCTGCTGAAGGAGAGCACGCCGGGCTCTCCCCACATGCTCTGCTCTCCATCCACTCCCAGGGTGGCAGCCAGCCACATCCTCCTTGGGGGGCTGCCGTGCCAACAGAGCTGCCAGGGCACCTCCTGAGGGACGCCCCCTCTTCAGCTCAGTCCCTGCCAGAGCTCTTACCAGGGCCATCAGGAGAGGGAGTTGAGGCCGGGAGGCCTGCTCCATCCAGCTCACACTGCCGGGCTCACCCAGGGTAGTGCCCTGGCCCTGCCATGGCCACGGCCTGCGGGGATGTGTCCTCTCTCCTGCCCGAGTGCGGGTGTCAGGAGCAGGGTTTCCTGGGGAGCCCCAGACGCTGCAGTGCAGGCAAGGGGCTGCGAGGCTGAAATTCCAAAGTTGCTCTCCCCTGGCTATCCTGCCCCCTTCTGCCCACACCCCCACTCCCAGGGCTAGTGAGGGAGGCAGGCTATTTGGGGGCTTCCTCTCCCTTTTGGATCCCTTGAGTTGGTCCAGATCAGCTCAGGAGTCCGTACTGTCCACGGAGCCAGAGGGCCCACCCAGAACGGGGTCACCAGACATAGCTGGCCAACGGCAGGGCTGTCCTAGTAGAGAATCAGCCTCCTGCTTGTTAAACTACTCCAGGAGGTAAGATGCCCCACCCCCATGCCCCCAGGCCTAGGCAGGCTTTCCAAACTACAGGCCTCCACCCGTGAGGATGTCCAAAATGGATCTGGTAGGCAGAGTCCAGAAAGCTTGAGAGACCTTGGGATGCAGGCCTGGACGGCACCTTCGGGGCTGGCAGAGAGCAGGCCTCTGACCTCCCAGAACTGCCCATCACTGAATCCCTGGTGGGGCCCTCCTGGGCGGCTGGTGCTAGGGCAGTTGTGGTCAGGGGCCAGCATGGAGAAGCATAAGGCAACGACACACTTGGCACTAGTCGTGAGAAGTGCCACGAGATGGCCAGGAAGGGTCCCAGGACTTGGGGTGAGCAGGGTTCACCCGGCAAGGGTGGGGCTGAAGAGGAACTGGCCAGGCCCAGGCAGCAGGCTCTCAGAAACAGGTGACCTGGGGGTGCCTGGGGGGCTTGACACTTAAGCATCCGACTCTTGGTTTTGGCTCAGGTCATGATCTCATGGCTTGTGGGTTTGAACCCTGTGTCTGTCTGTCTGTCTGTCTGTCTCAAAATAAATAAAAAAAAGTTAAAAGAAAAAAAAAAAGAAATAGGAGATCTACCCACCTACCCACTGGGAGTGAGCTCAAGGTTCCCATGCATGACCCCGGGCCACTCAGGAATCACCCCTGGGAATCACAGAGGAAACTGTGGGGCCCCTCCCTCCGTCCCAGGGCCCCCAACAGGTGGGATTCGCTGTCCAGTCTCCCTGCGGTGTTGAGCCCACACCCTGGTCTGAGAGTGGATTTCCAGGATCCACGGCCCTGGGTCCAGGCTCTCACGTGCCCTGTGAGGACACGGGTGGGCAGCGGGGAGGCAGCCCCAGCAGCAGCTCGGCAAGCTCCGGCCCTGGCTTCCTTCTTGCTTTTCGCTGAGCTTCAGAAATCCTCTGACACCACCCGCCCCCGGGCGGACACAGGGGTGCCCTTCGTAGTCCCCAGGGCAGGGCTGAGCTAAGACGCTTCGAGGGCCCAGGCTCTGGAACCTGTCTGCTTGCCCCCTCCAGGCTCGTCCCCCAGCTCTGCTTCCGGCTGAAGCATGAATGGCCTGGAGGTGGCCTCCCCGGGTGTGACCGCCAACTCCTCCCTGGCCACCGCACAGCAATGTGGCCAGGAGACGCCGCTCGAGAACGTCCTCTTCGCCTCCTTCTACCTCCTGGACTTCATCCTGGCTTTTGTTGGCAACGCCCTGGCCCTGTGGCTTTTCATATGGGACCACAAGTCAGGTACCCCTGCCAACGTCTTCTTGATGCACCTGGCCGTGGCCGACTTGTCCTGTGTGCTGGTCCTGCCCACCCGCCTCGTCTACCACTTCTCTGGGAACCACTGGCCGTTCGGGGAAATCCCGTGCCGCCTCACCGGCTTCCTCTTCTACCTCAACATGTACGCCAGCATCTACTTCCTCACCTGCATCAGCGCTGACCGCTTCCTGGCCATCGTGCACCCCGTCAAGTCCCTCAAGCTCCGCAGGCCCCTCTACGCACACCTGGCCTGTGCCTTCCTCTGGGTGGTGGTGGCCGTGGCCATGGCCCCGCTGCTGGTGAGCCCACAGACCGTGCAGACCAACCACACAGTCGTCTGCCTGCAGCTGTATCGGGAGAAGGCCTCCCACCACGCCTTCGTGTCCCTGGCTGTGGCCTTCACCTTCCCGTTTGTCACCACCGTCACCTGCTACCTGCTGATCATCCGCAGCCTGCGGCAGGGCCCGCGCGTGGAGAAGCGCCTCAAGAACAAGGCGGTCCGCATGATCGCCATGGTGCTGGCCATCTTCCTGGTCTGCTTCGTGCCCTACCACGTGCACCGCTCAGTCTACGTGCTGCACTCCCATGGCAGTGGCACCTCCTGCGCTGCCCAGCGCATCCTGGCCCTTGGAAACCGCATCACCTCCTGCCTCACCAGCCTCAACGGGGCACTCGACCCGGTCATGTACTTCTTCGTGGCCGAGAAGTTCCGGGATGCCCTGTGTAACTTGATCTGTGGCAAAAGGCTCTCCGGGCCACCCCCCAGCTTTGAGGGGAAAACCAACGAGAGCTCCCTGAGTGCCAGGTCAGAGCTGTGAGCCCCAGGACGCCGCGCCTGGGCCCAGTCCAGTCTGTCCTCAGGGGGACCCCTGCATCAGGGCGCAAGCCACCCAGACTCGTGAAGGAGAGGTCCACCTGCTCCCTAGCGGGTCGCTGCCGCTCTCCCCAAGGGGGAAACTCGGCACCCAGCACCAGTTCTGTCTTACCTGACATGCAAACCCCAGCAGGACCAGTGGGCCACCCCTATGGCCGAGGCCATGTTGAGCCTACTCACCTAAGTTACTAGACGCTCAATGACTTCAGCCCGTGGCGAGGAGGCCGGAGGAACAGCTCTTGGACCATGAGCATCCTTCTTTCCCAAGGGCTGTTGGCTAGACTCCCAGCCTCCCTCCCACAAGAAACAGCAGCAAAACTCTACAGAGAGCCCAGAAGGCAGCTGTGAGCGACTCAGGAGAAGGGGGTGCAGGACTCCTGGGGGAGGGGGAAGGAGGGGTGGGTAGATGTTTCCTTTGAAGCACATGGTGCTTTGAGTTCCCTGGGTGTCACCTTTGCCAGGTGATCTCTACGTTTAGGGGACAGGGACTGTTAACTCATAACTGAGTGTTGTGAGTACATTTCAGGCTGGCCACCAGGCAGGATCCAACAAATGTGGCCTGTGGGGCCAGCAGCACAGTGCCAGGCTCCTGACCCCTCCCGCTGTGACCCGCATGCAGACCTGCACGTGGCCTGGCGATCCCAGAACCTCTGGGCAGCTGCCCGGTCCCATTTGGGTCCTGGGCCAGCACACAGCATGGGTACAGTCACAGCTCGAGGACACCACCAGCAGGGAGCCGGCACCTGGCACGTGACCCTTGCTCCCACTAACCCAGACCAACAGGTGTGTCCTTAGCCCTGCTCCCCCCAAGGGGCTCCACTGGCCTCAGTGGGCCAGCCTGGGAGCCGTTTCCTCCAGAGCACGGCCCCTACCACCCTTGCGGGTCCCTATTTGTGCCACACGTAAACATCAGCGTCCTTTAAGATTCTGAAGGTCACTGTGCTGGGTCAACAAAAGTCCCTTCCGGAATGCCTCCTCCCTTCGACCCCAGGGTGGCAAAGCGGAAGTGAAGGCAGGAGTGGCCAGGCAGCACGCGCTTCTCTGCCCCTGGTTCTGAAACCCCCGCAGGCCTGGCCCACGTGGATGCTGAGGCTCTGGCCCGGCCTGGAGGGTCTGCATGGGGGCCACACTTCCTTTACAGCAGTGCTTTACTTCCCTGAGCATGCCCAGCCTCTCCGGGCCTCCCCAGCCCGTCCTGCGGCACAGGGCTCAGTGTGCACTGTAGCTCAGAGAGAGGACGCGCTCGGGCCCACACCTGGTGGGCGAGGACCCCGGATCAGCAGGGGACCCCCGTGACACTCCTGCTAAGTGCTCTGCAGACACCAACATTGGGAACAGGGGCCGCAAACAGGGGACATCACTACAGGTGGCCCCAGAGCGAGCGGCGGCAGAGGACGGAGGGGGACAGGTACTCAGGCAGGAGAGGGTGGGGGAGTCAGAGACAGCTGGGGTGGGTGCACGGGGAGGAGACACCAGCGTTTGGAGGGGCCTGTTGCATTTGGGAGACTTGGCGGACACCAAGAGGTTGGTGCGTGGGCAGCTGAGAATGTGAGGGACAGGGGCGCTGCGGTGTGGATCTCAGTTGTCCAGCACTGCATGCCATTCGCGGCTCTGGGGCTTTGGACAGACACGAGGGCCATGCGCCGAGCCTCAAAAGAGGCGCCATGGAGAGGCCGGTGGGAGGAGGGAAGTCAGAAGAGTAGAGGGAGCGGCGCAGCCATGAGGCAGAAGGAAGGCATGAGACACAGGTCCCGGACCCAGAGGGGAGGCATTCCAGCAGGGAGGAGATGCTGAGGGAGCCTGCTGAGAGGCCTGGCCAGATGGACAGTGGGGGGCGTGGGGGGCAGTGGGAGGGGGCAGCGGGAGGGGCCAGCAGGGGCCGGCTAGAGCTGGAGGACAGCTCTGGGGGAAAGCGAAGACTGAAGCCCACAGCCCCTTGGGAGACTGAGGGGGGAGGAGCCAGGACAGGGAGGGGAGCTGAGATAGGAGATGCACAGGTGCAGGGAGAGGGGGGAGCCTCCCCCTTCCCCTCCCCCTCGGGAGGGTGCAGAGACAGCTGGGGGAGAACAGAGCCAGGCTTCCTGGAAGGTGGGAACTTGATCTCCCAAGTCAAGAAATCTGAATGTAAGAGTAAATTTGGGCCCCGTGGTTGTGTGATTTCTCTCCAGCGACATTCAGCCCTGAGTACACAGAAGGAGGTAGACATTCGGGGTCAGCGGCATGGGCTAGCCAGGCAGCAGTGACAGCCCAAAGCTCCTCACCCAGCCACTGCATGTGATGGCTCCTGCTTCCACCACCTTCCTCCTTTCTGCCTATTGTCGGCTGCTCCGGAAGCACCCCCAGGCCTGGGCAGGCCCTGCCTCGTCGCCCCCTACTCTCTCCAGCCCCAGCCCCAGCCCGCCCCTGTAAACCAGGGGACACAGCACACGGGCACAGGCCACACCACCTGGGGCAGGTGGTGAGTGGTGTCTGGGCTGGCCCGCCTCACCTGCCCGCGTTCTTCACGAAGCCCAGGTCAGCCAGCTCGATGTCGCACAGCTCGCAGCGGAAGCACCCAGGGTGCCAGTTGTTGTTCATGGCCTTGATGACGCGGCCGATGATAAACTCACCTGGAAGAGATGGGTCCCTGCTTGCCAGGGCAGGCATGCGCCTCACCCCCACTCCGCAGCCCCCTCCCAAGCCCTGCCTATGCCTGATGGATGTCGTGCTCCCCTGAGACTGGCTGGTCCCCAGCTTCCCTCCCAGAGCCTGGAAAGGCGATGCCTGCAGACAACTAACGCTCATGGAGGCAGGGTGCAGGGCGGTCAGGGAGGAGCACCTGTGCTCAGGTCCACCTGCCCCACCCAGGTGTGCTGCACCCCTCTTACCGCAGGAGCCACAGCATGGAGCAAAGAGCATCTGGAAGTCGTGTTCGCAGTACTTCCGGCCTTCGAACTGCAAATGGGCCAGCAGGGAAAGTTCAAGCAAACCCCATCATTCTCCCCAAGCTGGCCGGTCTCTGTTGGGTCAGGACCCACCCTTGGGCAGGCTGGACAAGCATCCTGACTTGTGCAATTGCTACCACCACAGGAAGCAGGGTGGGGGTGGAGGAGGAGGCTTCCTGGAGGAGATGGTAAGGAGCTGAAAGACCCGCAGGGGTGGGGGTGCTGAAAGGAGGGCATTCTGGATGGAGGGAGCAGCAGGGGCAAGGCCTGGAGATGGAGGGAACTGGCGCATTCAACAGGGCAGGGCGGAGGGTAAGTGAGGGGTGGCACAGAAGCTGGGAACTGGGCAAGGCTGGTCCTCAAAGGGCTGCTGCTGTTTCCACAAGACCTTGGTCCTGGGAGGGAGCCGAGGGCTGGGATCAAGTCTGATTTATAAATGTCACTTGGCCCTATTTCCTGCATGTTTTCTCTGTGTGAGAAGTCCATTTCCCCCAGAGGCCACAAGAGACCCAGAGAGGAGACACAGCAGGAGAGACACAGGAAAACATGGGGCCTGAGGGGCACCCTAAGTCCTGCAGCCAGCAGGAGCCACCAGCCATTGCCCCCGTCTGCCTCAGCAATGACAGCCCAGCTCTGGCCCCAAATGTGGCCAGACCCTGTCTCTGCTTTCTCCTCCCTTGGCAATTTCATTTTTTTTTTTTAATCTGGTTTGCCTTCTTTTCTGAAATGAGTTTCTTACTAAGCTGTGACTGGATATAGCCCTAGCCAGTGGCTTGTAGAGGCGGCAGGCGTAAAATTCATTCAGCAACAAATATTTCCTGAGTGCCTACTGTGTGCCAGGCTCTGTTCTAGACACATGGCCACTGCTCTCGGAGCTCTGCCTCCCTCCCACTGCCTCTACAGTGGGCCAGCCTTTCCCAGGAGACTGGAAGGCGCCACGAGGAACAGCTCCTCCCCCACCGCCAGAGGCGCTCTTGAACCCCTTCCCCTGCCAGTCCAGTCAGCTGTACCTTTGACGTCTCTGCAGCCTCTGGCCCCTGGTCCCCACCTCCACTGCAACCACCTGGGGTACATGTTTACCAACCAGCCCTTTGGGAGATGGGGTCTGGTCTGCAGAGTTTGCCCGTTTCTATGGTGTAAATATTTCCATCATGGACAAATGTCAAGCTACCAACATGAGATCAGTGTGCAGTTAACACATGCGCAGTAGCATCGCGGGACTCTTTCCACCAGCAAGATCAGTAGACAAATAACCTCAAAGGCACAGGTGACAGTAACATGTAATAAAATAACTAGGAAGTGGTGAGTTCTGAGTATGTGTTACCTTTGTTTTTAATAAAATTTTATCTCCTGTACATGTATATAATTTAATTTTCTTAGTTTCTTTAAATGTTGTATTTATTTTTGAGACAAAGACAAAGCATGAGCGGAGAGGGGGAGGGTGGTCAGAGAGAGAGGTCACAGAATCCAAAACAGGCTCCAGGCTCTGAGCTGTCAGCACAGAACCCGACGCAGGCCTTGAACCCACGAACCATGAGATCATGACCTGAACCAAAGTTGGATGCTTAACCGACTGAGCCACCCAGGTGCCCCAATAATTTAATTTTTACTAAGAGTTGTGTTTAGGGGCGCCTGGATGGCTCAGTCAGTTAAGAGTCTGACTCTTGATTTTGGCTCATGTCATGATCTCACGGTTCATGAGTTTGAGCCCTGTGTCAGGCTCTGTGCTGACAGTGCAGAGCCTGCTTGGGATTCTGTCTTTTCCTCTCTCTCTCTGCCCTTCCCCTGCTCATGGGTGCATGCTCTCCCTCTCTCAAAGTAAATAAATAAACATTTTTTGAAAAAGTTGCATTTATCCACTACCTTGCAAGATTATTGAAAATATAAACAATGTCCTTTAAGAGCCAGTGTGGCCCAGTCTAGATCTTTTCACTTGATCTGGACTCTTTCAATAATTCAACTTCTGGTCCTACCTGTTCTGTAGCTTCATGTCCCTGCCCCCAATTAGTCTCTCCTCAGCACAGCAAGGATAGTGGTCCTTTTTAGACGTCAGATAGGCTGCCTCCTCCTGTGCCCCAAATACGCTGCATACTCTGACCTCAGGGCCTTTGCACTTGCTGAGCTCTCTGATGAGTGCTCTTCCTACAGATGTGTGCACAGCTCCTTTACCTCATTCAGGTCTGCTGAAACATGACCTTCCCTCACCACCCGCCCTCCTTACCCCAAGATTCTTTATAACCAGAGCACTGAGTACTATCTGATATGTCATACATTGATCGTGTTTGGATCTGATCCCAAAGGAGGGTATGTGCCCGCAGGGCAGGGTGTTTGCATGCCATGGCCTCCCAGAGCGTACCCAGAGGAGGCTGGGTGAGTGGTGACCCTCCCTCAGCACCCACAGCCACCGGGGTGGGGGGTGGAGGGGGTTGGGATGTGCCCACAGTGGGGCAAGCTCAAGGCCAGGCACGATTGGACAGGACCAGGGCTGGGCACAGGCTCCCAGAAGGCAGCCTCTGAGCTGCTCCGGGGCTCAGGCTCGAAGAAGGCCGTCCAGCGCAGGGACCCGGGGGCATCCTCACCTCGTAGAAGAGCCCCTCGGGGAAGGGCCGGAAGCACTGGGCGCACACGAAGCAGTGCTCGTGGTACAGCTCTCCGTTGCTGTTAACGATCCGCTCGGCAGGGGCGAAGCGGGCCTGGCAGCGTTGGCAAACCGCATTGGCCAGGGCGTTGGACATGTTGCTGGAAGCCGGAGAGGGAAGGGGAAGGTCAGCACTGGGGAGGGGCCGAGACCTGCAAGCCCGGGGTCCTGCGCCTTCCCGGGTGAGGAAAGCCGCTGTCCTTGGCAGAGGGCGGCGAGCTGGCGCTGTGGGGGCCCGGCAGCATTCGGCCGGCCCAGCCGCCCACACAGCACCCGCATGGCTGCCCGCACAGCGCCAGCACAGCCGCCCTCACCACAGCCGCCCGCACAGCCGCCCTCACCACAGCTCCCGCACAGCCGCCCTCACCACAGCTGCCCTCACCACAGCCGCCCGCACCACAGCCGCCCTCACCACAGCCGCCCGCACAGCCGCCCTCACCATAGCCGTCCGCACAGCCACCCGCACCACAGCCGCCCTCACCACAGCCGCCCGCACCACAGCCGCCCTCACCACAGCCGCCCGCACAGCCGCCCTCACCACAGCCGCCCGCACAGCCACCCGCACCACAGCCGCCCGCACCACAGCGCCCGCACAGCCGCCCTCACCACAGTCGCCCTCACCACAGCCGCCCGCACCACAGCCGCCCGCACAGCCGCCGGCACCACAGCGGTCCGCACCACAGCCGCCCGCACAGCCGCCCGCACCACAGCCGCCCGCACAGCCGCCGGCACCACAGCGGTCCGCACCGCCGCCCGCGCGCCGCCGGAACATGTGCCGGAGCCGCCATGTCTCGTGCGCACACTAAGTGCCAGCGCACGCGGGGCAACGCGCGCTCCCGGACGGCAGCCCGACGAGGCTAAGGTGGCACCCCTGTCCTACAGGTGGACAGGCCGAGGCCTGGGACACCAGTGTCCTTCCCAAGACCACCCTCCGAAGCCCCCAGTCTTTCCACCATGCCCGGCCGCCCCCACGGACTCCCACGTAGAATCAGACGTGACCACACACACGCTGGTCAGGGCGGCAAGGGCTCAAAACAGACGCTGTCACGGGGGCCTGGGCTGTACGTCCTCTCGGAGCCCGGACTCCCAGCCACCGCAAGTCCGTAAGAGGGAGAGGGGCCAGTTAGGTGAGCCCACGCCCGGCCCACAGGAAGCCCGCACGAAGGGCAGAGCGTGGTAGCCAACGTCTCCGCCGGGCTTCCAGGCTGCTCAGGCTTCACCTGCTAGGCCAGGTGTCCGTGCGCACCTCGGCTCCCCATCGTGCCTCCTGTGGCCTCTTCTCAGGGAACCAGAGTCTCTCGGGTGTAGAACTTCACCCAGGCTCACATCAGCGGCTCTTTATGCCACTTATTTAATCCCTGAGGCATCCCTCCCCTCCAGATGGAGACCTAAGGTTCAGAGAGGTTAAGTAACTTGCCCAAGCTCACACAGCAGATGATAGTCCAGATACGAACCCAGATTGGTGGGACCATAATGGCTCTTTCCTCCACACCAGGAGTTAGTTGCAGATCACCTGCCCCAAAAAACATATAACCACCCCACCATGGAGAAAGGGAGAATGTGAATGCTTGGGATAGGAACAGGCTGAGGAGCAGATGTCCTCATCCGCGAGGGTTTCCCTGCTGTAAGTGTCAGGCTTGCCTCCTTCTGGAAGGAGTGGAATCCAAACTGTGTGCTGAGGGGCCCTGGGGCGTGGCCAGGAGGAGCTGTGCCAGACTGACAGCCTCTACGCCTTTCTGACACCTGGATGCCAGTGACTTTTGCTATAAGGGTAGCAAACAGGTTTTGTCTCAAGTGTGAACTCTGACAGATTGGTGGTGGCTGCCTGGACATCTGGCCAACGCAGGATGGGTGGGCCCAGCAAGGACAGAGACAACCAGCTGGCAAAGTCAGGTATGCACAGCGGGTGGCCAGACACAAGCTCAATGCTCTTGCGGACATCCTTCCAGCCTGTCCTGCCTCCGGGGTATGACGCCCACCCCTGTCTTGCTGACACAGTATTATGAGAATTCTCACGTGAGTGACGCTGTTTCGGGGACATTGAGCTACGGATCATAGGGAGGAGGGCTCCCCAAACAGGATGAGCCCAGGAGGCCGGGGAGGGCTCTGCCCGCCGGGGGGTGCGGGCTGTGAACCGTGGGTCTAACGGGGACTGCTAGCAGCTACTCAGCTTGGAGAACGCACAGAGCAGGGGCAGGGCCGGAGGACTCTTCCATAAGCCTTGCCAGGCGTACTGGATCCTATGACTTAGCCGGCCCTTGGCTGTGTCTGGGGCACCAAAGCCACCTTGTCACGTACTGGCCACAGGGGCAGGAAGAGTCGGGCAGGGGTGCAAGAGAGGGTCTTCCTACAGCAGCCACCAGCCCCCAGCACACGCCATGCATCCTGCCCAACCCCCTGAGGACTCCAGGAGGTGGGCCAGAAGTCAGGGGACCGACTGCCTAAGCCCATGGAGGGCTAGGCTGGACTTCATCAACACGGGCCCCTTCTCCCACTGGAAAACACTGCGAACCTAGCCGCTTCATCTTCCCACGACACACGCCCAAGGTGGTGGGGCGGGGGAGGGAAGTTCCAACTGCGGGCTGTGCACAAGACCTTGGAGAAGTGAGAAATCAACAGGAAATCCTGTGACTCTGGCTCTGGAATTCCCCCAGAGGACCCAGAAGATGAAGCCAAAGCAAGGATTCGAGCCCAGCCCCAGGCTTTGGGATTGCTGCTTAAATGCAGAGCCCTGGGCCGCAACCCAGTGAGCGCCTACACGACCCCAGCGCCTCTCAAAGCCCCTTGCCTCTGGCCTCCAGGGATCCAACTCCTGCCCCCAGCCGCCTGCCACTAGACCACTTTACCAGCCTTCAACCATCCCGCCCTGTCTTCTGTTAAACTCTCCTCTGCCATTCGTTTCACTGTGACTACGTTCTGACCAGGACCCTAACAGACACCACCCCTGGCGGCTGGCCACAACCCACCTCCCTGTTCATCTTCACACAGTCCCATAGCCAGAGGGTGGCTGGTCTTTAACCGGGCTATGTCTAGTTCCCTGGCTGCATCTTGGGGGCCTCAGGCCGAGGATTTTACCATCTGTCCCCTACGAATATACCTTGCACAAGCCTTGGCACAGGAAGGTGGGATGTGAGGGGTGACCACCTACCTGTCACACCCACTGGCTGTCCCAGCCCAAGTCTTGGGGGCAGTAGCACCCCCAGAGCACTCCTGTGACCACATCCCCAGGCCAACCTGCTCAGGACCACAGACAACACTGGCCTAAGACAGAGGAATGAGCAGATGTGCAAATGGCCCAATAGCCGAACCATGTCACCATCAGAGAAATGCCAGCTGTCCCCTGCAGGACGCAAGGACCCAGGAGGGGGCTCTGGAATCCCCCCTCCATGCTGGAATCCTCATGGCCCCAGACACCAGCTGGGGGAGCTGGAAAAGGGCGCCGGCTTCTCTGGGCCTCATTTCCCCATCTGCAAAGAGGTGTGCCAGAGTAACAGGCGCAGTGGAGAACCCAGGGCATACGGCTTGTTGAGCGCAGGGCCGGGCAGGCTAAGTGCTGGATAAAGAGAGCTGTTGTTTCCCAGCGACTCTGGGAGGCTTCCAGAGCACCTCCCCCGCACCCAGTCCTGGAGAAGGCCTGCAGCCCGCCTGGGCTCCCTGCAAGAGGGCAAAGGGTGGGGGATGCGGGCATTCCATGTCCTCCTTCACACATTCCAGCCAAGAACGGGGAGCACAAAGTCAGCCCAGTTACCCTCCAAGGAGACACCACCCTCCTGCCCCAGCCAGACACCACCACTCAGCCTGCTGAGGGCACGGCCAGGAGCCACGTGCTGTATACAGCACCGTGTACCTCTTCTCCAGCCCTTCCCAGCACCCCAAAACACTTGCAATCTTGACAGCCCAACGCAAGCCAATTCGTGAGTCTGTGCAAGATGTCATGAGTGACAAGATGTCACCGTGCCTTACAATGACTATTAGCCTGGGATGGGGAGAGCCCTCTCTGTGCCAACTTCTTATGAGGACAGGTTGCTGGCTCCAGACAAGGTAACTGAAGTACAGAGGGAGGGTGAATAACCTGCTGACACTCACACAGGATTAGACCATGTTCTCTCCTGGCAGCATTATCTAGGCACAGCCATTCAAAACTCTGGTTTTTTAACAACCCTAGACCTTACTCCACTCCAGCCTCCCACCCATCTGAGCCTAGAAAGACAGAGTGAGGGCCTGGGAGGAGAATGAGTCAGTGTCACCGAGGCCACGTCAGCCCAAGCAGTAGTCAGTCCAATACGTGTGCTCTATGGCCAGGCACCCCAGGCTGCATCCCGGCTCAGGTGCTCCCTGGCTACATGTTCTGCAACAAAGCACTCTCTGAGCCTGGGCTTCCCCATCTGTAAAATGGGCTAGCAACAGCAACCTCCGGGGGTGGTTGGGAGGGCTCAGTGAGGTGACACAGCCCATAACTGCTCCCTAAGTAGCATTCTTCCCCGCCTTCATCCAACAGACCCTCACGGAGCACCTGCTCTGTGCCCAGGCCCTGCCGCAGGTGCAGGGAGAGAAGGGGGATCCCACCGCGACAGGACGTCAGAAGCTCAAGAGGAAGCTGCCCCGGCACAGCCTGGGCCTCCTCCCGGCCACTCGCCCACAAGTCCAGTCAGAAGCCAGCAGCTGGAGTCACCTGGCTGCACGCAGGAAACGGGCGTTTACACAGAGCCAGCTCCACACTCAGCCTTGGGAAGGCTGGAAAATTAAATGCCGCCTTAGGCTGCCACACACGATGCATTTCCCCCACCAGAAACGTATTCCCGATAGGTCTGGAGCCTGCGGGAGGTTACGTGGCTCTTCCCAGAGCCCCAGCAGTCCCTCTCTGCTTTAGCAGCTTCATTTACTCTTAAGCAAGTCATTTACTCTTAAGTGGGTGCTCTTTAAAAACTGTCACCCCAGGGTGCCTGGGTGGCCCAGTCGGGTAAGCATCTGACTTCAGCTCAGGTCATGATCTCACGGTTTGTGGGATCGAGCCCCGTGTTGGGCTCTGTGCTGACAGCTCAGAGCCTGGAGCCTGCTTCCAATTCTGTGTGTCCCCCTCTCTCTGCCCTACCCCACTAAC